TCTGATCACCACTGCGGGAGGCATTCTCCAGAGAATTTGCGAGGATAACTTGACAATGCTGATGAGCTGAACTTACTGGTTATGCAGGTTAACTCGCCACGCTGCCGGGAGCTGGACATTCAGCCGTCATCAACAAATTGAAGTGCCTCGGTTAGTGACGGAAGAGATGGTCGTGAGGTGATGAACGACTGATCGGTTCTCGACCAAGCGGTGACAACCACTGATGCGAGTGGATCCTGCTTGAGACCAGCTTTTCTCATTGCACGAAGGTCGCTGCGAATACGGATGCGTATGCCTTGCTCAGCCAAGACCCAACTAAGGCCAGTGCTGTATGTGAAGCCTTTAAAACGCTTTGGCGGTACAACTGAGAAAGCTGCTGACGATATGGATTGTCTGTGGGAGAAATAATTATTGCTCTCGATGTCTACATGGTCGCTTTCTCCCAAAAGAGCATCTCTGTCCATGTCTAACATTTGCTGCTCGTATAAGTCGAATTTCAGAAAATATTGGCCCTCGAACTGAACCGAAAGATCGTCAAATACGAAGTAGTAAGCTGGTTCTGGTTGATTTAGGAAAGAGCTACCAGCAACGGTTGTTCCAAGGATAGCTGCAGTTTTCTTCGCTATCAGCAGTCTACCACCTTGCTGAACTCCTTCTATTGAGGCATAGGCGAAGAATTGCGCAAGATACATAGGCGTAATATCTTGTACATAGTCCATGTTATCCCCTTCAAAAATTCTCAGCTGCAAGACTGGAGGCGGGTCAATTGGACGACGGTCAGCCACGGCTGAGTAAATTAGTAACAATTCTCGCAGGGGGCTTACGTCTCAAATACCTGAAGGTCCCGATCCAGCAGCTCTCCCAATGCTCGGTTGTTGAATGATCCGAAAGAAATACCAGAGGCGTCTTCCATCTTTCGTTAAGCGATGCAGGTCCATCTTCTCGGATTGATTTCCAACCAACTCCAACGACTTTGTGGGAATTGTATGTTGAAGCAATGCTAGGAAGAATCTAACGATTTATATTCCCGCTCCCAGTAAGGTACCGAAGGGGTATGTTACACTAGACCAATCGAACGTGAGCCGTATCCGGACACAGTGGTACGCGCATAGAACCTCATGCATGCTGTAGCTGTGTAAATTGAAAGAACTTCCTAAAACAAATTAGCTGGAAGGAGTGACTTCCATATATAGGTGCAAGCCTCGCCATTGATGATTACCCGTGTCTCTTGGTTTGGTACGACCTCAGGATTCCCCTATCACAGTGCATTCCGTTGATAATGGTGGAGAAGATGACGAGGGCCCCCAAACCAACAAGTAACAGCACTAGCAGGCATTGTTCCAATTGGCCAAGTATTGAAAGCTCCACCACAAGCAATCACATCATATCACCAACAGTCAGGTCACGCGCCATCCGACAGTCTCAACCCGATTTTAAGTTCCTAGGGTCGCCGAAATGCCATACTGTAGCTCATTCTACCCATGTCGCGCGCTCCAGCGCCTTCCTCATTTTGCGCCGCCTGTAGAGCGCTAAGCTCCTTCTTCGTCCCAACTTGAGAATACTATTCTCCACAAATAACAACCTCCTATCTCATGCGCCTCACTCCGACAATGCCCAGATCCCCAGCAGTTGGTGACGTCCTCTCGCAGGGGCAGGACAAGATGTCCGGGCGGCGTTCAGCCTGAGCCTCAGGTTGGGAACAGCGACCGAGTTTAGTAAAATAGTTCAAACCTTTCCTTGGAGGAAGATGGCTGGAGAGAGAGGGACGGCTTAGTGATGGTCGAAGGTTCACAATAGGGCGTGTCCAGGCCAGAGTATCCCTGTGGGAGGAACGTCGCTATTTCTGGCAGAACAAAGTCTTAATTGGGCGCTGCGGTGGTCCCCTAACCAATGACAAAGGCCAGGGTATTCAGCGCTAGTTACCTGCACGATAATGCGGGGATAGTGGGCTAGCGGCTACTATGCATCTACTATTGGTTAGTCGACAGAACTTAACCTTTGTAAGGAGATCGTACACTCCTAGTAGAGCCAATACCCAAGGGGGTGAATCATGCCTCTTGGGTTCGATTTTCTGGTGAATTGAGGTTGACTGAACTTTTGGTTGTTCTAAATATGGCATAGTAAGAAGGTAGCGATAATGATTAGAAAATACCCCCAGAACGGATACAACGCTGTTGTTTTCAATCAACGCTGCAAATCTTGCAATGGGCTCGGCGCAATAGACCTCGATGAGGGATTATACCTTGAATGAGTCGCATATAGGCTTAAGGTCTGGTTAGGGGTTCCGACCGAGCGTCAATGATTAGAAGGAGCGCAAGTCTACTGTACTACCTCAGAAGCATGCAAGGTGATCAACCATATACCTATTGCACCCAGAACCAAAAGTTTTAGGTAGCCTTAATTCACTAGAAAATCGAAGCTCAGATGCATGATTCAAACCCCCTTCGCTTATTGAACTTGCCAAGAATGTATGTGTCACGATCCGGCCTCCGGGGGTCAATCCGTCTGACCGGGCGGTTGGGGTTTATGTTCTGAGAAGGTAGGTAACGCCTGCGCAATACTGACTCCGTACTGTCGTGATCTCTGGGGTTGTCGTTCGTGTCTCTTGGGAGAGATATCACACTTGGATCAATTGAGTGACTAGGTCAAGTGAAGGGTAAGGGTGATACTTAGATTGATCGCTGAAGTACAAAGGTAACGACTGTCTGGCCAGGAGATCCTCCATCTATATATCCTTTGTCCTTCATCGTGTGTTTCCATCCTTGCGACGATCCGTCGTCGCAACGCCGATTGTGGTTCGTCGTACTTGCGACAGTAGTCTGTCGCAGTGCCGACAACCTTGGGTCGGCGAGCCGACTGCCAAGCGTCGGATGATTACCTAATCCCTGTGATTACCTAATGTGCCTGTCCTGCCCCACTTCGCTGCCTGCCCTAGACTTGGCCCGATCATGCGGCCTTGTTTGTGTAGCCTGTCTCGCCCAAACAATCCCCTGTTGGTTCAAGTCGTCACAGTATGCTATCCTGGTCGAGAAAAGGAGAAATTACTTGGACGAAGCAAAAACAGATTTCTTGTAACGTAAACCACAGTCTCGTTTCCCACACAGCCCCGTTTCTCATATAGGTATTTTCCTAGTGGGATACCTGCCACAAAGTACCTAAAAATTGTTAGTGCACCTTAACAATTTTCAGGTACCTTCGCTATGTGGTCTGTGCAAAATAGGACCTCCGTGGGAAACGAGGTCGTGTGGGAAACGAGACCGTGGTTTACGTTATCTAGTTTAGCAACTCTTGAACTAAAAATAACTCAAGAGCTGGGTGGTCTAAAAGTAGAAAGCCACGCTAAACCATCCCGCTTGACACCCTGATTACAGACTTCGTGCTCCAGTGTACACGGTACTGTATACCCGTCACAAAATGAGAACTATGGTGGTCTGAATGTAGCAGAGGCATGTTTACTCCCTGATCGGTGAACATGGCAGCTCAAACTATGGAGCTTGTACAGTGGTACTCACGAGGAAATGACTCGTTGTAGAAAGAGAGGTTTATGATCCTCTGGAAAATTGAGGTCGTGTAGCATGAAGTGTGATTGTTATAATGCCAATGACCCACGAGGCTGCCATAGTTAAAGACATTATAGAGGAGTTGTTAGTGCTACGGACTCCTTAGAACTGAGGATGTTCATGTTTAGTTGAACTTTGGGTTTGAGAATACCATCAGCTATCATACAAAGCCGGATCGATCGGAATATCATCAGCGAACTGAGCTACCGTGACTGCCTTGTCGCTTAGACTGGTCTTCACTTTACACATCTTCGCTTTACGCCCAGCAATCGCAGTATCCATATCATCATCGTATGCCCTCTTTAAGCCGGCTGCGGATTTCCCGAGCACCGCGCCAGACTGGGAACAGCCCCCGTGACTTCTGACCGAGTGGTCGATCCATGCAGATAACCCACTTATCCATGTATCCTCGGTACATAAGCCGCACTGAAATGGACGTGAAAAAGTCCCCTCGTTTTTATGTTTGCCCATATGCCTCGCGAAACCTTTGCCAGGAAGGAAAGAATTGCGGCAAATCAGGCAGTAAGCTTCTTGTGACACAGCGACGACACTTTCATGCCAAAGCTGGGTCTGTCGGGGTAAGTCAGGTGAATTATCTCTGCCATGATAGGTCTCCGCGTGATTGCTCCAGGCGGGCGCACCATCAATCATGACGTCCCCAAGCTTCTGACGCTGACATTCCGGGCAAGGGAATGGCTGTTGGAAGGAGACAGGCAAGTGGCGACGCTTGTGATGCCGCGTCAGACTGGATCTGTTCGCACAGGCCTCGAGGCAATGAAGGCACGTGGCCGACAGAGATTTTATCGCCGGTTCAGCGCTGGAGGCAGTCGATTCGAAAGTGGCCTCGAAGTCCGGACTAGCCGACAGCGATTGTGTGTCCGATCTTAAGGCAGTATCGACGTCCGATAGTGGCGATAGCCGGTTCCGGAGGAAGTCAAGCAACAGTTTTGCAAGCAAATGCGGGGGCTTGATGTCGTCGGCCAGATTGGATTTCTCGAGGCGTAGAAACTGCCCGACACGTGTTGCTGGTGTGTTTGCAGCTATGGGGGGCTTAGCAAGGTCATCAGTCCGTAGTCCATGGCCTCTTCTTCGATCGGCTTCTGCGAAATACGCTTCGCGCAGCTGTTGCACCCTTAAACGGGATAGAATCTTCACAATATGGGCTATACGGCCCGTTATAAGACGCCGCTGCCCGGGGTCCGAGGTGTCACGAAGCTCGCTATAGAGGGCTTGAATGTCTCGTCGCCGCTCAAACCCCGCCAGGTCTTCCGCAGTCGGATCAGCAGGGGCCCGTTCATCACGCGTCAGAGAGGCGTTGCAAAGCATCTTATATAACTTCTCGTCACCGTCACTGCCTAGCTTGCCAAAGGTAATCATAGACAGGTCGTGCCTAAAGTGTCGAGGTTGGTAACTATGCTGGAACATGCCCGACGAGTGTGACAGGATGTAATTTCGTAAAGCGGGCTCGAGAACACCTGGTAGCAGTGTGAGCGGTTAGGGAAAGAAGAGGTCAAGAGGCAAAAGCCCTTACCGTTGAGCCTATTAGCTGCGCCAACTCGTAGTGAATAGGGTTTCATTGTCTGTCGCAGACCTGACACCAACAGGGTACGGTTCCAGATCTCATTCAGTTTTCCTTGGTGCAGTGGAATAATTGGCTTGTCTAGAACATCGTTTTTCAACGGGAGAGGCAGGTAGTAGATACCTGATTCCAGTTGCGGCAGGTAAAGCAAGTCATCGAGGGTCTGGTACCCCGCCTCAAAAGCATCGTCGGCGACGGCACGGGAGGCAAGTTGGCTTAGAAGACAGACTGTACGGCCCGGTACAAAAGTAATAGTGAACTCGATCCTGGTAGGCACAGCAATACGATTAGAACCACAGGCGGACGAAGGGGAGCGGGGGTGGGTGAACAAGGCATGCGGGATATAAGGTGTGAAAAGCGAGCTAACCTGAGAAAATACGTACTTGTCATCTTGAGTGCGGCGCAAGTTTTTCCTGCGCTTGTTCTGAATGATCAAGACGTGGGCGACAAGTTTCGAGGAATCTGGATGATCACGATCCCGTACTAGCGCAAAGCGGACTTGCCTATACGGCAGTCCTAACACCGAGCTATTGCGAAAGCCGCCAATACCAACCACCAGCACATATACATGGAAGGCGATCCGCTTGGTCGGGGTGAGGGGGATATCTTCTGATCGAGTCCACAAGGTGTCGAGGAACACCGCAATGTCTTCAGCTGTCGTCTCTTGCTTCACGAACATCTGTTCGGTAGTAAGGCCATATTGTCTCGCCATTGGTCCGTCAATCCACTGCGAAAGGTAACAGTTAGAACAATAGCGGTGGACGGTGAGAGAGGCAAGCAACGTCATACCCGAGATATCTCTGCAACCGGCCCCGTCCTGTCCTTTTCAGCGAAAGACAATATCCATCTGCGTCGGTTGGCACGATCTTCCTTCCGCTTGCGAAATAATACGGTTGAATCTGCCTCAACGACCAGACACTTCCAGACCTCCGTGACCGTGATGGCCGATGTCACTGCACGCTCCCATTCACGCTCGGCTGGCCCGAGACAAAGCTCCCATCGACCGGACGCTTTTACACACCACTGCAGGAAGATCTTGCAGTACATCTTCGCCTTCTCATCGTCGCAGCACATGCCGAGCCATATGCCTTCCGGATCAATCTGCTTCTTTGCGTAATCCTCGTTGAAGAACCCAGAGAGTCCGGTTAGCGATGGATTGGGTACTCATTAGGCGTCTCGTCCGCATGTCCTGCTGTGAGAGTCAACAGGATAGGGGACCATCACCTACTTGTTCCATTTCCGCACTACCCGCGCTCTCTCCGCCTTCTTGCTGGCGGAGATCTCTCGCACATCATCAGTGGGAGCAGATGCGAAGTCCTCAAGCAGCTCGAAGGCATCCACTTCGTCTTCGTCGTCGGCGTACTTTTCGAAGAACCTGCTTCGAGGGGCCATCGTGTGTCGGATATGTGGCCAACGACGATAGGTCAGGGACTCGACCGGGGGAGGAGGAGGGTCGGGTGTAGGCGACGAAGGTAGACGGAGGCGAAGGCGAGCTCTTCGCTGTCATGGGGTGTGATCGTTGGAAGCGGCGATATGTGGAAGAGAAGAAAAGAGAAATGGGCGGGCGGCGATGGGAGCAGACGGAGGTCAGGTAATCTGAGAGAAAGCAGGCGGCAGGCACCTCAGGAGAGGCGGCCCAGCCGAGCAGCTGCGTGTCACGATCCTGCCTCCGGGGTCAACCGTCTGGCAGGGCGCTGTGGGGTTTATGTTCTGAATAAGGCAGGTAGCGTCCTTATGCAATACTGACTCCGTGCTGTCGTGCTCTCTGGGGTTGTCGTTCGTGTCTCTTGCGAGATATCACACTCGGGTCAATTGAGTGACTAGTTCAAGTGAAGGATGAGAATGATACTTAGATTGATCGCTGAAGTACAAAGGTAATGACTGTCTACAAGGAGATCCTCCTGGCTCTATATATCCTTTGTCCTTCATCGTGTTCGTCGTCCTGCGACACCGTTGCGTCGCACGCCGATGGCTTGTTGTCGCATGGCCGACCGGTGATGGTCGCAATGCGACTGCCCGCTGTCGGCTCCCAATAGGCGCACGGGTACCCGTGCGTATAATATTACACGGGTACCCGTGCAGATTCTGCTTACAGCTTAGCGTGTCTTAATTCCCGCCGACATCGCAATCCTGGATCCATATCCGGGGTGCACCCATATCAGCAGAAAAGGTCTGTCTTGACCTTCGCTGGTGATCTCAGGTGCTGTCAGCATACAATACTTTACGCGCTACAAAGCGCGCTGAGGTGCTTTCGTGTATTTCTTTTATTACCATTACTAGCCTCAGATTTGTCTCCCGATGGCAGCTACTAGTAGTACCCACCATTCATTTCCCGATGACAGTCTCCCTCCGGAAGGCACCTACGAGTCCCGAGATACCTTATTTAAAGCTATCAACGAGTGGGCGTACACAAGAGGCTACGCCTTTGTTACGAAAAGGTCAACAAAGGAAAAGACAGGCAGGCTCTCAGTCGTATATGCATGTGATCGATCATGTCGCGACTACGCCTCTGGAAGACCGCGCCAGCGAAAAACATCTACGCGAAGTACCAACTGTCCGTTCTCTGTACTAGCAAAAGAGTCACGAGACAGCGGCACATGGACAATACGACACCGACCCGACCCGCAGTTTGCCCAACACAACCACGAGCCAAGTTTACACCCATCCGCCCATCCTAAGCATCGCGCACTCGATACGGAAACGATCACTCGTCTATCTAGCCTCGCAAATGCTGGCGTCGCACCTAAGGAGATTCGAACATACATACACCAAAACACGAGTTCGATTGCAACGCAGCAAGATATCTACAACCGAATCGCGGACAGTAGGCGCGAGATGTACGAAGGGCAGAGCACGATCAATGCCCTAGCTAACCGGCTTGACCATGAAGGTTTCTGGAGCCGTTTACAACTTGATTCGGAGAACCGCGTAAAGGCTGTGCTTTTCGCCCATCCAGAGTCGCTAAGCTATCTTCAAGCTTATCCGGATGTTTTAATCCTCGACTGTACCTACAAAACGAACAAATACGGAATGCCGCTCCTAGATATAATCGGAGTAGACGCTTCTCAACGATCCTTCTGTATCGCATTCGCATTTCTTAGTGGAGAAAGCGAGGAAGATTTCGTTTGGGCTCTAGAGCGCCTCCGGTCACTCTACGAAATTAGCAAATCCCGCCTACCTTCAGTTATTCTTACCGATCGATGTCTTGCTTGTATCAACGCAATCGCAGTATGCTTTCCTTCTGCTGCTTCATTGCTATGCCTTTGGCATGCGAACAAAGCCGTCCTTCGATACTGTCAGCCTTCATTCGCTATCCAGCTACAACTCCAGGACTCCGAAGCCGACAAATCTGTGAGACTGAAAGAGTGGCATGACTTTTACCAGCACTGGCACCAAATTATTCGTTCTCCCACCGAGGCAATATTCGACATCCGTATGTCGACATTTGAACAACGCTATATTACAACGCATGTACGGGACGTGGCCTACATTAAAGAGACATGGCTTGACCTGTATAAGGAAAAGCTTGTAAAGGCCTGGGTTGACAGCTACCCTCATTTCGGTAATGTTGTTACTTCGCGCGTCGAAGGTGTCCATGCACTTCTTAAAAGTCATCTGAAAACGTCGACACTCGATTTGTTTGAGGCCTGGAGGGCTATTAAGCATGCGCTAATAAACCAACCTGGGGAGCTGAGGTCCAACCAGGCAAAACAGCAGATTCGGTCTCCGATCGAACTTTCCGGTCCACTTTATGGTGTAGTACGGGGTTGGGTATCACACGAGGCTCTTCGAAAGGTTGAAGAGCAGCGGAAGCTTCTCCAGACGAGCAGTCCGCTACAACGCTGTACAGGCATATTCTCTCGGTCGCAAGGCCTACCATGCGTTCACAAACTTGAGGCTTTGTTGTCCGAAGGAAAAGCCCTTTATCTAGGAGACTTCCATTCGCATTGGCACCTAATCCGGAGCGGCGCGAAACCTTTTCTCCAAGAGCCTCGCCAACGTATTGATATGACTAGTACCAACACTTCTTTACCGCGATCAAGTAACCGAAGGGAGCCTAGCGGCTTTGAAGCTGTTGAAGTCGCGGCTAAGCGAAAGGGACCTTCAACCTGTACTAGATGTCACCGTCTAGGTCATTCAAGGACGTCTCGATTATGCCCCCTAAAGTACGCAGAGCTACAACTTCGAGTAGAGGCGGCATCGCAACAGCTACGAATAACACCAGAGCCGCCGGCCGACACGTCGATACCTGAAGCTACGATTGAATTATCGACGTGCAGACCTCAACATGAGTCGCCAATTCCCGAACTTCTTAATAACTCGTCGGCCCAAGAAGGGATTACGGAACAGATCTTAGAAGAGATCGAAGCTCGGCTCTCAGAAAACGACCAGCCCTTACGACGAGCTAAAGAACCCGTCTCAGAGTACGCCGAAGAACACCAGCAAGCTCCGGAGCAGCCTTTAAAATACAGTGACCCAAAAGCGATTTACCAAAGATACGTCGCTACGCGAGAGATCTGGAAGAAGTCCCTACTCCCGGGTACCTATGCGAGCAACCAGATGTACCGGCAGGCAATGGGTTTACCATTACGGTATAGTAAAGCGCAGTACGATTGGTGCTTAGACCATAAGCAAATGACGAGGCGTTGCTTAACGCGAGAGGGTGAACGGGCCTGGACAAGGGAAGAAATGATGGCATATTTGGACTGGGATCGGTCTGAGACGGAGCGAATCGATGCTCAGGTTGCCCAGGAGTCGACAAGCGGTCTAGCTAATCGAAGAGGTATGGGTGATGTGTGGAGGAGGGCGGCACAGGACTGTGAGGAGCAGCAAGTTCTTCACCGGGATGATGATGAGTGTATTATAGTTAAAGGTTAAGTCAAATACGTTATACGTGTAAGGCAACGCACATACTGTGATCGGAGGTCAAACAGCACCTGAGGTCACTAGCGAAGGTCAAGACAGACCTTTTCTGCTGATATGGGTGCACCCCGGATATGGATCCAGGATTGCGATGTCGGCGGAAATTAAGACACGCTAAGCTGTAAGCAGAATCTGCACGGGTACCCGTGTAATATTATACGCACGGGTACCCGTGCGCCTATTGGGAGCCGGACGGGGACATTGAATAACGTAATCCACAAGCGACCCGCCCATACAAGCGACCCGCCCACTTTCTTCCCTCTCAACAAATCCTCAATCTTTTCCTTCATTCTCCCACCATTACCTCTTATGGCGCAATCTAACGAACACGACCTTATCTTAGCGCTAAACGCGCTTCAATCAAACCCGAAATTAAGTGTTCGAAAGGCTGCATCAATCTATAATGTCCCACGTACAACCCTCCGAGACCGACGACGTGGCGTAGAGCGCAAACGTGATACCCGACCACATAACCAGAAATTGACCCCGTACGAAGAGGAGAGCATCGTACGATACGTAATCGACCTAGATTCGCGATCATTTCCGCCGCGACTTAGTGGTGTTCGAGAAATGGCGGATCGACTCCTCGGCGCACGCGACGCGCCGCGCGTCGGAACGAACTGGGCTACAAACTTCGTACGACGACGACCTGAGCTCCGAACGCGTTTTAATCGAAGAATCGACTATCAGAGAGTCCTCTGCGAAGATCCGGACGCGTATCGCGCGTGGTTTTTACTCGTACGAAACATAATCGCGAAATACGGGATACACGACGACGATATCTATAACTTCGACGAGACAGGCTTCGCGATGGGCAAGATCTCCGCCGAGACTGTCGTTACAACCTCCGATCGACGCGGCAAGCCAAGAGCCGTACAACAGGGGAATCGGGAACGGGTTACAGTAATCCAGGGTATCGGGGCGTCCGGCAATTCGATCCCGCCGTACATCATCTTCGCAGGCAAGGTCCACCTCGACTCCTGGACGTCCGAAAGCCCTCTACCGCCTAACTGGGTAATTACGCTTACTGAAAACGGCTGGACGACGAACGAGAAAGGCCTAGAATGGGCAAAGCACTTCGACTTTTATACAAAGAGCCGTACGAAGGGCGCTTACCGGCTCCTCATTCTCGACGGCCACGAGAGCCACCACTCGGTCGATTTCGAGCTGTACTGCAAGGACCAGAATATAATCACGCTCTGTATGCCTGCTCATTCGTCGCATAAGCTCCAGCCTCTGGATGTCGGGTGCTTCGGACCTCTAAAACGGGCGTACGGAAATGAAATCGAAGGTCTTATGCGGGCGCACATTACCCACATCGCGAAGGAAGACTTCCTCCCAGCCTTTTACAAGGCGTACGACGCTGCAATTTCGAAGTCAAATATACAGGCAGGCTTTAGAGCGACTGGCCTAGTACCGTACGACCCGGAATACGTCATTTCGCAGCTAGATGTGAAGCCTCATACGCCAACACCGCCAGGTTCCTCTACAGGCCTTCCGCCACCCTGGGTCTCGAAGACGCCAAACAACCCGATTGAAGCCGAATCGCAGACTGAATACATCAAGAATCGTATCGTACGGCATCAGGGTAGCTCTCCTTCATCAATAATTGCAAGCTTACGGCAGCTAAATAAAGGAATCGCAATGATGGTGCACGAGCAAACCCTTGTACGCCACGAACTCGCCGAACTTCGAGATGCAAATGACCACCTTAGCCGCCGTCGCCGTACAAAGAGAAAGCAGCTACAGAAAGGAGGATCCCTAACAATTAATCAGGCAAAGGACTTGAAGGATCAAATCGATGCGACGCAGCAGTTACAGGCAGAAACGAGTCAGAATAGTGGTCGCGCGAGGAGGCCAGAAGCACGCGCGCGACGATGTGGCGTCTGCGGGGAGCCCGGTCATAATGCGCGTACGTGTCAGAAAGTTGAGTCTATCTCTGAAGAAGAGGATTCTAAATAGTTTTGATTAATTTGAGGCGTTGTGGTTGAATGCACTTATACATTGTCGTGTAAATGCCTAGAAAGTGGGCGGGTCGCTTGTGTGGGCGGGTCGCTTGTGGAGTACGTTATACATTATTGATGTTCAACAGACAGGGAGTGTTTGAAACAAAGCATTAGCCGGCAGGGCGAAGACTCCAAAAACCTCGCCATGGAAAACTGGGGTGCGCCAGAGATTAAGCTGCCATCGATATTGTGAGTTGTCAGCAAGTAGGTGTGCTTGGTAGCCAGCAGAGCAGCAGGATGAAAGGAGTACGACAAATCCTAATACGCTAAATTCTGGCTATGATTCTCCCTGGCGCAATGCCTGATGCTGGAGAGTATTAAACATGCGGCTCCACTTTGAGAAGCTTATCGACCATGGCGGGCCAGCGAACCCCCCCAGCGCTAGCTAAAGTTTGTGAGGGCCGCCCCACAATTGGACAGGAAAGTCGCGTTAATTGGGACGCGTCTTTTCATCTCGTTGTGCCCCAAAGCCCCTCAATGCCCCCCATGGGGTCCCACGGTGGCGGATCTCACGTATGGAGGACGCTGACTGCAGAACAGACACGCATGTGGCTCCATGACTGGTGGAATTTCCATGTCCGACACCAGAGGTTGTGGAGCATTTCTAAGGAGTGCAGCACATGGAAAGCCTCGCACAAACACAGGAAAAGTTTTGGAGCTTGGGGTAGCCCGCCCGGAGATCCCGAGCAAGAAAAAAGCTCCACTCTAGCTTGATGCTCTATTCTGAAGGTCCAGCCACCTCTTTCTAAGCGTTCGTGCAGCAGCTTTAGGCTTGCGGTCCCTTGTGAAGACGCCTTTTTTGTTGCCGTCTATCCGTAGGATGAAGTCTGTCGGAGTCTGAAAATCGGCAAAGTTCCAGACGTGCTCGCCGACCACGCTCTCAATCCTGTCAAACACCCGATGTGTCATCTCCAGCAGCGCGACCTGGTAGTCTTCAGTCCAGGGCACATCGCCGACCGTGTGGAGTCCGGCCAAGGTGTCGGCTCCGTACTCTGTCATAATGATGGGCTTGCCATACATGGCCTCCCACTCGCGCAGCTCTGCTTCGAGGCCCTTTTCAGCTCCCGCGAGATCACCTGTAAAGATGTACCAGCCATAGTAACGATTCAGGCAGATGACGTCAAACAAGTCTATAATCTTGTCCTCCTTGGGCCCGGCCTGTTTCTCATTTGCATATCCGATGGGCCTGGTGGGATCGAGTTTCCGGGCGAGTACCGTCAAGGGCTCAAAGTATTGCCGAGACGTTTCCTCGTGTGACGAGGGCTCGTTGGCAATCACCCACATGACAACACAGGGGTGGTTCTTGTCACGTTGGATCAGCTCCCTCAGGGCGTGCTCGTGATTCTTGCGTGTCACATCGCTGCAGGTGTCTGGGGAAAAGGTCGGCTTGTGTGCTTTGCCATGCCAGCCGGCCATGATGGCCAGATTCATGCCGACAGCAGGGGTCTCGTTGATGACAACAACGCCATGTCTGTCTGCATAGTCGAGCCACGCTTCATCGTAGGGGTAGTGGGAGGTCCGGAACGAGTTGGCGCCCATCCATTTGAGGAGCTGATAGTCGTGGACCATGAAGGCAGCGTCGTGGCCCTTGCCACGCACTGGGTAGTCCTCGTGTTTGCCGAAACCCGTAAAGTAGAATGGCTTCTCGTTGATGTGGATCTGTCTGCCCACCACCTTGACGGTCCTGATGCCGACATTAACCTTATACTCATCCGCGGCGATCGAATCGGTGGAGGAGAAGAGCCGGACATGGAGCTGGTAGAGATATGCAGCGCCGGGCTGCCAGAGCTGCACGGAGTCGATGGTCAACGTGCCTTGAGCTCCCTCTGCCTCGGCCACGGTTACCCCCGCCTCATCAACGAGCGCGACTTTGACCTTGTTGTTGCTACTGGATAACTGGGTGGTCGTGACTTGATATTCGACCATGCCCGTGTTGCCTGAATTAATGACGTCGGTGACGACACGGACATCGGTGATGTGGTTCTTGGGAATGCAGCACAGTTGCACAGACCGATGGAGGCCCGAGTAGTTGAAGAAGTCGTGTCGGACGATCTGCTTGCGCGTGCCATCTGCAGCGACCTCGATTTCACCCGGGGGAACGGTCTCCCAAGTAAGCTCGTTGTTCACCGCGATGGTGAGCCGGAAGGTTTCTCTCGGCTGTACGATGCTGGTAATGTCAGCCTCGAATGGCATGTAGCCGCCGTGGTGCTCGACGACAAACGTGTCGTTGACATAGACGCGGCCTCGGTGCGTCGCAGCACCAACGCGGATGATGACGAGGTTGTCTCTCCACGAGAATGGCAACGTCACCGATCTCTGGTAGAAGACCCAGCCAACATGCTTCTGGATCTCGCGCTCCGTAAAGATGTCGTTGTAGCTCGCAGGCACCGGCGCTTGTAGCGTAGATGGCAAAGTCCTCGTCCAGGCAGGGTCATCGTCGAGATTTGGAGATGCAGCTAGAGCAAAGTTCCAGATGCCGTCTAACGAGACTACCTCGCGAAGCGCATTGGCTTGGGGGCCCAGCATGTTGCAGGTACGTTGTGGCCACGACGGGGCAAGTAAAAATGCAGTAAGTCAATGCGAGAGTAAGTGAGTGCAGTCTAGGAGGAAAAGATGGCGAAGCGCAGCCGACTGGGGACAGACATTGGAGGACACGGCAAGTCTGCCATGGCAGTTCCACTTCGCAAGTTTGTAGCCTTGACTTGCCCTCCACAGCCATCTCCAACTTCTCCGCACGGGGGCAGGCAGGTAACCCTGGGCGGCGGCGTCCGTGCCGCAATAGTGGCGCCGGGTCCCCGCCCCAGGCCCGAAGCTGGCACGGGCAATTTTGCCCGGACGGCTATTGTTCGGATCTCGGTTGGAGTCCCTTGACCTGTACTAGCTAAATGAGGACTCGTGCTATGCCCGTGGCTGGGCACTGGTGGTGGAGGAGTGGACTCGGCGCCTGGGGTCGTCAAAGGGAGTGGATTGCAAAGGACGCCCGAGTGTGTTGCCCTGCATGCTGTACATGCCCTCCTGGGCGTCCTCCTCAATGTCACCTCATCATGGCGGCGGTGGATAACGACGCGGCCGAGGCAGTGTTGCCGTCGTGCACCGGCTGCCGCAGGCGGAAGCTGAGGTGCTCCCGCCAGACGCCTGTGTGCTCCAACTGCGAGCGTCTTCGTGAGTCCCATGCCCGCCAGGGCTCGCTCGCAGGCCAGCAGCTGGAAACGTGCTGACTTCTGACATCTCAGAGGTTGCCTGCTCCTACGATGGCCAAAGGAACAAGCCGGGGCTCAAAGGTGGTGTCGTCGACAGTCTTAGCCAACGTCTTGCGCAGGTCGAGAAAGCAGTCTTTGGCCAGACCCAGGCTACCCACGCTGCTGGCCACGAAGATGTAACGCCACGCGGCTCTCTACAGGCTTCGCTCTTGCCTTCCGACAGCATTGGTGCCCTTGCCAGCGCTTGCTCGAACCTGGCCGCGGAGCTAAGACACCTCGGCCGCGCTCGCCAAGATGGCGCGTCGAGGTCCCAGGACAGATTCGAAAGTCCCGGGACTTCTGAGGGTCAAGCACAGAACAGCTCGCGCAAACGTCCAAGGTCCGATAATGACCCCGACAGCTTCACAGCCAAACATCGGCAACCACAGTCGTCTATAAGCTACCTGGAGCAGCTGTTCACTGTAGAAGGCTTCCCACCATTTCCCGAGCATGTACTTGTCGACTTAATGCGAGACATGGTCGACGCGTACTTTGTACGCATCCACATATGGGTGCCAATGCTCCACGAGCTGGCCATTCGCTCTGCTCTAGATGATTCAGCAAGGCGTGAGACACTCATGATTGTCTTGCGCGCCATGACGATGGCCTCGCTACGATTCCTATCCATAGGAGGATGTCGCCCCAGCACAGAATATGTCGATGCACTGGTGAAGAAACTCAAGCGCGAAGTACTGCTGGCAGCCATGGCTGGTCTCCAAATTGAGAATGTACAGGCATTGATCATCTTAGCATTCATGGAGGTAAGCTCTACCCGTGAGGGGGAAGACGACCATGTGTTCGAAAAGCAGCCGTTAATTACAGTCTCAGATTGGCGATGGGAATATGGCCGCTGCATGGCCACTGATAGGGTCGTTGACCAGAACCGTCGAGTACTTGGGACTTTCCGTCGAAAACGACGACCGCGCTGCCCGTCCTGCATTGGTACCGACCGTAGCAGCTTTGCCTGCGACCGAGAATTGGCTAGATGAAGAAGAAAGGCGAAGAGTATTCTGGAATGTCTTCATCCTGGACAGGTACTGCCATCCATCGTGGTGGTGGCCCATCGTTACTCGGCGCAGAAACAAGATGGCTGACTGTTGTTTACGGCGCACAGGTTCTCGTCCTTGTCCCAGGGGTAATCCGCATTCGCTCCTGGCCGTTTGTTTTATCACCATAACCTACTGACATTTTGTGGTACCGCAGATGGAATACGAGTCTGACTGCTTCCGACGTGTCCCGCCGTCTTCCAGTTGATGGCGGGAACTGGTTTCACAACAAGCCCGCTGAGACGCCGTACTTCGGCATCTGGGACCGCTCGACGGCCACGATCAGAACGCCGACGGCTCCTCTTCCGACTCACTACGAGAGCTCGGGTCGTAAAACTAGGTCCACCGCAGTCAGGCGGCTTGCTTTGATGGAGTCTCGGCGGTGGGATGGTCACGGTGGTGACAGCATGACTAACGTTGGCGCTTTCGGGTATTACATCGAGTCCATCGAGTCTCTGAGCCAGGTCACGTCAGGTTTTCTTCAGGAGAGCATCGGTTCGCGCAATCCGAGCGAGCTTTCCAGCTGGTTGACCCGTTTCAAGGAAATCGACCTTCGACTAGTACAGTACGTTTGGCTTCTGACACGCCTTGTCTAGCTCTAGGGTAGACTGACCAGTCTTGTCCTTGCAGATGGAAGATGCATCTGCCCAATCAGTGGAAAGATTCTGGGATGTCCCGAGGGAACATGCCTGGTGTCATGGATCCCAACATGACCATCGCGAACGCCAACCACAACATATCTATGATCCTGCTTCACCAAATGATCGCATATCCCAGCGCTGACGTGCGCTATCTGCGTCTCCCGAGCCAGCTCAGTGCAGAGACTTGCCTGGATGCGGCGCTCGAGACAACCTCAATCATTCAGCAATATCTGCGCGGGCTGGGGCCCAACCGACCAGTGTCACCGCAGATGGGTATCTGCGCGTTCGTGAGCGCGAAACTTCTTTTAGGTGCGACCGAGATCCCCGCTCGCTTGACCATGTGTACCCTGCTGACAAACGTCAAACTGCGTGCGAAATAGTCCACCATCAGTACTACAAGACACGGCTCCAAGACCAGTTTATGCTGATTGTGGAGGGGCTGGAACTGATGCACCGCCACTGGAGGGCCATGTTCGACGAGGCTGCAGGCGAGCTACATGACCAAAGACCACAGCCGTCCTTTTTCTCACAGCTGGCACAGCAGCTGCTCGTACTACAAAGGGACATGTACAACAATCCTGACCGCCAGCTGAGCATGACAGGGTCCAGCGCCGAGCTCACACCTTCTGTATTGCCGCAGCCGCCACATCTGGTACCCACGCTTGGCCAACAAGCGCAGGAGCAGGATCCCTCAAACTCACAAGAACCGTTTCGCTCTGAGGCTCCAAAGGCTGGTCAGGTTGCGAAGTCCACATTCCCTCGCCCACAAGACACAGGACTCCCGCCACCGAGCGATCCGCAAAATAGGCCGATTGGAAGAAATGATAGCGAACCGCCCTGGCTGGCGGCACAACGTTTGGGCCCAAGCAGCAGGGCCGACAGTGATAAACCAATTGCGAATAATGGTGTTGAGCAAGAGCCGCATAACGTTGCCCAATTCTCGGCCTTTTCCGACATGCTGATGGACAATGACTTTTTGGACATGGACAGAATCATTAGTTTTGAGGACATGATGTACCCAGCCAATCTCGGTAACATTTAGCAGTAGGATATTGTCTCGGTCAAGAAAGTCACCGCTTACGTACTCTGGTTCCGTCCAGCCTGGCCCGAGTGTTGCAATGGTGCATATCAATGAACAAGCCCCAGGCGAAGTTAAGCAAATACTTCGGACTAATTTATTAGTAGCTATGCTAAACAGCTCGTGAATTAGCATTGCTGCTTTTCTGTCACTAAAGATGCTGGCTAAGCCACGGTCGACGCAAGGTTTCCGTTGTCGTTTTTCGAACGCCAGCCAGTTCTTGCCTACTGCGCGAGGGTGCCTACGCCTCTCAAGGCCTCAATTTCTTCTTGAGCATGCGTCTTTGTTGCATTGAAACGCCAAGCCGGGATCCCACGTTGGTAGAGCTCGTCAATCTCCGCATATGTGCGGCCTTTGGTCTCGGGATAGAAGAAGAAGATTGGAATAAGCATGAGGCCGCTGATTCCCGCAAAGAAGAACCCAATCTTGGTGCCCCATCCGGCGTACTGGTTCGACAGCATGAGCGGAACAGTGTAGTTCTATGCAGACGTGGTCTGGATTAGCATTTGAAACTGGCAATGTGCGGTCGCGCCAGTGAGAGCTGCCAGCGTTCGAGATGCAAGCTTACAAAGAGGATTCCAGTAAGGTACTGGATTGTGACGGCAATCGAGGTTGTCTTCGCGCGGACACTAGGGCTGGAGATCTCGACAAGCGACAGCCATCCAATGGGTGCAAGGGTGTTCGCATAGACAAACGCCCATAGGCAACAAAGCGCAACCAGAGCTGCACCTGAAGCTGCGGTCATGGTGACAAAGCTCAGACAGCCGACGAGGAAGGTCAGTACGGCCATGGCCAAGGTGCCGTACAGAACCAAGGGACGGCGTCCGACAATGTCGACAGTGTAGAACGAGACGATGATGCCGACAACGAGCACGAGCTGCTTGACCATGTTGCCAAGGAAAGGATCGGCGACGCCTGCGAGCTGGAAGAAGTACGTCGTGTAGCCAAACATGAGAGGCACACCAACGATATTCTGCAATGTGAATGGGATGGCAGAGACAAATGCGCGCTGGAGATTGATCTTGTTCTTGAAGATGGCACCCCAATCGGATTGAGTGGCTTTACGCTTTGCCTGTGATTGTTCAAAGTCGTAACGGATAACGGCGAACTCGTGGTCAATATCGTAGCTGTCGATCACACCGACGAGCCTGCGCAGAGCTTTTTTGCCTTCCTCTTCGCGTCCCTTGCTGGCATACCAAGCGGGGGACTCTGGGAGCCACAACATGACGAGCAGCCACAGGCCGGTGAACACAAACTCCGAATAGAACGCGTTCCGGAAGGCCATTGGGTTGTAGTCCGCAAGGATCTTGAAGGCAACAGCAAGGAAGACCTGCCCCAGGGCAAAGCCGAGCGAAAACGCCCCAAGGAGAGCTCCACGGAATTGGGGCAGCGAGATCTCGGACATGTACACCATAACGGCTGTGCCCATCATGCCACCGGCAAAGCCAGCGATGAATCGCGCAATGAGGATGTGGTACCACTGGGTTGAGACGACCTGAATGATGATGGACTAGAGACGCCAAGCTAAAGTCAGACCCAGCTATGCCACCTGTGAAATGATATCTCAGCCGGAAAGAACGTACAATGACGATGAACAGGCTGATCAGCCACATGCAAAGCTTGCGCCCGAACCTGTCAGATGCCCACGGCGCCATGACCTGAATGAGAATCTGCGCAATCGAATAAATGGCACCCCACAGAGATACATATTGGGGATTGAGAGCGAGCTTTCCCGTAGCAGGGTCTCTTGTCGATCCAAAGTAGTTGATAAACCCTTGATTCGCAACGATGCTACCGACCACCGAATTGGCGTAGCCCGCGTATCTGTGTGTGCAAGATGTGATGATTAGTCTCATTCCATGCATAGAGAGAATAAATTTTCAACTTCGAGCCTACTCACAACGCGGCCACGCAGACGAGGAGGCCATTGAGATACAGCCTCTTGAACTTCCACATGGCTTGGTTACGGGTCAACTCTGCGAATGCAGAGATGACGGGCGGGACCTCGTCATCGCCAGACCCAGTCTTTACTATATCGACGTGGTCAACGTCGGGCAGTTTCTCGGCGGGCTTCACTGCCAGGGACGCGGCGACGGGCTTTGAATCGGCCATGGTGACGACCTTGCGAATTTCTTAACCGAACTCTCGCGAGAGAAACGCAGTGACTGCCGATATTGAGATGGTTTTCGAGACCTCAGGGCGGAGGGACAAGTGGTGTAGTGTAGCCTCGTATGCAGAGATCGGCGGAAGACGGGCTCTTTATGTCTCGCGGCTTCCGTTAGTGCTTGCCATGGAATCCGTCGGGACTGAGGAACATTTGAAGAAGCATGGGGTCTCCGCATTCCCCCGCAATACCCCAGGTCAGGCGGGCGCGCGTGGTTCGTGACTAGGGTTGGAGGTGGCTACCGCTAATTCCGAGGTCGGGCCGTCGGCCAGCTACCGGCCGATGAATCCTCCGACGGCCCAACGAGAGCGTGCTGAGCGAGTATTGGCTGCGAGTTCCCCAAGGAGGACGGCGAAAATTACTTGCTTCGGTCATGGCCATTTCCTTGTCCACGGAGACAAAATCTCGATCCTCTGCTTGCAGCAAACTTTGCATGAGCTTGGATTGCATGAACGCCTTCCGTAGATACTCCGAACCCAACTGGTCAAAGGATCGATTTCACCTTCCTGCGTTTTGACGGGTCCGGCGAATTTGCTGTATGCCACTATGCCCCCTCAAGCGGCTCACTAGTATGACCCTCGCAAATCGAGAACTCTAGCTTGCGAAGTCAGCCTCAAGTGGGTCGGACATGTACAATATGACGTCGCTGCACCTGTGCCATGATTTTGTGAAGACTGGGGTAGAAGTGCAAGTCCCCATGTTGTATGCGCCTCGCCCTCGGTAAGTGAGTATCTCTCCAGCAGCCCTTGACGCCTATCCCGGGCGCTGCAACGCTTGGACACCGTCCCTCCCCCTCACATCCGGAATTTGGTGTCATCCACGAAGTTCTCTGCTGCGCAAACTCCTACGCATATTGCCGATTTGCTAATCCGTCAATGGCCCTTACATCGGAGTGAAAACCAGTGCCCGGCCCCTCCTACTTCGCCCCTCGGGGTTAGGAGGGAGTTGGGTGCAAAGCTTTGATATGAGTACACTTCGGAACCAATTGGTACTCGAGAACAGTCGCTTAGACAACCACATATGTAGAAGTGCAAGAGGTTTATCTTGCCACGTACAGTGAATCAGATTTGCGAGAATAGAATTTCAAGTATACCCATAGTTACTTGAAGAACTTCGTCATTCTCCCAGAGCTGTACGGCACGTGGCTATAACTGGCCACAGGAGAGTGGGTTTGATCGGAAGATGCTTCCAAAACAGAAAGGACTTGATGTGGGCCGGTATAAACGACGTAAATGACCATTCCTGTGACTTTGAGGATATCTAGCTGATTGGGATAGCACTCTCCAGTACTGTCTTGATGCACGATGACCTTGAGGGACCTCTCGGAACTCGATATGGCTATCTATTGGATATTGAGTTGAGCTTACTAGAGGAGCTGGAAGCGGTAGGAGTTCGAGTGCTAAGACATCTAGGCACGGCACAAAGCGCAATAGGCGACAATAAGGGATAAGCGCTTGTTGTCGTAGAGTGTTACGACTCTGCTCGGCGCGTCTATGATCAGAGTCACATGTTCAAGTGTCAACATATGAGAATCGACGCTCAACTTGCAGGTAAGCTCCAGCAACTTACAGTGACGTATTGATTGACGCAAAACCATTCTACAGAGCTGCGCGACACCCCATTTCTGTGTAGGCCGAACTGGCAAGATTGCAACTCACTTGCTTCTGACAACCGCTGATTATTCACTGTCACACGCGGCCCTGGGAGTTTCGGTTCAATCAACTAATTAATGAGGACTCCGATCATGAATAGAAAATCAAAGCTAAACCCTTCTCTCACAGATCATCTTCGATCATGAACCGTCAACTGATACTGGATTAATATAGAATGGCGCGAAAGAGGTGCCACATCATTCTGAAGTGGATATTACAACACTAACTTCAACGTATGAAAAATATAGAAAGTAGCCAATGGGAATTGAGTTGACCCTATCAATCCGTATATACATAAAGGGCCCAAGGCTTTAAAGGAAATGCAAGTCCGTGCTATGCTTATACAAATGACCCGGAGAATCCAGTGCCGCTCAAGCCACGCGGGGAAGTTGAGAGGCTGCCACGGCCAAGTTGATTTCTTTCTCCGCACTATCCTCAAGAGGGAGAAGTGGTGAGCGGACGGTAGCATGCTCCAGGATACCCCGGGCGACAAGAGCGTGCTTGAGAGCGACAGTACCCTCCATGTGGGAGCCGCGATGGTAGACAGCCTTCGTCACGGGCAACAGCTTGTCGTGGACGGCACGGGCCTTCTTGTAGTCCTTGGCCTTTCCGGCAGCAATGAGCTCAAGAAGGAGCTCGGGCGCGATGTTGCCATAGCCGACAAGCATGCCGTCGACGTCAAAGGCAGTGTGGAGGAGGTACTCGTCGTGGCACGTGAGAATCTGCAGTTCAGGGCGCTGCTTGCGAATGACGGGAATCTCGGTGTCCCAGCGGCGCATGTTGCGCACGCCATTCTTCATGGCGAAGACACCCGGTTGCGCAGAGATGTCGAGCATGGTTTGCAGGTTGTAGGTGGCCTTGGTGTTGTCACGGTACTGGAAGAGGATCAGAGGCAGGCCTGAGACCTCGTAGACGCGCCTGTAGCGGTCCTGGGGCGCGCCAGGCTGGTAGCCAAAACGAAGCCAGCCATGACTGGGGTAGAGCAGACCGGCGGCGGCTCCAGCTTCACGAGCGCGCTTGGCCTCGAGAGCAGCTACCTCAGTACCCTCTCCAGTAATGCCAGCAATGACAGGAACGCGGCCGTCTGTTGATTTGACGAAAGCCTTGATCACGGCAATCTGCTCATCCTGCGTCAAGAAAGTGCCCTCTCCAGCGTGACCCAAAACCACGAGGCCCTTGACACCCTCGATGCTGCCATGCCATGAACCAAGGCGCTGAATAGCCGGATAATCGACAGCGCCGTCGCGAGTGAAAGGCGTGACAGGAGCGGGGACAAGGCCGCTGACGTCAAAACCGACCGTGTTGGCAGAACCCATGGTGAATAGTGTGGAAAATGGAAAGCGGGGAAATGAGATGACTGGATCGATGTGGACAGATCAAGGACTGAAGTCGTGTGGAAGCTTGGGAGATCTGATGTGGTGTGGTTATGTGTTGTGGTGATGATGATGATGATGATGATGATGGTCAGATCTGGGTTTCTGGTGCAGTCGATGCGTTGCCTTTATAATCACATCATGAGATACTTTTTTGCCTCCCCGCAGATTGTCGCCATCGCGAATCTGGACCTGCCGAGACCGCGGTTCGGCTCCCCACGCGGCCTCCCATGGCGCCGAGCTCTGTCGACTGTCGCTATGTGCTTGATAACTTCCGGAAAAGGACGGCAGCAGGCTCGGAAAACCAGTCTCCGGGATGTGCGTCAGGGTAAGCCTGTACCCAAGGTAAACAGAACGAGGCCTTGACACAGAATATTTAGTATGTAAACACCTCCAGTGAAGATATTGCGGCAGTGATGATTCAGGGGTCAAGAAACCAGACAGGGCCTTTCAGACGCACATACTTATGATCATGCCAGCTGCCGAGGCGGCGAGGAACAGGCCGAAACAGCCAGCCACTAACAGCACTATACTGCCCTTTGCGATGAGGAAGTCCTTGGCAGAAGCGTCCATCCTACCTAGCAAGTATCTCGACAGAGCGGGTAGCATAGCAGTGCAAAGCATAATGTTAACAGCAGCACGGACAGAGAGCAGTAGTCCTGCCTATGCGCGCGCATAGATAGACGTCAGCGGCCAGGTCAAGAACTCTTCTCCGTATGCAGTCTTACAGAAGCTGCGAGTTCTTTGTGACACACATAGCTTGGACAAGGCCCAGCCATAGCGTTTCGAGACGTACTGGTAGAGCACATTTGTCGATTGGCTGCCGACCTTTGAGATCAGAAATGTCAAAACCAGACCGCGAATGGCGGAGTGGCTTGTGACAAAGCTAAAAGAGGCTGCGGTCTCCCGCACGAGGGATCTAAAGCCTTGGTAGACTGTTGCTCGCTTTGATGTTTCTGACTGACTGCTTGGTACAGGTTGCGGCACGGCCAGGCTCCCCGGACCAGTAGTAGTGCCACGCGGCGTGAGCGGATACGGTAGAGTCTCGGGTATCATGGCGGTCATCAAAGCAGCGATGCCTTGAAACATGACACCCCCAAGCAAAGGAACCCAAATGTCGACTGGCATGAGATAGGCAGTGACTGGCGGAAGTGTGAGGTCTGCGACTAGGTCGGTGCAAAACCGGTAGAAGAACACTGTGGCCCTGTCAGGGCGCAGGAGATGTTAGCAACGGAACTGGGACGGCACGACCAGGCAACATTTTGTGACCAGATGTGCATTGGCTCACCTCAGCTCAGATGGCACCACATCTGCAACAATGGTTGTGAGCAGAGTGGTCCCGGTTGTTGGGCCGCCGCCGAGGAGAAAGAACAGAGAAGACAGGCAGACCAGGCCAGTCGGTGCCTCGACTACTCCGACCTAGCCATCTCGTTAGCTTTCCCAGCATGAGTTAGCACGACAGGGGTCGTCTAACGGCTCACAAGATACAAGGGCAGAGCGTAAGACATTGTCAAGCCAAGCATGGTCATGACCAAAATCCATCGACGGCCGTACTTGTCAGCGAGGTAGCCGTACGGGATGGGGAGCAGGATGGCCGGCACGCTGTTTGAGAAGTACAGCCAGCCCAAGAGCTCAGCGAGGCGTTCCTGGACTGGATCGACCTTGCAGTGCCTCTCAGGGACACTACCTTCGGGGTCGATGAGGAGAGGGTTGTGCTCGGCATAGTAGCGCTTGCAGATGGCTGACTCGAACAGTCGAAGTCGCGGCGCGCCGTACAAATCTTCACCGATGTCCGAGACGATGGATGTCACAATGACGAGGGCGACGACGGAAAACCAGTGCCAATCGCAGCGAGATTGTGGCTTGAGCCCGTGTTCCTGTGGCGGGATGTGCTGTGCGGACGGGCTGCCGGTTGTGGGCTCACGTCCAAGTAGAGGCGCCGTCTCCGCGCTCAGGAGAGCTGGCCCATCACTGTCGCCTTCGCGCGTGGACATGGCTGTGCACGCGGTCGTGGATACTTATCTGCACAGAGCCCGCTCCGGCAACTTGGCTTGCAGGTGGTCTACATTGACAGACGCGGAGGCTAGAAGGATAAGAGGGAGCCGATGTGCGTGGTCGAGCGGACCCAGGCGCCTGAACTGCTGTGCATCGTCATCAGACAAGGCGGAGAGACATGTCTGGCATGTCTCATCAGACAGGGTTCTTTGGTATGGTAGGCGTGGTGACGTACGCACCGCCCGGCCTGTCAGTGGCAGCCTGATGTGCTCGAGCCAGGGAGTGCCATGCAAGGTCAATCGTCCCATGCGATTGGGCCCAGTCCCCATGAGACTCCCTCCAGCTTGCTCTTGACTTACAGCATCGCCATGGTGGGTATCATGCAGACGGTCGTGAAGTATCTGATTGAGCTTAACAATGCCACGAGCAACACGGAGCGCCTACTTGAATACACAAACTCCCTGGAGCAAGAGGCGCCACTGGACGGAGAGCCCGTTCGACCATCATGGCCAGAGCACGGTGCGATCGAGTACAAAGATGTGCAGATGCGCTACCGACCAGGCCTTCCACTGGTGATCGATGGGTTCTCACTGCAGATTAGGGCCGGAGAGAGGATCGGTATTATAGGTCGCACAGGCGCACGGAAGAGCACAATCTTGTCCACGCTCTTTCGCCTGACTGAGATCGCTGGCGGCAGTATTACCATTGACGGCCTCGACATTAGCAAGCTCGGTCTCCACCAGCTACGCTCCTCGCTAGCCATTATCCCGCAAGACCCGACACTCTTCCACGGCACGGTCAGGACTAACATTGACCCTTTCAACAAGCACACCGACTTGGAACTCTGTGCTGCTCTCCGTCGCGCGCACCTGAACCCGGCGTTTCAGCAGTAGGGGTCTCAGGGAGGCGACCGCGAGCGCATAAATGAGGAGACGGGCCGCAACGAATCTCTAGTGACGCTCGACGCCCCCGTCGAGGCCGAGGGGCTCAACTTCTCGGTTGGACAGCGGCAGCTCATGGCGCTGGCTAGAGCCCTCCTGCGCGAGACCAAAATCGTGCTGGTCGACGAGGGCACCAGCAGTGTCGACCCGGAGACGGACGCGAAAGTGCAGGAGACCCTCGCGACGGGGCTCCGCGGCAAGACGCTCGTCGCCATCGCACACCGGCTCCGCACCGTGATCCGATACGACAGGGTCTGTGTCATGGACAAGGGCGCAATCGTCGAGCTGGGACCACCTTTGGATCTATGGAAGTATGGAAGTATCTTTAGAGGCATGTGTGTCAGCAATGGGATCACGGAGGACATGTTTATCGGCTCGTGATACGTGATGGGCCGTAGCATGTGGCGACAGGATGCCACTCTTTCAAAGGCGAACGATAGGGCCAAAACATCCTACAAGGGCTGCTACCTAAGACTCCCATCAATAAAGTAAGTGAGCCTATCATAGATAGTGTCAAATGACAGCTGTGGCTCGATATACGAACCATGAAAGGAGGTCCGCAGACCTCAGTATACATAACGAAACCCCGTCTTCTCATAGTCGGTCAAATCCCCTAGCTGCTCCTTCATCGAAACAGAGACGTCACTCCCTTCAGCCTTGTCACGACGGCTATTCTCAATACGGCAGCCAATAGCATACGCTGCCAGACTGGCAATAGCAACAATTTCGAAGCCCAGAATAGCGTTGTAGCCGGTTGTATAGTTCGGTGCCTCGGCGGCAATGAAAACCTGAGGGCCGATGATATTGGCAATACAATAGGCCAGAAGGACGGTTGCGTTGATTGTGAGCTTCTTGGTGTGACCGGATACGTTCGCCATAGGCAGCGACAGAACTAAGAAAATAAAGAGAGTTTGTCAGCACGACGCGGATGGCATATAGAGGAATGAAGGGATGCCGTGAAGTCGACAAGCTTACCAGTGGCATAAGGACCCCAGAAAAAGTAAAACAAGTAGTAAGCAAGGAGGCGGCCAACCTTGTTCTCGCTCGAAAGCACTGGTCGCACGAGTTAGCTACAGGGCGGTTTCTGGCGCTCCCACGAGCATGATTCGGCTGGCGAATGACTTACTTCTAATAAGAATAGAACAGGCCAGCGGGACAAGACAGCAGAGCGCCTCCGAGATGCAACGCTTGTTTTTCAGCCACCGTTGGGGAATGGCGACCATGAGTCCTGCGAAACTCTGTACCATACCAGTAGGCATGCCCAAGAGCGTAGTCTCGAGCTTGCCGTAACCTAGACCGGACAAATCTGCGCCGGAAAGGTAACAAGTCCTCCAGTGGGGACATTCATGCATAAAAAGAACACGAAGAGAAGGTACGTCTTGTAGTCCGTGAATGCTTCCCGGACTTGGTACCACTTGAGTTCCTAATTGTGGCAAAGGGCGATTAGCCGAAGTCAGAGGTTTTGCGGGCTGAACAATGGGAGTCGACGGCAACACCACTCCACTTCAGTGGACAACTAGCTACTCACCTTATTGTCCACCCCAGTCATGTTTTCGCGCACTCTGTCAAGCGCGATAAATTTGTCCTTGCCCTTGAGAAAGTTGTCCTTCAGCGGCGAGTCAGGCAGCCAGATGAGCAGCACTACTCCCCAGAGGAGAGTGAATCCTCCGACTACCAGGAATAGCAGCCTCCAGGAAGCGATGGCGGTCTGGGCATTACCGATGCCATATGAGACGACGCCCGTGACCAGCTACGTATTTGTTAGCGGGAGGTACGGCGGTAGTCTGCTCCTACAGAAGGGTTAGGGAGTCCTACACTGGAAAAAGCCATGAATGTGATAGCCATGCGGACTGGCTGCTCCTGCTTCTTATACCACATGGTATTCAGGATGGTGACAGCTGGAAATAGAGGCGCTTCGAAGACACCCATGAGAAAACGAAGCGCCATGAGGCCTGCCGCGTTCTGAGCTGCGCCAAGACACATCACGAGAATACCCCAAACAACGACAGCAGCTCCGACCGTCTTGCCCACCGGGAACTTCTGCAGAACGACGCTGCCGGGGTATTCCGCGATAAGCCAACCGAAATAGAAGATCGAGCCGACTGGTGAAAGAAAGGAGTCAGTCTGGGTATTCCGCTCCGTGCAACATGTCCCGATGGTTGTCGTGGTTATGGCTGTGACTCACCCCAACTGTATTGCTGGCCGACCAGATGCGTGTCCGTCGTCATGCCGTATAGTGCGGCGTTGGAGATGAGGATTTTCTACTGCATTGTCAGCACGGCCGCCTCTGCCGTGATCAGCCACAGGCTGTTGTTTCACGGATGGGGAAGGCCATACATCAACCGCAGCAATGGTAATGGTGCCGATGATGAGCGGCATGAGGCGCCAGTCGATCTTGCGGAGCACAGCTCCAGCCTCTGATGGCTCGTAGTCTGCCCACTCGCTGTGCACGCGGAGGTAGGCAGCCGCTGGCTCCTCCTCGAGGACGATGGGGGCCTTTTCGGCGACATCCACTGCTGCAAGATCGCCCAAGCGCGGGTCCACCTCGATGTGGCTCTCGCCCTTGGCCATCGCGTCTCCAGCCGTCGCGTTCATGGTCAGAGTGCCAAAGCAGAACTTTATGGTACAAGCAGCGGAGAGTGCAAGAGTGCCGAAAGGTATTGGAGGAATGAATGCAGGCCGGACCCCAATGAACGACTGATAACAGGGGACATTGCGAGAATTCTGGCCGAGATATATACCTGGCGGCGTGCTCAGAGGGCATGGAAACGTCGACTACGGGGGGAGTCCACGCTAAGGGCACGCCAAGAGTATTCTCGACCTTGGACTCTCCATTGAGCACCGCCCTCACACACAGATACGTCGTCGTCGGCTGGTGGTGCCCGATAACGATGTAGCTGGTCTCTACGAAGTGCGCCCACCTTCCCCACATCTGCTATCGGCTCCTAGCCATGCCCACGCATCATATCACGCCTCCACCAGCGCGGACTTATCAGCGGACTTTTGTGCGACGCGGTCGTCTGTACCCCATTGATGCCGCCACGGCCCGGGGGACGGAGTCAAGCTCAGTTGGATTCGATGTAGGTCTCGGAGAGGCAAGTACTGGAGACCCACAGCCAGCGCTCTCCCTCCGCCGAGTGTGCCGACGATCTGTGTGCGCTTCGCACTTTCTCATCCTCAAATGAGGTCTTCTTGCAAGGCCCACATTCCGGTCCGTACTCTCATTATATATCCACATTAATACGAAGAATCTCGATCCGGGGCCGGTAGTTGAAGGACGCTTCTTGGGGTTTCAAACGCAACCGCTTCGCAAGAGCGGCAAAGTCCTCCGGATATAGCAGGAGCGGGCACTTGTAAAGTGCTGCCAGGGCAGGCTCGAAAAAGATTCGATCACATCTGGCCATTAAAAGGAGGGAGCGCCGGGTCTCGTCGCATTCCTTATACGATGCATTCGGATCCCGCAAAGGTGCAGCCACATACTCGAATATGCGCAGCCAAACATGGTAAGGTAGGTCATTGCCAGGGTAAGTGAATGTCGGCTGTTTCAGCTTGACCGAGTCTTTGAAGTTCGCCTTTGACCGTCGAGATCCTTGTGCTGTGGACGCTTTGTCCGTCCCTCGCATGCGCTTCCGAGCAGTCCGAGACGCAGCCCTCGAAGGGCGTTTTCTATTGACGGTTGGCTGCTGTACCGGAACTGGCTCAACGTCATCTGAGAAGCTTTGATCTGTGTCTGGAGAGGCGAGGAGCGCTGCGGCTGCGCGAGTGTGTCGAGCTGGCTTCTTGATTTTGGCGGCACGAGGAGGTATAGATCGCAAGCCGCGACTCGGCCCGGTATTAGGCATGGTTGTTGCGAGCAGTGAGGTCCATTAGGAGTAGCTTGGCTTGCTAGTCGAAGAGGCAATGGCTAGACTGGACTGGAATCTGCAAAGCTGGAGCATGAGAGGCCGGGGACCATGGCAATAGGCTGTCGAATATTGAAGCGCGCGAGAGGTGGAAGAGATATGATCGAGGATCACGAATCGCGGGGGTGCAGTCGTCGTGAGGCGGTCGTGTGAGAATTGTGTTGAATAGGGCGTAGCATTCGTTCAAGTTGGAAGTGGAACAATAGGATTGAAGCACTGACGACTGCACAAAGCAAGTGCAGATCCGCCTGCAGGCAGGCAGGCAGCCGCTGGCCCACAGTGCCCGCGTTACGCACCCCGCTGTGGCTCCCTGCAGACGAGCTCCAGGGGGAATGGAGGCTGCGGTGGGGCATGTCACGCCATCCCGTCTTCGCATGGGCAAGCTTTATCATGCACTCCACCACGATTCTTGCGATGTTGCAGTTCTGTACCACTGGCAGTTACTGGCCTCGCCGGCTTGTTAAATAGAAGGTGACGAAGCATACACAGGTGCATATTTATCAAGGAGAATCATACCGGGGGTAACGCTAAGGGTTGAGTTGTCTCCTCTAAGGCGCAGACTGGCTCTATCGCCAGCTCATCTGGAGTTGAGCTAGGCTCGTACTGAAAGATCTGGTGAAGAAATCAACCACAGACTCGCTTGCGACTCCGGGCTTTGCGGTCGCTGAGCCCAGACGATGCCATTGATTGTTCACGAGCTCGTAATAGTAAGCCAAAGAAACTGCAAGTCGTCATTTACTTCGCCGGCAGATGTGACGCCCTTGCTGTAACCTTGGAGTGACTGCAATATTGGAACTGGTGCCGTTGATCTACGCCATGCAGCTCTATGAATCGCCGCCCTGAAAGCATTGAGTTCAAGGATATCACCGTGTAGTCTATCGTGACACTGCGCCAGGTGTAATTGGAACGACAGGCGTATCTTCAACAGTGTGTATGGGATCACAGGCACTGTGCGCTTGATCCCAGACAGGCACGCCCCCTGGCCGTAGCGCCGTTGCACGGTACGCGTCGCTTCTTTCATCGCCAGCCAGCTCCCACGCGCTTCACTTTCCGGCCCGAGATCATCTTCACTCTGCGCCTCATCCTCGTTCAGTGTTCTCGCACCGTTCCCGTCGCTCTCTTACACTCACGTGTCTCGGGCAACACGTCCACATCGCCACGCAAACGAGCGCGTTTGTGTGTTGCGCATTGTCCCCCATTATTCTTGTTTCCTTTAGTCATCCTTCATGCACATCAACTCCAATTAAGCAACACGTCGCCACGCCTGACTCTCATCTGGCTGCGTCGGCACAAGCGGATAATCCTGTCTTTCGCGCCGCCACGAGGCGTCTTCTCTCCAGTGCCGTGCGGGAACTTGGCACCTGGCACTGTATAGTTGAAGCATGCGTGCTTGAACCGCCGTCCTGTCCACGTGCGCGCCGTGTGCAGCGGGGGACGGTTGCCGTCACTCATGGTCTGCATAAGTGATCACAGCTATCAGTCATAATCAAGGAGTCGCGCCGTCGTGGCAGGCTGCTCTCATGGTCGGTCCACCTCAGACATGGCAGCTACGACACCATTCAAGCGCGACTTCCCATTCCTCCACCGGGCATGGAAGACCGCCGTCGGCCATCTGTCGCCGTATGCTCCGGAGGGCATCTTCACAACAAACGGTGAACATGGCGTCACCGGCAATGGCGACGACGCCGGGCATCGGCCAGCAAAGCGGCGCCGCCTCTCGCAGAGCTCGGCAGACCGAGGTCTCGGTGACTTGGTTGGCAAAATTCTGCCAGATGAGCCCTGCGACTTTGAGAAGGCTTTGCGTATTGAGGTGCTTAAAATCACTCAAAGGGGCGGGCCGGTCCTCACTCCGGACTCATCCACCAAGGACGCCAGCGCTGGATCTCCAGTCAAGAAGGACAAGGTGACCACTTCTGTTAGATGTCGCTGCAAGTTGATCATCTGTCGCGCGCCACGTCCAGAAGAGCTTCGGATCCTCTACTGTGACAGCCAAATCTGCAACGTCAAGGTGCCGTCAGATGCTGACGGGGGTCGCCGGATGGCTCGGATCTACCTCACCAAGCCTTTCCATATTCCCGCGGAGAAGATCTATGTTCTTCGAGAGGACGACGATCTCTTCACCTTGGAAGACTCTTACTTTATCTCTGTCGAGTTGGAGTCAGCTGGCGACCCGAACTGGCCTCCGCAAGCTCTCCTTGCCAAGGAGCAGCGAGATGACGCAAAGGACGCAGGAAAGCGCTGGGTTCTATCGGCCCAGACAACATACCAATTTGACAAGCACCGGACAACAGCGCCCGTGAAGCTCAGGAGAAAGGTCGGCTTCGAGGCCGATGCTGGTTTGGATTTGGACATCGATCTGAGATGGCCAACCAACCATGCAGGCGCGCCTCTGCGCGCAAGGCCAGTCGAATCGCCTTCAGAGGTGAAGGCGGCAGCAAGCGGTGCTCTAGAAACGCTCACGAGTGGCCAACTCAACCAGAGCGCTGAGACTGAGAACATCATACGTGCAGGGGATGGTCACGAACCACCACCGGATGAAGATTTTGACGAGACTGGAGAAGCAGTCACGCCAACACGAGCTCTTAGACAGAAGAAGAAGCAGATTTACAACCTCAAAGCCTTGAGCGACAAAGCCCGCGGGAAGGGCCTGAAGGAACGGAAACAGCAAGTCAAGGCCACAGAGAGTGGCCTCGAGGCGGGACGCGTGACCTGGGTGCTTCCACAACTCGGTCAAGTCACGACGGCTGACTTCGGTTGCATTCGATGTTATGCCACGCATCCATCTCAGGCATTGCTTCTGCAGCACACAGAGGATCATCCGGAATTCAAGTTCAGGCTCGACTTGAGTGGGAAGCACGGCATGAGGATCTTGATATCACAACATGGCCAACCCACACCAGAGCCAGAAGATGCGGAAAGTGAGCCGGCACGGGAGATGACTCCGCGGAAACAGCCCAAGCCTCGTGTATCGCATCAGAAGCAGGTAAGTTCCTGGGCCCCGATCAGTGCACTTGTCCTACAACAACTAATGGATACAGCAGCGCTTGCTTCCTGTGAAGCCAAAGGACCCGAGGCAGCTGATCCCGGACAACAAGCAACCGCTCTACAACCGCGTGACGAAGGCAACGCTCGCACCTGGGGCCTTGATAGAACCACCACCCGTGGACGACTCCTGGCTGATGCAAAAACACCGGGATGTTATTCTTGACTACAGCGACGTGCATGCAGAGGAGAAGGAGTACATCTGCGAGTGGGATGCGTTTGTCCTGAAGCAGCGTATAACATCCGAGCCTCACCTTCAGAATGTCTACCTCAGCTTCATCGAGGAGAAGGCGTCCTGGCTCACTTCACGGCAAAGTCGCATGATAGAGTTCGCCAAGCATCTCACTTATCTGAAGGCCCGAAACTCACTGACACAGGAGACGATCATTAAAGCATTTGCAATGTTGCGAGACGCAAAGGCGGACGCGGAGGAGGTTTCATCTGAGGAGCCAAAACCGGCGTCACCAAGGGTTGAAGGCAGGAGGTCTGCGTCAGGTTGTGGCGTGTGTGGTCAGCCAGTCCGTGGTCCTTCGACGCTGATATGTGATAATGAGGTACGTTTCTATATTGAGGTGTGGTGTGCAGCTTGGCTGACTGATATCGCAGGATTGCGATCGACCCTTTTACCACGACGACTGTATCCGCTCGGAGGCGAAAATGCCTGTAAGCAGTCGCCGATGGCGGTGTAATGGATGCCACGAGGACGCAATGGTGGTCGATTGAGAGTGCGCACCAAACGCCACATTTCATCTACTATGGGGCAGGACAAGGCCAGCGAGGGCGACGAATATGATGCTAGATACACCACCCACAGGAGGGCTGGCTACGCATCAACGAGATCAAGGCCGTGGAAGCTAACATCCTGGCACGCCTACGGGCTGAATGGAGAGGCAGGTGTGGCATGAGATGGAGCCTAGTCACTTGATGCTTGGAAGGGCAAGCTCAAGTTTGAATACAGATTTATGTCGTAAAGGGGAGAAGCTCTCCTACACACCATTAGAGCGTTGGCACCGAGAATAGGGGCGGAGCACATGCAGACACGTGCTCTCTGGGATGACTTGGTGCGAACTATTTTCGAAGACACTTTCGGCGGTGCTAAGCCGGGGCTCTTTTACTGTCGAAAGTCAATGCAATATACCATCATACAGTCGTCCACGGGTCTTCTGCGCGAGAGTCTGAATGACGGCGCCTCTTCATGTTTATGGAGAGTAGGCTACATGGAGAGAGAATGGGATATGATTTGGTGAGGCGAAAATCTTGCATGTAGCGGATATGCATTCAATAGTCACATCTGGGATGATTGCCCGAAATCCTCGTGTAACGTTTATGATTTGCTAGAACGACAGCCCTTGTGCTATATACCTTGACCAACTACCTGAAAGGCGTCAGGCCATTCTATCACAGCACTAAGGCGGCAAACGCAAGAACAGCCAACAGCGCCAGCACGTACCCTTTGACCTGGCAGTTGAGGGGATACATTTCGCCCTTCTTCCACTTCGCGATGGCGGTCTTTATTCTGTGCTTGAGACAATCCAGCCAGGGCGGCGAGGCGGTGCGCGAGGTGCCTGACCATAGTACTGGGGAGGTCATGGTTGCCGATGGAGCCGTTGGAACCACAGAAGGATAAGAAGGGGACGGATTCCGCAAGCGACTTCCATGCTGGGCATGGGCCTGAACTGTATCATGAGAAAACTGCACGTCTGGAGAGGCGTGACAGATTGTGCCTCCGTTTCTATTGTTGGAGGAGAGCACGGCGCTAGTTCCTGCGGCCTTCAGTCTCCAGTCCCTCTCTGTATTTGGACTTCCTGTTGTTGTCCTTGTTGTCCTCGTCGTCGGGGTCGGGGTCAGATCTGGACCTGGCTGCTCGTCTGTACTTCTCCCGTGCTGCGTAGACCAGGCTGACGCCCAGGCAGTAGACGGACAAGGGGAGGACCACGGGCCAGCTGATGATGGACCTTGGTCTGACAGCTGGCACAGAAGGCTCGTATTGTTAGCTTTGTGCCCAGAGTGGTGGCTTCTTGCGGTCGTCATTCTTTTCCCTCAAAGCAGTGGACTGAGCATGGGCCTGAGCGGGACTGACTTGGCTTCTGCACTTACATGAGGATGGGCATTGTTTACCGGCGGTTTCGCAACCATGAAAAGTCGCGCGCTCTTCCAACTTATCGCCGAGAAAGGTCCACTTGTCCTCGGGGGCACTGCGCGCGACATTGGTGTGAACCGGCTCCAATGTCGACTCGGTTGCCGACGGGGACGCGATATTGGGTGGCTGCCAGCCTGGGCCGTGGACGGGAGGGAAGACGGGAGGGATTTCTGTGCCCGTGGGAACGGGATGTTCGTCGGTCATGGTGGGGACGGCGAGCTGGCGAGCTTCGTGGACCAAGGTTGTGATGGGGAATGCTAGGACATGAGCCGGAGGGTTCCAGGGAGGGATCGTATAGACGACATCCTCAGAGCCTGACATCGACCGGAGTGTGACGGTCAAGTTAGACTCCTCTTGTATAAAGTCCGTCGGTCGTGGGATGGGGGGAACCGCGATGGGCAGCATGTGGCTAGGCGCGGCGACCTCGGACGTTGCCGTTGTGTGCAAGGACGACATGATGCCGCCGGAAGGCACAGCGGCCGTGAGAGGAAGGCTGGGCACCGGCACTATGCCAGAGGCAGTGGTGGCAAGAGTTGTGTTGACGGACATGTCGCAGTGCGAGTGAAGTTGTGACTCGAGCTATTGTTGTCTTGTTTGGTTGGGAGCGGTATCCTAGGCCGATTCGGTGCCAAGTAGGCTGGGAGTCTTGGTATCCGAGGTTATGATGCCTAGAATTGTGTCTCAAGAGATGGCATCGAAGGGTGTCAGGCATAGTTCTTTATGTACATTTCCGTCAGAAGGGCTTTCTCCGCAGGTCAAGCCAGCCAAGCGAGGGCCATGGTTTTGTCTTGTGACGCCTCCAAATACCTATCTCCGTTGCCATCACTGTCCTTCTACCACCGACTGCTTTTGAAATATCTCCATGGCAAGTGGGATACCCCTTTGGCATGCAGGCACACATGGATTAGATCCTCACGTGGTGCAAATGGTACAAACCAGGAAGCAGGTTAAATGTAGCCTCGCTTTGCCATTCATGTCCCAGTACGACTTGGGGAAGCTTTATGTAGGCTGTCCTTCGAGCGTTTCGCATTGACTCATGCTTCCTGCTGGGTATGATGACTCCTCAAAGCCTAGTGCATCACATCGTGCCTCATTCCTTACCATCACCCATTTCTTCATCATCGTCCTCTTCATCATCATCCGCAGCTGCTTCACCGTTCGCATCATCATCATCGTCCTCCTCTTCCGAGCTCGTCCCCGAGCCATCGCTGTCACCGTCACTGCCCGGATCGTAGTCTTCCTCGTCTTCATCCTCATCATCTTGGAGCTGCTGCTCCGCCTCTTTCTGTGCCCGCTCCAGCTCTGTCAGGCCGTCGTCCTCGCCAGCAGCCTCCTCGCCGTTCGCGCCATTTGCGCCTTCCTCTCCCTTCTTGCCCTTGGAGTTCTCAATCAGCTCTCTCTTGGTCTTCCGCTGGTCCGCCATGTTGCGGTCTTGCAGACCGTGGCGTGCAACATAGTCTCCGTTGATACCGCCATAGTCTTCCTGGTCTAGCATGGAAAACTCAATCTCCTCCGTCTCCTCCTCGCCGTCTACTTTCTCGCCCGTGAATATCTCCACAACCATGTTGAATGTCCGCTGTAGGACACTGGTGTAGCTTACGGACGCAATGCGGTCCAGCGGAATAAACATGAGCGGCTTCTTGAAGCCCCAAAGAATGCCGTTCTCCAGGAAGAACAGGTAGCCGTCCTTGGATCCTCGGAACGCCTTGACGTGCACGGCTTGCTCTTTCGGCCGGTGTGGCTGCTTTATCATGCTGTGGAACTTGGCCGGGTCCGCCGCGACAATTTGCACATTGTGTCCCGCTGCTTGTAGGCATTTGTTGATTGCCCAATGGAGGAGCGTGGTGAATGTGTCTGACACAGAGGCCGCTGCTGCCGCGTTCGGGCCGCCTATGGCTCCTGGTTTGGGGGCACCCGCAGGGATCGTGAACATCAGCGGGTCTTCGGGCGCAGGGCTATTTTTCGTAGAAAAGTACGAGTTTCGTGGGAAACGGATGTAGTTGTGTTGTATCTGGGCCTTTTCCGGCACTGGCAGGTAGAACGCATATTCTGCAGATCAAGACTGTGGTCAGCGCATGCTTTCGTCTCCCCTGCTGCGTGATCACCCAAATAGTGAGACTGTACCTATGTTCTTCCATGCAAATATAGCCCCTGTCACGGGTATCGTGGTGCCTGTCGCCCTGGCATAGATGTGCTGCTTTGTGAAACACAAGTCAAGCTTCTTGCGCTGCGGTATGGATACTGAGATATCCTTGACCTCAAGCAGTGTGCTTTCCGCGGCCACATCTTGCGCTGAAGGGACCTCCAAGGCGCTGCCATTTTTCGTCGGCTCAATGTCGACGCGCCGTCGCTTGAGCGAGGGCTCTGAGCCTGTTGTGGACGACGCAGAGGTTGTCTGGCCGTGTATGAAGCTGGCGACGTCGTCGAAGAGCTGAATCCGCACATCGGAATCGGCAGCGTGCCGGATACCCTCGAGGATGTCAGGACGAGACCGGAAGACCTGAGTCAGCTGCTCCAGGTCGAGCTTTGCGGCCATGGCTGGCGTACTTGGCGACCGAAAGGGTCGCGGAGAAAGTGGTTGTTCGAACTATGCGCCGGTTCTGATCCAGGCAATCGCTTTTCGGGGGGCGAATTGGGCTTAGCCCGAGGATTGTTGGTGGCCAGGAAGCAGTGGCAAGTCCCAGCCTATAATGCCTCGACAAGTGTAGGTGGTGATGCGCTGTTGAAGATGGCGAGTTTGTGTACCTGGGTACAGCGTAGGGAATCCTAGGCGACATGATAAGAGCATTGCCACTCTTGTTTATGTTCGGATTTGGGACCAGCGGGTGTGTTGGAATTGTTGGTTCGGCCTAAAATATGCCTCACCTCGACCTGCGGGCGGGAATGTCCAGAGACTAAATAGAGGCCGTGTGTCAATACAGCTTCGCCTGCCGCAAGCTAAAGGCATTATACTAGCGCAACATTAGCGCAAATGGTGTTCACATGCAGGCAACGGTACTCACGCAATGCTCCTTCCTGTGACCGTGGTTACATTGTGTGCCGACCATGAGGTTTTAAGAGGGCAATTGATAGGGGGGCATGACGAATTGATACGCGGGCATGACCCTTAGGGGGGCATGACTTTTCGGGCCTCTGATTCGTCAATTTCTTTTTTGTTAGTGTTGGCAGAATTCTGCCGTACCCTGTTAAGTACCTCAAGGCTATCTCCCCTAATCTCGGAGCTGACACGACGCGACGCGATCAGATCAAGCCCACCAACAGCAAGCAAATCCACCATGGTCAACCTTCGATAATTGGGAACTTCGTCATGTTCCAATCCGAGTCTCCTTCCAACTCGAGACGACGAACCCGTAGTTCTAGTCCCCACGCTCAAGATCAAGTACGGCCTCGAAAACGACAGCGGCAGAGCCGACAGGGCAAGTTCAGCCCGCCGATATTTGCGAATCGGCCATCCTCAGCGAGCAGCATAGCAACAAGTATCGGCCAATACTACGGAGTCGGCGACGAAGATGTACTCGGAAATCTCTTTGCATCTTACCCAGAAACCTTCACGACAGCTCCACAGCCGCACGGATGGCGTGGACTTCACGAGCCACCATGGGAGCTCCGTTTCGATCACGGGGTGCACCTCTCAAACGATTTCCCGTCCGGTGGAAGGCAGTCCTTACGAGTGAGGATTCCTGTCCCAGGACCAGAAACCGACCCACTGTCTTCCTTGCCACTTCAATCAGCACAACAGCAGCAATCGTCACCCACACGGGCCGAGTTTCAATCTGCCCTGAAGCTAGTACGAAAAGTGATTGGGACGGAGCGGAGGCTTACGCTCGAGCTCGCTCGGTCATACGAACGAGTACGTCAATGGCGCGAGAGATGGGGCTACTCACCACTCAGCTCAGATGCGATTGAATCGCCTCCTCCCTACTCACCGCCCCGAGAGCCGTCCGCCCAAGCTTCATCTCCTCAAGAGATGCGATCTTCTCCTCGGATGTCTTCGTCCCCCGACCCAGACCCGATCCCGAATCCGCCGATCCCAGGCGACCCAAAGCCGTCAGCCGAAGCTTTGTTCGACGTGGTGAACACCTTTGCGAAAGAGAATGGCTTTGGCATCGTCCGACGACATGCCTATTCCTACAATGGTCGGAGGATGAGGTACTCTTTCCAATGTGACCGATACGGAGAACCACGGCCGAGTAGAGGTACAGGGCTTCGGCTACGCAAGTCTCGGAAGTGTGGATGCAAGTGGATGGTCATTGCTGAAGCTCTAGAAGAGGGCAAGTGGCTCCTAAGACAACACCCAAACCCCGAACACAATCAACACAATCATGGACGTAGCATTAGGCCGTCTGCGCACCCTTCCCACCGACGACTCACTACACCCATCAGGGCTACCATCGAGTCGACGAGCCGTCGGGTCGGTATCCGGGCCCGTGACGTACGGGCTGTGGTCCAAGACCAACATCCCGAGTCAATCTTGACGCAGAGGGACATCTACAACGCCCGAGCTCTCATCAACCGAGACAAGCTGAATGGCTATACTCCCACCGCCGCGTTAATCAAGCTGTTTGACGAGATGGAGATTCCCTATCTCGTGAAGTGGGCGGACGATGAGCCAAACCGTCTCGTTGGCCTTGTCTGGACTTTTCCCTACTGCCTCCAGATGTGGAAGCGGTTTCCCGAGGTGATCAGCTTCGACAACACATACAACACCAATCGCTTCAAGCTTCCATTATTTCAGGCAACAGGACAGACCTGCCTTGGCTCTGTCTTCAATGCTGCTTTCGGCCTGATTGACAACGAGAGACGGGAGGGGTTTCAGTTCCTCTCCGAGAGTATTCGACAGCTCTCAGAGCAACACTCTATTCGCCAACCGGACGTTATCATTACCGACTTCGACGATCAGATGAAGGCAGCCCTGAATGATCAGTTCCCTGATGCACAGCAGCAGCTGTGCATCCACCATATCAATTCTAACGTCTTGCTCAAGTCAAAGCAGAAGTGGGCCAAGGGCCACAGCAGCAGCAGTTCCGACAGCAGCGACGGAGAAGACTCTGCTCCACAGGCACAGGCTGAGCTGAGCCCCAAAGACCGACAGTTGGTCCACGCCCCGACGGCGGCGGTCATCCCTCATAGCTATCGAGGGGTCCTCATGATGTGGAAGCTCGTCATGTTTGCGGAGACTGAGGAGGCTCATGAGAAGGCGTGGAGAAATCTCTGCAATGAGTTTGATGACCAGCGAGCTATCCTGCGGTATCTCCATGGAACTTATATGCCTGTACGGGCGCAGTGGGCGCGCTGTTTCATTCGCAAGTATCGCAACTTCGGCGTCCGCGTCACCTCTGGTACAGAAGCAAGCAACAACAACATCAAGAGCTATCTCCTGAATGGTATGAGCCATCTCTATCGGCTCATGGAGGCTATGCAGGACATGATGAGGGACCAGGAGCGAGATTTCAACGACGCTTGCGCAGCGGACGAGGTACTTACCGCGCGAGAGTACATTGGGCCTAGCTCGGAGTATCTCGGCGAACTCCGGACGGCGCTCTCTTCCAAGGGCCTTGGACTGATCAACAAACAATATCGGCTTGCAAGGAAAGCAATGCCGACCGGGAAGAATCCGTTCCCTGAATCCCTCAGAGATTGCGGCGAGGACTGCTCGTTGTCGATCGAGCTTGGAATTCCCTGCTGCCACAGGATCTACTCAAAGCTGAATAATGGCACGCCTTTCACGAAATGGGACGTCCATCCTCGGTGGCACCTACGAGAAGCATCCTCTCGAGATCCATACCGACGAATCCTCGACCCTAAGATCGCCACTGCTCTCCGTGGCAGACCTAAGAACGCCAAGCAGGCCGTTCCATCAGGGCTAGCCATCGAGACTAGTAGTCAGCCGATTGGTCAACCGGTCGACCAGGGGCCCCCGAGCCGTAGGCGAGGTCGTCCACAGGGCAGCTTGAACAAGTCGACTCAGGCCAGAATGGAACTTGGGACGAGCCGACAGGCCAGTGGCCAAGCTGATGTCTCGAATCAGCGCCAGTTACGCAGCCAGTCGACCCTTCTAGGGACGGGAAGAACCACAGGAGTTCGTGCCAGCGGGCGGAGAACGCAGCCCAGCATTCGGAGACGGAGGAATCAATGGGAGCTGGCTGATGGCGAAGAGGAGATTCTTCCTTCCATAGTAGTAAGGGGAGACGTAGACAGCTTTGGTTATGAAACAGCCCTTGAATACCCTGTACCTGTGAGGGGGGCCGCACCCACTCAATTAGGAAGCACTCGCTGAGTCAGCGAGCGCCCGTCTCTTACCTGTCGCTCGCCTGGCGCTCGCCAATCGAGCGACGGTAAAGCAATAGTCTTGTACGACAGCGACCTTTTGGAATACAGAGAACTTCCCATCGCGTGCCTATTCCGGATCAGTACCTTCTCCTTAACAGTACCGAAAGCAATACTTCTCTTTGACGCCTGTTCTAAAGGGTTAGTGTTGGTCGGGTGCATTTGCGGTCACGAAATCTGGGCTTGTTAAGAGGGCTGGCTTCACCGCCTTTGCTCGGAAGTATTTATGGATCTAGAAAATTTGGCCCAATCAAGTGTTACAAAAAGTCATGCCCCCCTAAGGGTCATGCCCGCGTATCAATTCGTCATGCCCCCCTATCAATTGCCTTTCTCGTAAGGGCCCAAGGGTGGAGGTTAAGATTATTTCTGTGGTTTCCTCGACCTCCTAGAAGGCGGGTCACATACATGCTTTTGACACTCAAGGCTAGGTGTCTCACTACCTCAAGGAAGAACTCGACCCGAATCAATGTGTACCTTAATAATAAGCATAACTGTGGAGCTTACGCTGCCTTATAATGGTAGATTAGAATTCTGCAAAATCTTAATCCTGCTGTGTATATAATTGTAGCCGCATGTACGATAGCTCAACGGGGACTTCCCAACCAAGGGCCTTCTCTTAATTTTGTCCCGCTCCATACACTGTTAGAGCAATGATTCTGGGATAAAGATGCCGCCAATAAGAAGCTCCATCGCCAGGAATGTAGTGAATTCTAGGGGCCCTCTCCAACCAAACGTCAGATCGGTCAGAAAAGATCGCCAGTGGCCAAACCAAGGAGAGATTGAGTACCCAGACACCATGAAGAATCCGTGGAGTCCCGTCAGTAAGACTCGTCTTTGTGCCATGGAAACTTCGGCTAGGCGAAATGGGCTATGGGTGATTAGACGGCTAAGGCCAGTGCCTTGAAGGACTCGCACAACGGTGAGCATTCCGATGTGAGCGCTACCGGCTGGCAAGACGCCAGCAATGAAAGTCAGTGCGTATGCCCCTCTTAAGGCATGTCTGCGGCGGAAACTGTCGACAGCCAGGTTGTCGGCCAGTGCGGCGATTATACCACCAAGGAAGAAGAGCACATTGATCACACCAAGTACGCTGTCGAAGTATCGGGCATTCGTCCCCACGAAGGAGAGCTTGAAGTAGGTTTGAACCCCAAGGTTGGCCCAGGTTGGCAGCGAATTAGGCAGCACTTGGAAATACGCACTGGCGTCGCCTCCTACTGTTGTGGTGTGGATGCTGCTGCGAGGACATACTAAAGCCATCTGCGAAGCTGTCGAGTGTTGCGATGAATCGTACAATTATGGTGTCTGTGTACTTTAATCGAGCTGGAACTAAGTATCTGCTTCAAATTTTGGTCTAGTACTGTAAAGTGTCTTCAAAGTGAAGTTACGAGCCGTTCTGCAGCCCACCAAAGACGTCTGCTCCCCGCGCCCCCGCCCCGAAGCAGCAACATCCTTTCACCATTAGCGATCACGCTGATGTTCACCTTGCTGGTAATACGCATAATGTGCAACAAATGACCTCCATCTCTTTGTTGCAAACTTGTGGCATGCTTTTCGGCCAACAAGAGCAAGGTCAATTCATGCAGCATAGTACTATGTAGCACAAGGTTTAAGATGAGGTAAGACCAGATTGATATATAGCATACAAACAAACAGTGTTGAAGCTTGGCCCCAAACAGGCGTCATTGTGGTGGTTTACTATCCTATAACCATATCGTCCCTACCTTATCAACCATAATCAGGAAAGCCAATGCCTCCAAGTCTTGTGCCTACATCGTGACCTCGATATGTTAATTGGCCGTATAAGACGTTTACCTCGCACCGGCTGCTACTGCTGCTCGTCTTGACGGCGGACCAAAGAGTTGACCTTGACACGCAGCCTCTGAGACCGTCCATTGACACGCGATCGGACATTCAAGTAAAACCTCCACCGAAATGGTGTCGGAAAATTATGCCCAGGAGACCCTGGGCTCCCCATCGACTCAACCAAGCTCATGGGACGTCTGCCGCTTTGCGACGGCAGACTTTGCCGTGACCTCGATAGCGTGGCCGTATGATAGGGAGAAAATCCTGCTTGGGCCTTACAACTACCTTCGTTCACATCCAGGTAAGGAAATCCGGAGCCTCATACTGGATGCCTTCAACGAGTGGCTCAAGGTGCCACAGGAGAGCCTCGACATTATAACCAAAGTAGTCAGTACACTGCATACGGCATCACTGCTCTTGGACGATATCGAGGATAACTCGCTGCTTCGCAGAGGGCAACCTGCAGCACACAGAATTTTTGGCACGGCGCAGACAATCAATTCTGCCAATTACGCCTATTTCCTGGCCCTGCGCGAGCTGAAGCAACTTGATAATCCCAAGGCTCACGACATTTTTGTCGAAGAGGTGGTCAATCTCCACCGAGGTCAGGGGATGGACCTTTTTTGGCGCGACACTCTCCACTGCCCCGAGGAAGCGGAATATCTCGAAATGGTCGGTAACAAGACCGGTGGGCTTTTTCGTCTTGCCATAAAGCTCATGCAAGCCGAGTCCACGGCCTTACTGGATTGCGTGCCGCTCGCTCATCTCATGGGTCTCGTTTTCCAGATCGCTGATGACTACAAGAACCTTTTCGACATCACGTATACGCAGGGCAAAGGGGTATGTGAGGATTTGACAGAAGGGAAGTTCTCCTTTCCTATAATCCACAGCATTCGCTCCGACAAATCAAATCTGCTGCTGTTGAGCATCCTTAAGGAGAAAACGGCGGACGTTGAGGTGAAGCGGTGCGCGGTCAAGTACATGCAAGGTACTGGCAGCTTCGACTACACCAAGAAGGTGTTAGATGTCTTGATTGACCGCTCGCGGAAGCTGGCCGACCAGTTGGACAATGGCCGCGGTCAACATGTCAAGATACTTGACACCTTGAACAGGATGATGATTTCGTAATCTGGTTTAGGGAGCTTTCGTTATGTGCGAAACTACCCTGCATTTATTGGGCTAGCTCATAGTGTACGCACAAATTTTACACAATGTATTGTTCCTCCGACTTATTCATGGACCACGTGAAGAATCTAGAGAAGCAATAGATATATTACCCCTTTAGCGGGGGCAATTGCTACACCGGCGTGAACGAATGGCTACACCGGCGTCACTCTTACACAGGCGTCACTTCCATGGCCTCTGATTCGCTCTTTTTTCCTTCGACCCACAGGTACATCGGCGCAAAGGCGGTGAAGCCAGCTCCCTTAACAAGTCCCTCAGCTTCGGTAAAGAACCAATAGGGTCAACCCAGGTCTAGATCGAGCTCATAACAAGATCTGCAGAACAAGACCAATTCAAGTATGCTCTAGATGCCAGCTCTCCATATCGCTATCCTCTCACTACTATCGAGGGAAGTACCTCCTCGTCGCTGTCAAGCAGCTCCCACTGACTCCTTCGCCTACGAATGCTAGGCTGCGTCTGCCGCCCGCTGGCACGTACTCCTGTAGTTCTTCCAGCTCCAAGAACAACTGACCGGCTGCGCGTTTGGCGCTGGGATGGGGTACTGGCCTGGTTACTAGCCTGGCTGCTGGTCTGTTGGCTCACTTCCAGTGGAAGCCTAGCTAGCGTTGACTTGTTGAGACTTCCCGGTGGTCGACCACGTCTGCGCCGTGGTGACTTGCTTGCTGGTTTGTTGGCTGGCTGGCTACTGGGCTGGCTGCTTGCCCCGATGGCTAGCCGCGCTGGAACAACCTGCGTGGTGTTCTTAGGTCTGCCCCGGAGAGCAGTGGCGATCTTAGGGTCGAGGATTCGTCGGTATGGATCTCGAGAGGATGGCTCTCGTAGGCGCCACCGAGGATGGACCTCCCATTTGGTGAAAGGCGTGCCACTTCCCAGCTTTGAGTAGATTGTGTGACAGCAGGGGATTCCAAGTTCGGTCGAAACCGAGCATTCCTCGCCGCAATCCCCGAGAGGGTCAGGAAACGGATTCTTTCCTGTCGGCATTGCTTTCCTTGCCAGCCGATATTGTTTCGTGATCAGTCCGAGACCCTTCGAAGAGAGCGCTATTCGGAGTTCGCCAAGATACTCCGAGCTGGACCCCATATACTCTCGTGCGGTAAGTACCTCATCCGCTGCGCAGGCATCGTTGAAATCCCGCTCTTGGTCCTTCATCATGTCCTGCATAGCCTCAAAAAGGCGATAAAGATTGCTCATACCATTCAGAAGATAGCTCTTGATGTTGTTGCTTGCTTCTGTACCAGAGGTGACACGGAGCCCGAAATTGCGATACTTCCGGATGAAACAGCGGGCCCATTGGGCCCTGACGGGCATGTAGGTTCCATGGAGATACCGCAGGATAGCTCGCTGGTCATCAAACTCCTTACAGAGGTTTGCCCATGCCTCCTCGTGGGCCTCCTCCGTCTCAGCAAATAAGACGAGCTTCCACATGATGAGAACTCCTCGATAGTTATGAGGGATAGCCTCGGTTGTTGGCGTGTGAACCAACTCTCGGTCTTGAGGGGTTAGTTGAGCTTGTGGCTGCGGGGTAGTTGCCTCTCCGTCGCTGGTACCAGGGCTACTTCTGCTGCTGCTGCGGGCGTTAACCCACCTCTGCTTTGACTTAAGCAGGATGTTCGAATTGATGTGGTGGATGCACAGCTGCTGTTGTACATCGGGGAACTGGTCGTTCAATGCGGCTTTCATCTGGTCGTCGAAATCGGTGACGATCACATCCGGTCGCCGGATGGAGTGCTGCTCTGCTAGCTGTCGAATGCTCTCGGAGAGGAATTGGAACCCTTCTCTCCTCTCGTTATCTATCAGACCGAAGGCAGCGTTATAGACAGAGCCAAGGCATGTCTGTCCCGTTGCTTGGAATAAGGGAAGCTTGAAGCGGTTCGTGTTATATGTGTTGTCGAAGCTGATCACCTCGGGGAACCGCTTCCACATCTGGAGGCAGTAAGGAAATGTCCAGACAAGGCCAACAAGACGGTTTGGCTCATCGTCTCCCCAGTTAACGAGATAGGGAACCTTCATCTCGTCAAGCAGCTTGATCAGTGCTGCAGTAGGAGTATGGCCATCCAGCTTGTCTCGGTTGATACGAGATCTGGCGTTATAGATGTCTTTCCGTGTAAAGGATGATTCGGGATGCTGCTCCTGGACGATAGCACGTACGTCACGGGCCCGAATTCCGACCCGACGGCTTGTCGATTCGACCGTTGTCCTGATAGCCTCGGTGAGTCTCCGATGGGAGGGATGAGCAGATGGCCCGATGCTGCGGCCGTGGTTATGCTGGCTGTGTTCGGGCTTCGAGTGTTGTCGTAAGAGCCACTTCCCCTCTTCTAACGCCTCGGCAACAACCATCCATTTACATCCACACTTTCGAGACTTCCGTCGTCGAAGTCCTGCGCCTTGACTAGGGGCTGGTTCTCCGAATCGATCGCATTGAAAAGTGTACCGGATCCTCCGACCCTTATATGAATGTGCATTTCGTCGAACAATACCGAAGCCATTAGCCTTCGCGAAAGTATTCACCCACTCGAACAGGACTTCGGCTGACGGCGCTGGGTCGCCTGGGATAGCTGGGTTCGGGATCCCGTCAGGGACAGGCGATGACGAGAGGTCGGGCAAGGGCGGTGAAGCTATAGTCGGAGAGTGCCTGTCTCGGGGAGGCGAGTAGGGCGGAGGTGATTCGAGTGCATCTGAACTAAGCGGCGAGTAACCCCATCTCTCACGCCATTGGCGGACTTGTTCGTATGACCGGACGAGCTCGAGGGTTAGTCTCCGGTGTGTCCCAATCACCTCGCGTACTAGCTTGAGAACAGAATGAAACTCGGCCTTGGTGGGAGAGGGATGCTCTTGTACTGATTGCGGTGGAGAGGAGCGAGGTAGTTGGTCCGTTTCTGGGCCTGGTATAGGGATTCTAACTCGTTGGGACCGTCTTCCTTGGGATGGGAAATCGTTCGAAAGGTGAATCTCTTGATCGAATCGTAGCCCCCATGGTGGCTCGTTCAGCCCGCGCGATCCACGGGGCCGTGGCGCGGTCGTCAACGTCTCTGGATATGAGGCGAAAAGATTATAGAGTGCTTCATCGTCGCCGACGCCGTAGTGTCGGCCAATGCTCGTGCCTGTGCTATTAGAGGAAGGTGGTCTTGAACTATCAGATTGGTCCTGCCGCTGTCGTTTTCGAGGCCGGAATTGATAGCTTCGTCGTCGTTGGTTGCTTAGGGAGCTAGATGGAGACTCGGGCTGGGACATGACGGCCTCGATCGCGATAGGGAGTGTCGCACGCACGGTGAGAAGATGAGTAAAAGAGTACTTGATTCGACTATGAAAGAAGGAAAGAAGGGTCTCATTTCGGGCAGAAAGTAAAGACCTGCTTTGCGATGCCGATTCTAGATGAGGCTGTTGGCGCGATCTGATACAGCCTGTGTTCGAGTTTTGGTCTCAGCAGGGGTCCAACACACCTCACTCCAGCCCTGTGACCTTAACAAATACCGTATCTTTCGCGAAAATCATTCTAAGTAGGCTCGACATGCGGCAAAGAGGTAATTAGTGTAGTAGCTAGCTGGTGAAGAGCTTCCATAAGGCGCGTCGATCGTTGCGGTGGAGAGGTAAGCCCGAGGTACAACGGGCGCTGTTGGCAGAATCTAAATGCACTAACAAAAAGGGATGGACCAATCAAAGGCCGTAAAAGCGACGCCTGTATAAGAGTGACGCCGGTGTAGCCATTCGTTCACGCCGGTGTAGCAATTGCCTTAGCGGGAGTGCCAATTCCCACTTATCACACCGTGTCACCGCAGGTTGGACGCGGACACTCCATAAATAGGACCCATTTTGACTCATCTATTACGGGACGACATCATGATCAAGGTGACCCATGAGGGACACGTGGAAAATGGTGCCAGAAGCCTTACCTTTGCGGTCGTCGTAAAGCAGTGAAATACTGAACCAGTGACGTTCGTACATTCTCATTCGAGAAGCATGTCAACGTACATTGCGCCGCCTAGAGCACACGAGCAATTACATGACATCTGGGAGGAAGCAGGTTGAGGAAATCTACCCATTACTTACCCAGCTTCTGTGAGGGAAACAGTAGAGCGTGGGCGGTGCGGGCCTTGCCCATGTAAGCAAATAAGCTAGTGTCAGACCCGGGTTCTTACAAAATTCGGCCATGTCGCTGTGTGCACATAAAGCGGCAACACTTAAGATCCAGCATCTGTTGAATAGGTGATTCTAGTGTTGTGTGGAGAGGTTTTTACGGCATGGGGTCTGCAAGACGTTGCACAAAAGCCTGCAAGTGCGCGATCGCGTTTCGACGCAAGCATCATGCGGCGCGGCTTTGCTCAGCTGGAATCAGGTTGAACGGGGATCGGAGATGCCGGACATTGAGTCGAATGCCGGCGATGGCCGATAAGATGATCCTCGCAACAGCACGACATTGGCACTCATGATCCCGGGGATTAAGAAGCACCTACCGCTAGTCAAATTCCTGGTAGACCAGATACCGCTCAATCGCGATCTCGTTCTGATTCGCCTCGGCGCGGCACAAATCGCCGGCACCATGTCGCAAATTCAGTGTAGACCTCGAGCCTGGAGCGGCCCCACAGGTAATTCAAATGAGGAGCGACAGTGAGAGTACCATCAGTGTAGCTGCACTGGTCGTCACCGACAAACCCGAGACAAACACAGCTGGGTAGCAAGCCTAATCCGGCCTATAATATGGACAGCAGAAGCCGGTCCCTTCCATTTCCCTCGCCTCCAGTCCTCAAGCCAGTGCAGAGGACCTACTTGAAATTCACTCCTGAACCTCCTTCGAGCCCTTCCCTATGATGAATGCTTGTATAATGGAGGATTGTCCTCCACCGTCACACAAGATACTCATCCATGACGACCAGGCCATGCTGTTGCAGTCCGGCCATCGTCCGGACTAGCCAGCAATGGCTCATCCATGACGCGTAGTGCCACCATCTCGAGTTCAAGGTAGCACACAGATCGTCGTCGTCGCAACCATCTTTCTGACGCCAGCGACGGCGAGTGCGCGACAGAATCGGCCACGATGGCTATGGCAGCAAGGACCGGTGGCTTGCATCTTCCACGGAACCCACGACAGCAAAACAACAGCTTTCACCGAAGAAACTGCCGCGAAGCCTGGCATCGCCCAACGGATCCTCCTCGATTTCCACACCACTAAATCGTGCTCGAGCTTTCCTGGCAAATCTCTGGCCGGCTTTCGAACCGCCCCTGCAGATTTCGGTGGCGCAGAGGTCTGTGACATTGGTGTTGAAAATGAGTGCCTGCCCGCCTTGCGGATCTCGTCCCTAACCTTTAGGCGCCTTCACCGTCGTTGTGTCTCACCACGCGCAACGACATCCAGGCACACTACTACCCGCCCAGCATTGCCACAACCAATCGCTCTACGGCACAGAACAAAACACCCTCAGTCCGACACTATGTGCATATCTTGTCAACCATATTGTCCACCAGGTGTGACAGTGCAGCGAGAACATGCTCGACTCATATAGTCGTGCACGGTCTATGATCCTCCCTCCCTCGCACTACGCAATCTTGGCCATCCGAGCAGGCAGGCGGCCGGACATAACAGGTGCAATCGTGGATGAGCTGAAGTACTTAACTTTTGTCCGTGCTCAACGACCTCCATCGTCCCTCAGTGCAATGACAGGAATCATTAAGATCTAAAGCTGGACGACTCATCATTAAGAGATAGCATGTGGTCTCGTCTAATGTGCGATATTTGACATATTCCAGGTGAGGAACATTTTATTTCATCGCATCTCTATGACTTCAAGGCGAACGACATTTGACGTGGCACTTACTGGACCCGTGCCTAATAATTCGATCCGTTCTAGCTCGCGGTAATACGTACTGTCCTGTTTAGTCGAGAGACATTCCTAGTCTTACACCACCACATAATCAGCCGAACTCAGTATCTGCTCTCTTCAGATGATTTGTCATTACTACGATGTGATAGTTGAGCCATTATCTCAGATTTGTCGTGTCGGGTGGCGGGAAAATGCCGAATTCAGATTATCTTCGCCGCCGGTTACCACGTAGCTCTCTTTGGCTTTCCCTTCCAAATGCCAGGTGCCTCATCCATCATGCCTCGGAGGCAAGCAGGCGATCAAGTCTCGAGCAAAACTGGAGTAGCTACCGATACGGCCGACGCTAAGACCTACAACCCGTGTCTTCACCAGGCAAGCATTGATCTTGACGACTACTTCGTAAGTATACGGTCCCTTACGCTGCCCTTATGATGGCACTGACTGTCATCGAATCGCATTCAGACTGGCCCCCGTGACATTCAGAAACACTCTAAATGGCCTCTTTTCATGAGGCTTCATGGCAGTATCCTTCCCAAGCTTATTGTGCGCATTACTTTCATCGCTCTATGGTCTACCGGCATTACTTGGATTCATAAAGAGGGCCCCTCCATCAGCCTTGGTACTACTAACGTCCTCCTCACCGTGATCGGTTTCGTCGTCGGTCTTGGGCTTTCCTTCCGGAGCTCGACTGCCTACGAGCGTTATGCGGAGGGGCGCCGGTACTGGAGTCAGCTAACTGTGACCTGCCACAACCTCGCGCGGACTATCTGGGTTCATGGCAAAGAGCGTCCAAATTCTGCCAAAGAGGACGTGCTCTCCAAACTGTAAGTCAGTTCATCGTCCGTGATAGCGCTGAGAGCTACGCTTACGGTAACCACTCAAACAGTACCGCCATAAACTTACTCGTCGCTTTTGCTGTTTCTCTAAAACACAAGCTTCGATTTGAGCCTTATGCGAACTACAAGGACTTGCAAAGTCTTGTCGAGCACCTTGATACCTTTGCTCAACAGGCTTCAAATGATGACAACGACCATTCCAGGAGCAAAGGGATATTGAAGCGGATCGGTGAGGACCTCGGATTCTCTTTTGCCTATTCTAACCCCCGGAAGGCAATCAAGCAAGCTAAGGGCCCGCTCGGAAATCTACCGCTTGAGATCCTGTGCTACCTGAGTGCGTATCTCGACTCGCTCTGTGAGAACGGTCAGCTGCCGATTGCGATGCAACAGACCATAGCCTGTAGGTCGATCCTAAAGTCAAAGATTAATTTGTATGCTGATAAGAAGTGTTAGACAATAGTGTAGCTTCACTCAATGATGTCCTAACAGGCTGTGAGCGTGTCCTTAATACACCCCTCCCGATCGCCTATGCCATTGCCATTCATCAGATCACGTGGCTGTACCTCATGCTCCTACCGTTGCAACTACTTGACGGGTTGGACTGGGTCACAATACCTGCAACAGTTGCTGCCTCTGGCATCATCTTGTCCATTCTCTATATCGGCGGCGAGATAGAAAACCCCTTTGGTACCGATGTGAATGACTTGCCCCTTGACGCTTATTGTGCGCAGATTGCCGAAGATGTCGAGGTCATGACCGCACGCCCAAAACCAGTCTGGGACGAGACTTCCAGGCATCGCCTAAATAAGGTACTTTTCCCCCATAGCAAGTTGTCCTACGAGGACTGGGCCAGCAGGCCCGAAGGCGCTTTACGCCGCACTCTGCGTAATCGCCCACACTCTGCTTTCCGTTGCAGCCCTGTGTGGAAAGGCATTCCGAGCAATGAAGAAGCTTGGCTCGCCCTCAATGAGGTCTAGAGTCTGAAGTTTGTGGGACATTCCGTTTGCGGTCAACATTGGAGGGATGCAGACAGAGTTACGCGGATTGTTTGTGTGATCTGAATTTAGCCTTGCTGAAATAAAGGTCTTCTTACGGTTGGTGAAGCTAATAATTAAATCCTACGAAAGCTACTCTCGAATAACTTAGCTGATAATGGTTCCATGTCCTGGCATTTTTGTATAATCAGCATGGTTGACAAATCTGTAGGGGCAACTCGCCGGCAGAGCTTAATCGGCTTAAGGTTTATCGAGTCCTGCAAGTCTGCTCGTAGTGTTTCTTTTATTCCTAGCCTGTCTTGACTACAACTGAAAGATGAGATGGGCTTCTACTTCAAAGTATAACTTACCTAAAGTCTCTAATCCCCTATTCTTCCTTCGTATACTGCTGGTATTCTGCGAACCAGAACTTCGTGTGTGTTCATGCTACAGTAATCCTTCCCTTCTTCTTTTTACTAGACTTAGAAACATGAACATCTCTGGAGCTCTGCTCCGCCTCCGCCTCGGGTTGCGTTTCTTCGCCAAGCGAATCCGGAATATCAAGGCCCCTGGCGCTCGCCTCGCTGCCACCTTCGCTCCCAGTCCCGTCTGGGGTCAAGGTACTCTGCCTCTCTTGGTTGGATCCGGTGCCTGTCCAGAGCGTTAGCATGTTGATTCAATGTGCAAATCGGCTAGACGCTGACCATTGGTATCGTCAATCGTGAACCGCTGGCAGATCTCTGCGCCATTTTCCAAGACCTCCAATTGTTGTACCAGCTGTTCTCTCAAGATCCGGTTCTCCTCTGTCTCGCCTGTCAGGGCAGCCACAACGCCTTCGTCCATCTCGAAAACCTTGGCTGGGGAGAGGATGTCGGCCAAGGCGGACACGAGGGCGACCTCGACGACTGAGACAGCCATGTCGTCAATGAATCGCTTCATGGCGACCTGAATCGAAACAAATACAGCAGATATTAACACAAAAACTTAAGACTCGTTATCCAATTGTCTTGTGGTCTTGGAGAGAGATATTACCTTGTAGTACGCCTGCATCATGTCGAGAGCCTCAGATGCGGCGAATCTGGTCACATCCGGCTCCAACGTGCTAACCACCAATCTATCCACCAGGTTTGACAAATCCAGCGTGCCGAAACTGTTCCTTGTCAACGTGCTCACGCCAAAGAAGTTCATCGTTGTCGAGGCAATGCAATCACGCCTGCGGTCGCTCCGCAGCTTCTGGAGGGCCTCCGGGAAGTCCTGATTATACGTGATCGGGTGTAGCTGCTGATGCTGGTTGAGGACCTTTTTCGTGAGGCCTATCAAGTTTCCCAAGATCTCGTACATTGCGGGTTCGATAATCTTCTGATATATAGTTGCAGAAGTGTTGAGGTCGGCGACGTGCTCGACGACCTGCTTTAGGAACAACTTGCACGACCCCCACGACCGCTTGATATGGGCATGCGCTAGTTGTTCCCACGGGATAGCTTGTTCGCGGAATAGCTCGGCGACAATCATCGGATCGAATGAACCCGGAAGCTCCCTACCACGGGCGTGGGACATCTTGGTCATAATCTTTGCGATGAACTGCTCGCGGGAGATGGATTTCGCGCTGTCGTTGGCCTCAACCTTGTCGTCATCAGCCCCGTGGTCAGTGATGTGACAGGTGTGCCCTTCCTTTTCAATCGTCTTGGCGAAATCATCATTGTGGTTCTGGATGAAAGCTCGCAGGCGGGACTGATACCCGCTTGCAGACTCGGCACTCTTGAAGAAACCGTCTGTACAGTTGCCGTCCGCAGCACTGCGGACGAGGCGCTGGAATGACTCGGATATGGTAATCAGATAGAGCTGGTTCTCCTTGTGCGTAGCTCGTGCGCGACCAAGTTTGGCGATGCCTGCCTGGCAAGATTGTCGCCTCGTCTCGATATCGGTGATCAGCCCTGGGAGTTCGGATGCAATGTGCGTCAGGAGGACTTTACTAAGCCGCGAGCGCAAGTGACTGACACCGAGGATGTTGCCAGGAAGTGTTGTCCAAATTCCCTGACCGAAAAAGGTCTCCTCGAGGGTGTTGCGCCGGTGTGAAGAGGTTATCTGCTGTGTCTCCGAGTCCAGGTTCTTCAGGACGTGCCAGCCAAGGCGGAACTCGAATTCCCGGTTCCGGGCTAGGGACACGTACAATGCTTCGCTCTGCGATCCCGGATGTAATGTATCGGGTTTCGTGATGACGCCTAGAGTCCGCTTGCCTTCGGAATCGGCGGACCGGGCTAGCTTGAGGACGACTTGGTTCGAAAAGTCATTCTTGGCTGAGACGACTGCGAGGATAATGCTACGTGGCTCGGCCATGTACGACTCGACGGTATCTTGTATCAGTTCGATGTCGGATGCGCGTTGGTGTTTGGTCTCCGAATGGATGAGGCCCGGTAGGTCGACGATGGTGAGATGGGGTCGGTCAGGTCCCGAGATCTCCACGCGGAGCAGGTCTCTGCCAAAGGAGTTGCCGTGAGTCGAGATGCCCATCGCGTATTTTGCTTCTTCGATGAGTCTAGAGAGATCATCAAAGGTCGCCAACTCCGCATCGAAATTGGACAATGCGGCCTTCTCGGAATCGGGCCGTGCTGTGTGGGGGACAATAGAGATACGGGCGCTGACTTGAGAGGTCCGGCGGAGGACAAGCTCGGTGGGGAATCGGGTGCAAAGATTGCTTCGGGCTGGGAACGGCACGCCAGAGATGGCTTCCAGGACAGAACTCTTGCCTGATGACTGGTCTCCGACCACGATGATTTGTGGGAGGGAGATGAGATGGTCGACGCCCCTTGAGCGTAGCCGGTCAATGGCGTCCATCAGATCGAGACGATCCCCGGAACAAAGCCCCTGAAGTGCCTCCTTCTGCACGGTCGTGATTACCATTATGACTGTATGGAACCAATTAGGAATGGTACTGTGAAAGAGGTTGCGTGAAAGGGTCGTCACGAGTGTGGATATGCTTAGCAAGTAGGTTTGTGAAGGCCGTTGAAACTTGGAAGAGCATGGAAACCCTGCGGTGCCTGTCTACTTAAATACGAACGGGCGCAAGCCCGACAGCCCGACATTCCCGTTAGCCTAATAGCCGCCAAAGCAATGGCATGTCTCCCTTGCCAGGACCAGCCATCATGCCTATATGAGCATTCCCCACTGAGTACATACTACCCCGAAGTTAGAGTGTCTCTAAACAACACGAATTGCCTGCTTTTCCCTCATGCACGATGATCGCAACAAAGTGATTGACATACCCTATATCTAGCTTAGCTACGTCTCACCATATGCATCTGCCTCCCGGAGTTTCAGGAGTACGTTTCTGTAGTCCGGCCAAACAAATGGACTTACAGAAGATATAGGAGGAATGGGCTCCTGCCTTCGACGTGAGGTGTTTTAAGGCTTCGCCTCGGGTCACAATGAGGGGGTCTAATCCTGACCACGATCTTTCCATGGGCGTGCTGAAATGAACAGAGGGACTACTACTAGGTCCGCAGCCGCACAAAAAGTAGTGACACTCATGGATGCCATGCCAGGCGGCCTGATTCATCACTGTGAAAGTGGTCTCAGTGGCTGAGACACCTGCTGGTCGGCCTCCTGCATGTGCATAGCATACTGCACCTGCAAGCCACGCATTTCGACCATACAAAGGCCTAACGACATACAGTCTCAGTATCCGCCCAACAAATTTATGACAGAAAATTTGCAGGAGGCTGACCAACTCGCTGATAAGCTCCAACCGACATAGACCTCACAGGTGGAAAAGCGTGGTTCGGGCGGCCCAATTGCAGTGCACGCGCGTCTGCGGACCAGTCCCAGGGTTCAAACATGTCATAATCAGATTATGACGACAATTACCCTGCTTGGATGTTCCAGATAGGCCAATAAACACCTGCCGCTCCTTTTGATACCTCTCGAGAGCCTTTAGAAGTGGACATCGTCAGCGACACGATTTATGAGCATACCAGCATTCTGCGAAGTGACCTGGAGGAGCATACAGCCACCTAAAAAAAAAGACAAGAGGTTCTCCAGTCAGTCACCAAATACGGCAGTACAAGGATTATGCTCCGTACCTTTTCGTGCACAGGTCTCGGAGCCTCGTTGCACGTATCTCGGGCTAGACGTATACCTGGCTGTCGCTGATAGCGTGCAGCTCGGAGAAGGTGAGCAGCACATTGGCAGCTGTCTTCGTAACAGACTGGTGAAAGCCTTCTAAGAGGTGCTCAAATTCTTGCAGAGCTTGGGTGACAAATCCCACGAGGCTCCGGACACATGTCTGAGAATAATCGTGCTTTTGAGGTAGCTGCGGCGGTAGGAAAAGGTGATTGATGGCGTAAAGGATGCTCTCGCGAGTCATCCCATCCCCAGCAGGCGCCATAGCGAAAGCTCAGGACCAGCCAGGGCGAGGACACAATGAGAGAGATTCTGAGCGCAGGTATGAGGGGTTCGAAATATCGAGCCGACAAGGTCTGCATTATCCCCTCTCTGAGATTAGAGAGAAAGGGGAAGAGGGGAGGGGGAAGGACAAGGTCGAGTCGAGATGGGTGGGGGAGAGAATCAGGTAGGTTGCAAAGATAAGGAAAAGCAGCCTAAGGTTGGAACTCGGTGCATATCTTTCAGCGGCATGGCAAAGAGCCTTGCAGCTGGCTTGGGTTACAATCAAGCTGAGCTTCCCTGTTGCTGTGGTTATGTTGGGAGACTGCCCAGACAAGCCAGGCATGTTGGTGGTCGGCCTCCTGCAGGCAAAAAGACCAACAATGACGCGGCACCACCCACACCCTGCATCTCGCCCACGCGCCGGTCTCACATTTCATTTTTTCCTTTTCCACATGGAGTGTAAAGCACTATCCTTTGTCGCCGTCTTTGTGGTTTCGTGGTTTTCGCTTTAACGGGAGACTTTCCAACACTTTGTTTGATCTGTAGCATGTCCTGCGCGCAGCGCTGCCCTCGTCGCTGAAGTAAGCAGGCCTGCATGTGTGTGCTTCAGCTGCTGCGGAGCAATGTGCCGCGGGATACTGTCATGCTGTGGCCGCAGCAGCTACCATGCATTCACTTCATGGATATTTCCCGGGGTGTTCAGGAAAAGGGCATTCATGGCTGAAGGGTGAAGCGGTACAACGCCGCCCAGCTTAATCACCGCAGTGAGAGCGTGCAGAGCGCTCTTACTACTCTCAACCGCCCCATCTGGGTCGCGCATAATGGGGGATTTATTCAAGGTTGTCCTGGATGCCCCGATGGCGGTCGGTGGGCCAGCCGCTTCCTTCTCGTGTCGGAACCGGCTTACATAAGTCACCAGGTCCTGTCGTGCAGACACTTCGGCAGCTTGATACTTCATGACCCGTATCGGAGGCCATATCCCGCCCGAGCCATAACGCCTGCTCTGATCCACGGTCGCAACGAGCGCCCTGTCGAGCTGCGTGGCGCAGCTTCGGATGCTTCAGTGCCTCCAGCTGCTTCCGCCGCTTCGGATGCTTCAGTGCCTCCGGCTGCTTCCGCCGCTTCAGCAGCAGTGGCACGCGCCTCTGGTTCTCCCTGCTTCCTCTGAGGCTCCGGCAGCTTTGCGCTGCCGGACCATTGCTGGCTCGCTAGCTCTATTTCCCTGTAGTCGGTGCTTCTGTGGCCAGATGGAGGGTCTGCTGGCTACACTCGCCGGAAGATGCTGGAAAGTGAGAGCAACCCGCTGAGAATGATTATTGGGGCGAAGCAAGAGATCTTATCAGCTTTATCAATGACCGTCTCAGGGACCCGAAAAAAAAAATCAGCAGAACGACTGCACATCTAGCTCAATCATGAGACCATTCTGGAGTTTAAATGTTCTAATAAGGCAAAGACACAAGAAATGATTTGCGCTAATCCACTAACTCAGAGGACTACCTCTGTGAAACGTCTCAACAGCCTTTCCCATGTAGCAGAAGCGGCCACTGGCTGCGCTTCCGCATCATGCGCCAGAACGATAGTTGGAGCTGTAAGTGTTTTACGAGAACCCAAGATGATGATTCCGTGCCTCGCCCTTGTCAGTGCAACATTTAGTCTTCTCAGATCGTTGAGAAAACCAATCTCTCCTTGCTCGTTGCACCGCACCGTGACGAAAACGACGACATCCGCCTCCCGACCCTGATAACCGTCAATACTGGACACTTCGATGTCTCCTGACCGCCCTGATATTGCTTTTGTGACAAGCAGAGTCTTTTGCGCCGTGTAGGGCGTTAATACGACAATGGATTGTTGGTTGTCCTTGCCAGATCGATTGGTTGACGAGCTGTCTATGAGCAATTGACATACGCGCCGGCATAGTTCTGACTGTGCATGGTTGCGTTTGGACTTTTGGCCAATGTCTTCGTGACCGTCACATTCGACGAAGACTGTCCGCACAGACTCTCCGGAAACAGAGCTTCGGGGCCAAGGAAAAGCAGACACAGCCAGAACCCTTTGGTCGGCTGCCACGCCTGTTCTGAGCTTCCCTTGGTAGAACTCTTGAGAGCTGAAATCGCAGATTGACCTGTGCATGCGGTACTGTGTATTGAGCATCGACGTCCGCACACGTGCCAAGCGATGGCCGCTCGTCTGCGAGTTAGTGCACAAGGTGTAAAGACGCTCGAAGAGCGACACGTCGTACCCCAAGGGCAGCGTGACTGGTTGCACCGTCGGGCGAAGCTGCACATGATCGCCTACTAGAATAGCTTGCTTGCAGCCCTTGGTTAGTGGTACTAGAGAAGCCGGCTCCGTCTGCTGGGAGGCTTCATCGACAATGACGATGCCGAAACTCTCAGATCGCAGCAAGCCTATCCCTGCGCCGATGCAAGTCGAAAAGGCAATACGGCAGGCTTTCATTCGTCTCTTGGCTTCGCGCATAGCCACGTGTGAGTCGTATATCTCTGTGCTCACCATGCCGTCTAGTGTGTACTGCCTCAGCTCTTCAGCCACTTTGCGTACCTAGGCTCGCAAGGCTGGTGTCAGTCACTGCCAAGAAGCCTTTAATAAAGATAATTCAAACACTATAGTACTCACTTCGGTCGAGACTCGGACGGCAACTGATCCGTCTCGTCCTTGGTGGCGGAGAAAGCGACTCATTATATTATCCACAGCGTTGTGAGTGGGTGCCGTGACGAGGATACGCTCTTTCGGAAATTTACTCAGCAAGCCAAGTATGATTGCAACAATTGTCTGTGTCTTGCCTGTACCTGGAGGTCCCCATATCAGCACGAGAGGGTGTACTAGGGAGGTAAGCACCGCATTTCTCTGGCTGTCGTTGAGCGCAAGCTGGTCCTCATGCTGCGCCATGGCTGCTTCTGCGTCGAACTGTATTGCGTCGGTATCCTCTGGTAGGGTTGCAGTTGTGCTCGGCCCCAAAAGGTGCGTTACTATGCCGCACGCGTCCTCGTCCATGCTGGCAAACCGCCTCATCGCGGTGAACATCGTTTGCGAGGTCACAAAAGGTCCGCAATATGTCAGAGTCCATGAGCAGTGCTCCAAGAAGACTGGCAAGGGATGGAAACACTGGAATTTGGCAGCCCCTTGTTGATTCTGGACCACGAGTGCATCGATCGACGCTTTCCTCGCCAAAGGCGCATTGGTCGGTAAGGAGGACGCTGTCAACCGTACGTGTGCCCATGTCTCGGGTGCATGCGCTGCATCGATGCGAAACGTGCATGCGACCAAGGGATACCCATCGCGTTCTTCTCCCAGATCCTTGAGCGTAAGAAGGTCTGGTCTCGTGGTTTGTTGTTCTTGCAGCTCGGAGATATGATCTATAGCAATAGCTACGCAATTGCTGACAAAGTGCTTCACGAGTGCTGGTCTTGGCTCGCCTGCGTACAGCCGTGAACTTCCGCGCTCCAGACATTGGAGAAGCAAGTCCATTGCAAGATCAGTGGAACGGATCGAAAGCGCACACAACTCAGCCAGACCTGCCAATCCACGAAGCGACAAGGAGCGAAGGCGCTCAAGGGCTATCTCGAAGGGCTCAATGGTCAGATAGCCTACATCGGGGACACAAAGTATGAGCCCCTTTAGTATCTCTTGTCCTCGGGCTTGAAGCGTGAGCGATATCGAATCCGGTACGCTGGGTGATCCCCAAGTGTCCAGTTTGGTAAAGCGAGCTGCCATAGCTGGATTAAGGGATATGTGATCGAGTAATGCGTTAACTTGTTGGCTCAAGCACTCAACGTCTGGGTTAGGGGTGAAAGTCTTTCCAAGGACATGATCGTAGATGTTCGTGATGGCACCGATACTGTTGTGCTGGCGCAACCACTTGAGGATGTCTACCAGCTCGGCGCGGGTCTTGACATCATCAACAGCGGCGGTTTCCCCAAGGGCTATCATTCGCGTCCGTTCAGGCACTCCCTCAAAGTTCGCCCCTGCTACGTTGTTGACCGAGTATATTCTTGGCTTCTCGTCGAACAACGGAAGAACTTTCTCGGTGTCAATGTGGTGCAGCCATAGATCGAGGCTTCTCAAGGATTGTACGTCTCGGTTGCTTATGACGTAGATTTCCTGCAATTAACGATTAGTCATGATCTAGAAGGGTCTGAAAGTATAAGAAGTGCATACTGCAGCCAACAGTCCGTTGCTGTTGACGCGTCCGATATACCGCTGTAGCTCTTGACTGCACTTGTTGAGCGCAACGCTCACTCGGTTGTCGAAGTTCTTCCCACGCTCGATGGTGCTCTGTCGTTGACGCCTCTGATCTCCTTGGTTTGTTGTGTTCCGATAGGCGGCATCATCAGAAGCACCCCGCCTGATGAATATCCAGGTATTGCTGCGTTGATTCTCGAAGAGCTGGAATAGGTTGTCATCGCAGTACATTCGGGAATTCTTCTTCGTAAGTCGCTGTCCACCTAAGGGTGCTGAGTTTTTGACGTGCGGAAAGGCAAAGACACGAACTGTGTCATGTACCAGACAATCCTGGGATTTGACTATCTTTTGCGGTATGTAAATCGCAAGAGAGAGCCTTTCGTCAACCTGAAGTACGATTAATTTCTTGTGAAACTGCTCCAGCGTCTTCGCGGCTGTATCAAGAAATGTGGCAAGTCGCTCCCGCGACGAATCATACACATTCTTCCACCCAAGCTGGTAATTGTTGAGCTTCTGGAAGGTCAAGTCGTCCTGCGATAATATATTGGATGAGCTGAGACCATTGAAAACGATGCTAGGCAACCACTGAAGTTGTGGCGCCGCGGAGAGGATCCAGTGCTTCTGCTCAGTCGACAGAGAGTTCATGTCAAAGTAAGGTAAGAAGTCAGCCAGGTGTGACCCATTCCTGCGACACCATCGCGCAGTCATTTCCAGAAGCTCAAACTCGGTGGTGGCTAGGTCATCGCGAGAGAGTAAGAGCTCCAGCGTGTCAAGAGCTACGCCATCCAGATTCACCGACTTCATCCTGTCGAGTGAGATTCTGCTGGTTGCTGCTTCGTGTAGCTCATCTAGAATGAACTTTTTGGTTTCTGGAGTTGCCAGAGGCGTCGCTTCGAGTCGTGGTGGGATCTTCACCATGTTCCCATCAACACATTGAGAGAACAACCGATTGAGCTCCTGACACTCGGGTGCCATAGGTCCTTTGACTTTAGCCCAGTCCAAATATAGATTCTTAACTTTTCCCAACGACGCATTCGAGTACTTGGCGAAATAAAGCAGTCTGTCATCATCGGTGATGGGCTTGAATTTGACTGGTTCTTTCGCACCAGGATAATCGGCTGGTTGAGACAGAGTGGATGGCACTAGATCGCCGTCCCAACACACGAAGAACGTGTCGCCATCGAGATCCCCGCCTGACATCATGTCGGCTGAAGGACGTCTTCCTTGGACAGGAAAGACGATGCAATCCACCAGATGGGAGAGGGCGGCGTGCTCAACCACCTTGAACTTTTGCAAGTCGCCGGGGTGGAGACAGGGATTGCGCGTGACGAGGATTTCCATGTTCTTCAGTGCGTAGGGAAGGCCGTCGCCATCTTTGGTGATCTTGACGGCACACTCGCCCTCTTTCAGCACACCCCAGGCATCACAGACGCCGAAGAGCAGACGCGACTGAGGGACAAGAATTCTGCACCTCTGCTCGCCACGCTTGTTGAGCATTTTGCCATATTCTGATCGAATCGGACCTTGGATTTGCGATCGCAAAGCTTCGAACGAGGTCACCAGCAATCTTTCGGCCAGGTCGGACCGCCCAATATAGCAGAGAAAACGAAAGGCTTGTCGCGCATCTCTATTTGCCTCGGCCAGGAAGTTGAGATGATCTTGTTGTTTGCGGAGTAGAATATCTTGACTGACCCCGAGAGCGTGAAGTAGGAGCACAACTTCGTCGTTCAGGTGGCCAAACACGTATGGTTTCGAGTGTTCGATGACGGAGAACGAGTGGTCCTTGCCACCGCTGAACTTTTTCATCGACTTGCGTAGTCGAAGCCAAGTCGGTCGACTCCGAATCGTTGGGTCTGTTGTGACAACACCCTTATACCCACGATAGCGAATTTGGAAGACCGAAGGTGAATATCGCCTTGCGCGAAAGGTGAGTTGCATTCGACGGGATACGTCTTGTGCAAAACGAGGAGACATCAGACCACATCCATCTGTGAAAGTATAGCCGTCGGTCTCAATGTCGGGAATGTCCTCGCACCGCCTCTCGTCGACCTGCAGAACAGCCTGTGCAGTGGAGAACAGGAGGCCGATTCGTTTGGCCTTCTTGGCGACCGTCTTCATCTTGGTGAAGTCCCCGAGCGATTCGACCATCTTACTGATGTCGTCTTTGGGCGCGGCGAACATGAAGCAGGTTCTGGATTTCAGCTGACTATTGCTGTGCCCATAGAAATGGTATGATTCTCCTTGCAGCGTGACACCAGCCCGTAGCAAGTGAACGACATAGTCGATGTGCTCCCGGATTGTTGACGGACGAGTGCCAGTAATTTCGCTCTTCAACCCCGGAGGAGGGCGAAAGTCGGCCACGGATAACATGATGAACTTGTCCAATGGGTGAACACCCATCGCGCGAGTGGCTTCTTGTGTGACAAAACGTAGTACCATTCTTTGATTGGTCTCTCTCGTAACCAGGGCGATGGACTTAACCAGCTTTTCTTCGTTGAGCTTCTGCGAACTGGGAAGCCCCTTTACCTCGAAGGTCCATTGGCGGTCGTCGAGACTGAGCGAGTCCTTCAACGTAAACTCCGCTGAGCCGAACTTTGGCATCTTGGCGATGCTTTCATGGAGACTGTGGATGTGGTTGCGGATGACTCTGCGGCGTGTTTCATCATCATCGAACAATCATTAAGGCGTTTGATGTATCTTCTAGACAGCTCTGCCAAGATGGGGGATTGCCGCATTCCGGAAGCATCTGAGGACATGTATTACGTCACCACGCGATATGGTTGGCCTCCCCCGCACCCTGTATCCTGCATACATGCAACGTTGATTGTCGCGTCTTTGCGGTTCCCAGAGTACTGTACCATTCCCACCTCAACATTCTTGCCAGCCTCGAGCAGTTCTCTAGAGGTTAGACATGTCTCCAAATATTTACATCATCGGCGCACAAAGCTCCGGGAAAACAACCCTCGTACAGGCCCTTGAGACTCACTTTACGAACCAGCACGAAACCCTTTCCGCTTCCGCTGCCCCGAGGTTCATTAAGGAAGTTGCGCGCAAAGTACTAGACAAGCATGGCTATACGGCAGAAGACATTGTAACATCACCTCAGCGCACATTACAGCTGCAAAAGCTGATCATCGAAGCACAAGCCCGGGCGGAATACGAACCGGCTAATTCCGATACTCCGGCTACAAATGCCACCTGTCCCCCCAGTTTCATTTCGGATCGTTCAGCCATCGACCCAGTTGTCTACGCCAGGCAGTACGTCGGATTGCAAGAAAGTCAAGGTTTACTGGAACTACCAGAGTGGCGTCAAATGCACAAACGCATGCAAGCCTCGTTGATCATATTGTGCGAGCCAAGAAGTGACTGGCTCAAGAGTGATGGGGTACGGTTGATGCCCCGGGACAACGAAGAATGGATGTTGACTCACAAGCTGTTCTGTGATGTGCTCAACGAGGTTGGGTTGTCCTTCGTCGTACTATCGGAGGGAATGTCAGATATCAAAGTCAGGGTAGGGTTCGTGCTTGAGCACATAGAGTAATTTCCACATCACACAGTCTCAGAAGAGGATTTGAACCGACTCGAAGTTGCACGAGTACTAATGTCGATATACGATAGCGTGTCTGCACTCGGCCCGACGGCAGATGAGGACGTGATATTCTAGATCGGCAGAGAGTTATAGGTATATAAAGACCTGGTCGGGACTACTATCGCCCTCCGGCGTTGTAGCTGGTCTGATTCGCGATCGGTTCTGTATCGTCGCACTGTAGGTCGTCTTTGTAGCACCGGTATTCTGGACTGTGGTGGGCCGTATCTGGGGAAGAATTGGGGCAAATCTGGGGTTTAGAGTGGACTCAAATCCGCTGGGAAGAGGGGCTGGAATGAGACGGACCTACTACGTGCACAGACCTTTCTTTGGACATGACATGTCCAGGGAGGGAATGAGCAAGACTTCACGGTGTGCAGGGATGCCGTCGGAGATGTGGGCTGCGTTGGATTTCACTCAAAACCGCCCCTGGAATAAGACAGTAGGATGGTCAGGAGGGGCCCACTTCTGCGCCACCGAGGCTGCTGCCGAACAGCGCAGGGTCGAGAATTGGGGCGCGCGGGCGGCAAATACCACACCGCCCAAATTGTCACGTCGCGTGAACTTCTCTCGCCGCTCCCCGTTCTTCTAACCATCAGCACATTCTGTCGGCCATGCCAGACCAAGCGCGGTCGCAGATCATCAAGAACAATCCTATTGGGAACGGCCTTGATGCCTTCCGCACTTCATTCGGTCCGATCTGCGAAGATGCGAGCGTCCCCTGCAGTCCTGACTCGCTAGATCGGCTCGGCCAAGAAGGTAAGAATGACACCACAGCTTCGGCCCAGTATGCCTCTCTAATCATCTTGCAGATCTCCAGAATCTTGTTCTCGACCTGCTCTTCGCTTTACGAAACCTCTCCGCGGTTCGCTTCCTGCGATCGAAGGCTGGCCATGGAACCCTTCGTAACGATCTCCTCAAACTTAACTCGGCTGTCAGCTCTGACGGCTTCGATCTCGACCGGGTCAAACCTCTCCTAAAAGCAGCCATCGCCGATGACCCAGATGACACCGTTATCCGGGACCAAGTCTACCGCGCCGTCACCGAATCCACTCCGCCGCCTCGACCGACAGCATTTCCCGTCCAACAAACCCCTTGGCTGCACAGCACGAGCAGCTTCGCGAACTCCTCCGAATACCGCCAAGATGTGGACAGGGTTCTTAAATTGGAGCTTGGTCCTCTCTACGTCGGGCTTCCTCGCTTCCGCGAAATATATTTCGGGCGTGTGGCCGGTCTTGGGACAGCTGCCGAAGCTGTCTTCAAGGACTGCATGGGAGGCAGCAAACCGCTCTTCGATGAAGGCTGGACCGGATAGCCAAAAGATGCAAACCAGGACGACGTCTTGATTTGGTTTGCGGACTTGTGTGAGAAGCTAGCAGCATTCGCAGAACACCACTCTTCAAGCCCTTCATGTCGACGAAGGCCACTGGCACAACCCAACAAGCCAATCCATGGTTCCACAGGGGACCGCAAATTGGACGTCGGTTTCGTGAACGATACCAAAGCCGACAAGGATTCTCGATGCCATTGGCGGCAGATCCTCGTCCCTGGCGAGCTGAAAAGCAATCCATTGGCTGACAAAGCGTCCAAGGCATGGCTTGATCTTGGGACGTACGCCAGAGAGGTTCTTGCTGCTCAAGACACCCGTCGGTTCGTTTTAGGCTTCACCATCTGCGGATCTCTCATGAGGATATGGGAGTTTGACCGGCTGGGGGGAGTTGCATCCGAACAGTTCGACATTAACAAAGATGGATTGCAGTTTGTGTCCACGGTTCTTGGCTTTCTCTGGATGAACGAGGAGGAGCTTGGGTTCGATCCGACAATCATGACGGCAAACAACGAACGATTTATCGAGATCGAGCGGGAAGGCGCGACTGAACGCCTCGTTATCGACCGGGTGATGCAACGAGCACGTTGCATAGCTGGTCGGGCGACGACTTGCTGGAAAGCCCACCGCGAAGGACATCCACTGTCACCGCTTGTCATCAAAGATTCGTGGCAATATGCGGAATGCGATGAGGAAGGCGAACTGTTACGCGAAGTGACCGGCAAAGGCGTCGTCAATATGGCCCGATACTATCACCACGAGACTGTCCAAGTTCACGGTACGGATGACGATATTCGAAGCAATGTTCGAGGAGGACTGGATGTTACAAGAGCTACGAATTACCGGCCGGAACGCTCGATGCCTCCACCGAGTACCACCATATCTGGTGCTTCGCGGACAGGCCGCAGCAACAGCATCGCTGGCAAGAAGCGCTCTTCGAGCCAAACTGGCGCTGTTCTACCCCCCAACAAGCGATCCTGTTCGACATCTCCAACGAGGGCTAGCAGCAACGCCACGTCAAACCGGGTGCATCGACGTGTTATTCTTCGAGACTACGGGGAACCCATCTATAACGCGAGCTCCCGATCGGCTCTCCTTGCCGCACTAGAGGGATGCATTGAAGGACACGAATCCCTGCGCAAAGCCGGCTTCCTTCACAGAGACATCTCCATCAATAATCTCATGATCAACGAGGACGACGACAACATCTCATGGCGTTCATTCTTGATCGACCTAGACCTCGCCGTGAGAGAACAACGTCAAAGCGCCTCCGGAGCGAAGGGCAAGACCGGCACGAGAGCATTCATGGCAATAGGGACCCTTTTAGGCGAGCAGCATTCCTTCATGCACGATCTTGAGTCGTTCTTTTGGGTCCTCTTCTGGATATGCATCCACTATAATCCAGATGCGAACAATCCCCGGAGCAGAAGCAAGGATTTGGCGGCCGACCCCGACGAGAACCCCATTTCGTCTCCCCTTAGCAGGGTTGTTCCTGAGTTTGACCAGTGGAATTATATCAGCATGGAAGTATTGGCAAATGAGAAGAAGGGACGCGTGTCCCATGAGGGCGACTTCATCAGGTTCGCAGAAGAGAATTTCACGCCATACTACCAACCGTTAATACCTTGGGTCAACAGGTTACGGAAAGTGGTATTTCCTAGTGGTGGGAGGTGGGAAAAAGAGGACGCAGGATTGTATGTTAGGATGAAGGAGATCCTTGGAGCAGCCCAGAAGGACCCCAAAGTGTTGGCGGCAGACGGCCTCGCGAGTTAGAGAAAGCTTTAAACTTCCGCCCCCAGATCCCTTTCTCCTGCATCTTACCTCGCGACGCCACAGCCTAGGAATTTCAGAAGACTACGTGCATGGAGAGTTTCGCTAAGGTTCCCTCATGAGGCTTTCTCCCCCCTACAAGCACAGTCTCGGTTTGCGGCCGACACCAACCACCGGGGATGACGGCGCCGTGGCACCGTGAAGTATTCCTTCCGGCCTCCGCGGCCGGCCATCCGACTCGGCAACAAGTTCAGTGCTGGCGACGACGTGGTATCAACGGGCTTGCCTAAGGGCATGGCAATGCTCCAGTTGGAAGACGCCGCCTAGCGGCGTCCCTAGAGAGCAGGCCGTTCCCTGCAGGCGCCTCGCGCATCTCTCCGTTCGGCGAGGAAATGGAAATGGGGCCGTGGGTCTACACGTGCATGGCGTCTAGCAAGGCCTCGGTTCTTGGCATAGGCGGGTCTGTTTCACGTCCTCTCGACAGCCCGCGGGACTAGTTTGTGCGCCTACTACTGTACAGTACCGGACACTCGCGCCGACCCCAAGTTGCGTACTAGAGCTGGCGACACACCGGAGAATTCTTCCCAGACTTATAAACGGTAACTTATTTAAGTGACCCCCTTCTGGGAGGATCTTCGCCAGCTCTTCATGGTTAACTTATTAGTGACCCTCTCCGTGGAGAATTCTCCCCAATCTCTTCAGGGGTCCTCCTCATAGGTCATTTTTATCACTCATTCTCCTGGGAGACTTCTCCTTGGAGTGTCACCGCGGCTGAAGGCAGCGGGCATTAACGGCGGTAATATTATATTAGTAGGGTCGTGTAAAATGAGAAAAGATTGAAATATACGTCCCTAGCACTTAGAGTATCGTTTCTGTCTGGAATTGCATCAACGCGTGGCAAGTTTTGTAGATGCTCGAGACATGCAACGGTGGCGCACAGTAGCCGAATTGGGCCCATGCGCGCCTGCATCGCCCAGTCCCGAGACTCTATCCTCGGCTTCGCCGTCGGTGTTTGCACGGGCGGTCGCTTTGCCAAAGACTCGACCTTGGCAGCAGCAGCTCATTGCCCGTAGCCTGTCGTGGTCAAGCACGTAGCAGAAGTTGATCTGCTCGGCCATTGATCAGCTGCCGTTAAAGTCAAACTTTGACGTTCCGTCGCTCTCAGACACACAGGTCCTCTCCTGGCTCGGTTCATCCCAGATCGTACCCAGAAGCAAGTGAGAAACACCTGGATGATCAGGGTTTTCCTTCTGGAGGTCCAGCAATTGTCCCTCCGGTGATGGGACCCAAAACCGGGCTTCATCGAGCGGTCCCAAATTTGGACCGCCATTTGTCACTGATCATTCTTTACTGTACTGTATAGTACCTGGCTGGTTGCCGTCGACAATGGTAGCTGAGGTCAGGTCAAGGGCTCAAACGACGGATGGCCTCAGTTCTCCTTTGGACCCAACGAGTGGGAGAGAAGTCTCCAAGGAGGGTCGCTAACAAGGTACAGTGCCTCGGAACAAATCAGCTCCTCGCACCGAATTCATTCTCCCTCCGGCAGCTTGCTGAATTTTCTCTCATCCCAGTTTCCTTCTCGAGGCCCCGTTTCCTAATCCAAGCCCGGGAAGTATTGCACACCGATTCCACCATGCTCGCGGTTCATATGATCGTACACCGGATCCCCCTCCTGGAAAGTCTTCATGCACACCCAACAGATATGGACTCCACAAGCCGAGCAGGTCATATGATTGCAACCGAAGGTCTTCTCGATCATGATGCCACACTTGGGACAGTCCTTGATGCCGAGTTTCTCCTTGGCCGCCCGCAGTGCCTCGTAACCGCCGGATGCACTGTCTCGCTGCTCGGCACAGGTCAGACCATCGTGTGAGACATTGCAGACTCTGCATACTGCCACAAGGCATGCAGGACATATGAACAAGGGTCTTTGACCGGTCCCAGCTACGTCGTCGCTGTGCCCCGATACGTTCGCCGCGCGGTACATCTGCCCGCAGTCTGGGGTGGGGCAGTATCGCAGATCGTTCAGATGGCGGGTTACGTGGATTCTGAAAGCGGTCTCAAGAAGGTCTTCCAAGGCTGCTGATGAAAGATGCGCCTGAAGCTCGGTCAGGCGGAGCACTTCGTCGCATCTGCCAGCGTCGCCTTGGCAACGGATGCAAGGGTCAGAGTCGACGCCAGCAAAACACAGGTCCTCAAAGCAGCCGGCACAGTAGACGTGCTTGCATGGCGTATGTACTGGATTCTCGGCTTCCGTCCAGCAGATAGCGCAGTCGCCGATCGAGCCGGTTTCTGACTTTGCCCTTGATATCCCTTCCCCACCATGGAGGATTTTTTGCGCAACGTTAAAATCGGCCTCGGATCCAGCCACGAGAATGCGCCGGGGACTGGATGCAATGTCCAAGATGACTTTGTCATCCCCGATGGCCGCGGCGACGGCACGGTAACCCCCCTTAAAGGCCTGGGAGAATTGTTGTGTGTCAAGCTCAATGACAAAGATAGAGGATGAGTCGGCTTTGGCAAGCTCGATGAGAGCCGACTGCGCCTCGTTGCATCTCGGCCGAGGGCCTAGGAGTCGAAGCTGAGACCTGCGTTTGTCGCGGACGATAAGAATGCCGAGTTCGCGCTCAAGTTTTTTCATTATTTGATAAGCACGGCCGTGAGCGGCGAAGGAAGGCGCCCACACAGCTTTCCCGTCCTTCATCATCACTTCTCCGCCGATAATGTTTTCCAAGGTGGCCTTGGCGCTGGCGACGTCCCTCCCGATTTCTCCCTCGATCTTGAGGACCCGGAGGCCTTGGGTAGGAGGATATGCCGTGTAGAGCAAATGCTGCGACGCCCAGGCTTGCTTATGATCGGCTATTTCTTGTTCAACAGCATCATAGACGCGAGTTGGGATCTTAAGCCTTGCGGAGTGCACAAGCTGCACTGTTAGCTTGCCATGGTTGTTGAATGGCAGAGGCTTGTTGTGGAACAGCTTGACCGCCTGCCTCGCATCCGCATCGTCCAAGAACCGAGCCTTGGCCTTGAAGCGCTTCCCAGACATCTCCGGGCTCCCTTCCCACCGCTCCAATGGCCCAGCTTCAAGCAGTAATGACTCGATCAACGTGTTTGCCATTGGTAGGTCAACATCGTAAGTCGCGGTACTCAGCTCGACATGGCGTGGAGCCAATCCGGCAGGGATATCTCTCGTGACGTGCTCTTTCTTGGCGAGTTTTGGGACGTCTAAAAGCCTGATGGTCCAAGCTAATTGATTCCTATTGCCTGCGCCGCGAGTAGGCCCTTCGCACTGGACCCTTTGATTGAGCACCTTGTATATGCCAGCCGAGAATTTTGAGCCGACCTTCGCGGCGATGTCTCCGTTGCCAAAGTTCAGCCAAGCTGTCTTGGTTGGCTTGTGCCATGAGCAATAGACTTTCTTCGAATCGACCCGGCGGTAGTTTGTCGTCTGGGGCATCGGGGCATTAATCGGAACCGCTCTCGGGGCATCGTGCCTTTTCATTGCTGGTAGACCACAAAAGTTCTTGGCGAACAGAGAGTCTTCGACCCTGATATCGGCACTGCAGTCCGTATCATCCGCCAGCGCGGAAATGCGAACACAGCCTTCCGATACGGCAAAGCCGAGCGAGGCAAGAAGTTGAACCACCGAGCTCGCGGTTGTATGTTGAGGTAGGTGACTGATACGGACAGCGGAGAAGTCAGACCGAAAGCTCACTTTGGTCACGACGGCTCCATCTCCGAAGTTGACCAAGGCGCCATTGAGCTCCCGGCACCAGCTCTCAGGCGTCGAACCTTCCTACTTGCGAGTCAGCACTTGCGTGTACCACGAACTTCTGTACGGTCATCCAAATACCTCCACTTCCACTATAGTCTCTGTCACATCCTGAGGGATGTCGTGTGCAAATGGACACTCCTCGCCTTTCGAACAAGAGCCTCGTAACTGGTACCGACAAGGAATTCTTGAGCGCGAATCCACCTGTGGCGTGGCTTGGCTCGGAGGACAAGCGGTGGTAGGACTTGTAATAACGTCCATCGATCGTTGGTTTCCATCTACGTGAGAGAAAGGGCAGCTGGTGCCTTTACGGCAGCGGCGCTGGGCAAAGAATTGGCAGGGTGTACCGGACCGCCAATCCGGTTGTGGTGGGCCGTTCTCCGGCAAGCGGCTTCGGAACTCCATAAAGATGCTGAACCTGTAATGACTTGACGCTGGTTTCTTGCCAAAGGTGAGTTGATGGGATTATATGGTCAATCGATTCAAACGACAAAACGAAAGGCGGGGTACGACGGTTAGGTAAGCTTGCCACGTCGCCGGCGCCGGCGCCTCCAGCTCCGATTTTGGCCCTCACGGGCCTCGTCCACTCAGCACATCGCCGTGATTCCTACAAAAGCCTCCCTTCGTCGACCCTCACCGGACATCAAACATCACAGAGGTAGGCGTTACTATCGCCAGCCGAGAAGGGCCATCACAGTCTGCGCGATTGGCCGGCCATGCATAAAGTCGTTTACAATCTTGACAACGCCATCGCCAGCTTCTGTTCAGCTGCTAGAGTCTCGAGGGCGCAATGCGATGGCTTTGACCGCCAAAAGTTCGGAGGGCAGATTCACGCCGTTGACTTCCAAGGGATGACTAGCTATACTGTAGTTGCAGGGTCGAACGGTGATGAGATCATCCAGTTTCGAGAGCAGTCCGCCATACTGGACATGGACATGGTGAAGTACAAAGGTAACGACTGTCTGCCTATGAGATCCTTCACATTATATATGCCTTTGTCCTTCATCGTGCTTGTGCCTCGCCGACCCATGGATATCTGGATATGTTGCGATCCTTTTCTCCCTTGCTTATCAGGTACCGTCGTACCTTCTCGTGTCCTGATGACTCAGCCTTGCCCCTAGCATGTCCTGCCCTTGTCCACGGCCCGATCATGCGGCCTTGTTTGTCCTTCTGCTGCCCAACAAGCGCCCTCCTGATGGCGTCGTCGGTTCCGGAGTGGCAGACGAGGTACATTATATAGCTGTGCAGCCTTTCTTTCAGTTAATTTGGGTCCGACTGAAGCGCGTTTAGCACTAGAATAATGTCGCCTTCGTTTGATTGCTGTGGCATAATTGTTGGTAGAGAAAAGGAGGAAAGAAGACAGCTTGCACAGGAAGAGCGGGAAAGTGAACGGGTCACTTGTGGATTACGTTAACCCTATGGTAAAACATTAGAGGTAAATCCACCGGGGAAAGGGGATGGAATGAGACGGACCTACGACGTGCACGGACGTTTTGTCCGACATGACATGCCCAAGATGAGAATGAGCCGGATGTCGCGGCGTACAGGCATGCTGTCGGGCATGTGGGGCCGGCGGGTCGATGGCTCTGGAGGGAAACCGCATGGTAATGATATAGTAGGGCTTCCCGGCCGGGAATGATGGTCAGTAGTTCCGACAGTAGGAGGGCAATCCGGCCGAGAATGATGGTCAGGGCAATCCGGCTGAGAATGATGGTCAGGCAAAGGCACCCCGAAGGGCATCGGTTTCGGGAGGCTCCGTGGTACAGCCTTGATATTGTCCCGCTATTCCGCAGGTCTCAGATCGAACGTGTGATTTTGTGTCTCATAGGAGCAGGGGAGGAGGCATAGCAGCTCTGTCTTGCGAGAGGACACAAATGACAGTCTCATGGCTGGCTTGGAAAGCTGAAGACAAGTGTCGTCAGGTTATGAAGGCTGGCGCGCGGTAAGACATGGCAAGTAGTGGCTGAGTGAAGGCGGAAAAAGCTGACCAAATGGCTTGCGTGCCGTCTTCCGGGGCTGTGCGACTAGTGCCCTGAAGTTCACAGGGCTGAGCTCCTCCTTATGGCCTGCCCACAGGTACGAAGCAAACAGTTTTCGCATGCTGTTTCCAGGTCATGCGTATCTTGGAGATGTAGCCCCCGGATATCCAAACTCTTTTTTGGGCAATGAAATGGCGGGAGAGGATCTAGTTTGCACCAAATCAGGCGTCAGAAGACTGCAGCCGTCACTTTCGTAGATCTCAATGGCTCACCAGAAGCCCAAGCCTAGTGGTGAACACGAAGAAAAGGAATATGAGCAAAGAATTCGTGGCGCTCTTCACTTGCTACAGGACATTGACAAATTAGGTTGAGCCATTAACATCGCCATCCGTCTGAAAACCATGGCTTTGCTCATTCCACCTATTCAATACTTAAGTGGTGTGGTGTATCTTATGTACCGAGTCCTAATCGCTATGAATAAACCCTTGCGCCAGCCTTCGGGCTAAAAGAAATGCAGAACCTATCCCAAAACAAACAGCCAGCCAAGGTCGTGGTGAGCACAGCAACGCTGTCTCCATCCACAGCGCATGCGCGCAAGCCATCACCGATCACGGTCCTGTTCGCCACGATCGTCCCTGCGCTGGGTCGAACGCGGTCGCAGAATGCCAGTGATCATAGTCAGCCAGCTCTCCTGCCGATTGCTCGTCAAGGAACTGACTCCGCGCTCAACGTCGGGATCCTCACGATCTTCTGCACTTGCGTCAGAGCTACTTGCGTCAGAGCTACTTGCGTCAGAGCTAGGCAGTGAGTTGTGCGAGGAGACATCGTCGTCCTCGCTGTCGTCGCGATATGGTTCGTAGCGAGGGCTTGAAGAACCATGGGCGAGTGACCGCACCACATCACCCTTGCAGATGGGGCATGTGCGTCGCCGAGTCGTAAGCCAAGGAGTGCTGTTTAAATCGTCAGCTTGAGCAAGAAATAGCATCTCAAGAGTAAGAGGCAGGAAAAAACTTACATGCAGTCCACATGAAACTCATGGCCGCAGGGAAGACTCATGACTTGGCTGACGCCATCGACATATTCTTCAAGACAAACAACACACTCAACCTGACGTCCTATGTATTTCTTCCATTGACTACCACGCTTCTCGTGCTCCGGCTTCTGCCCTCCTCTTGCCCGCGCAGAGCTGGGTACTGCATGGGCCGTCTCAGCTTGCATGACTTCGTCGGCCGTCAAAACACCAGTAGTGGTTCGAGACCGAGGTCGGGGTCGCTGTGGCAGTTCCGTGCTTTGAAGAAGCGGTGTCGTTGGCGACGAACTTGTAGGGGATGGTACACGAGAGCTTTGGGTCGATGAATTTGCCACTGTTTGATAGGTTCGCACGGGAAGCCTCTCCACGACAGACTTGGGTGCTCTCCAGCGTCTTCTGCGAATGCGGGCGCGGAGAATCAGCAGCGCATATACGACGGTCAATGTGATCAGTGGGCTGATCACAAGAACAAGCAGGGTGTCGAAGAAAGGACTGGCGCCGCTTGAGGGAGTAATGACGACCCAAAGCCCCTCGTGATGCGGCGGCGGCATGCCCCTGCCTTGATCCGGTCTGTTGGCCGGGGACGTGGTGATTGGGGCAGGTTGATCTTCGCCACGAGCGCTGCCAACACTGTCGTGATTGCCAAAAAGCTTCGAGATCAGCCCACCGGGGCTCTCCTTGGTTGTAGGTGACGTCTTGTCCTTAGCCTTGCCAATGGCGTCGCGGTCCTTGGCTGGAAAGCTGCTTGCAATGTATTCGCTGCTGCTGGGCGTGATGCTGTTCGCTTGTCGTGGCTTCTCCTCCGCTGCTCGTTTCGCTGCGGACTCGGGGATCTTCTTCGTTTTCGGCAGACTGCTGTCGGCGATGTCCACGCCATCCTCGAATCCCACCAGATCAGGATCGCGCCAGTCTTGCACTCCGATCTGAAAGTCGTCAGGAGTAACCTGGTCCGACGTCGATTTGACCGCTGTGCCAGTTTTCGCACGGCCTTTTGCAGCCGGAGTATCGTTCTCATCGCTGAAGTCCTCGACTTGCTTCCACTCCAGTCGTCCGCTTCTCGGCGGTCTGTTATCGACATCGCCAGCACCGGAAGTGGTCCCGATGCCGAAGAGACGAGCGAACCAGCTGGAAGAGGATGCATTGCTATCCGCGCTGACCGAAGACTTGCCACTTGTGCCCTTACCACCACTAGTTGCTACCGAAGCAGCCGAGTGAGTGCCCTGCTCCTTCCCCTTCTTGTTCTTGGTGGTCTTGTCGAGTGGCTGTCCCTTGAGAGCCAGTTTCCCATGCTCATCCATGACATTTTCGAAACCTGCGCCAGATTGCAGCATGAGAGAAAGCAGATACGCAGTAGTGCGCGAGGTAAAGATGGATGGAATCGTGACGTTGGAAGCGTCACCCTTGGCGAACATCTGAATCAGAGGCCCGCCACGCTGGTTGTCACCAACGATAAGAGCGACCGCGCCACGCCGCTGAGCCCACTTGGCCTTTTCGAGGAATCCGCAGCCTCCACGACTCAGAAGAACAATCTTGCCAGCAATCTCAGCACCCTCCTGAATGGACTGAATGTCGGCATGTCCAACGCAGTCGAGGCCGAAAGCGTCGCTCTGAGTCTGCTTGACAGGTTTTCCACCAAGACCCTGGTGCAGATAGTCGTCCGTACCATCGTCAAGGGGGATCGGAGGTGGCTTCGACTTGGCAGCAACACCGACAGCGGGCAGTCGATCTATGACAGAGTCCTTAAGGGCGTCTGCTGGTCCGTTTCTGCTGTGACGGCTGTCTCCAGGCCCGCTGAAGGACGGCCTACCTTTGGCGCTACCACTCAAGGGCGTAAACACTGAATTTGTGCCGTCGTCCCAGTTGGGAGCGTCACTACAGCCTCGCTCGCCCTCCCCTTCGCCGTCGAGTAGCGACTCCTCGGTGAACCCACTGCCAATCCATAGCTGACCTGTAAGACCGAAAGCGGGCAGAGGAGGGCCAAATGCCGCGGGTCTGGCGGCGAAAGATGTGGTGTTGTCGTCGGCAATGGTGATTACGGCGTTGGGTGGGAAGAGGATGAAAGGCGCCGAGAAGGAGAAGAATGACGAAAAGGTGCCTATGCGCTTCGTGGCGGCAAGGGGCTGCGAGTCGACGGCGGGAGGAGGCGGAGTGGTCGACCTCGTGGTGGCCGTCGTGATGGCACGGCCAAGGATGAAGAGGCAGGCGCCGAAGAAGAAGGCGAGGTTGGCGATCCTCGGTGGACGCATGATGGGCGAGCTGGATATGGTTGATGCAGATGGATCAGCACGAGCGAGTCGGATTGTCACAGCCGACTCGAAAGTTGCCCGTGTCTCAGGCCAGCCTGAGGTTGAGCCCCAGGCTTTGTGTTCGCTCGAGCCGTCGTTATGAAGGGTGCGAAGCGTGACTACTGTCGTGGATGAGAGACCTGGCGGAGCTGGTGTTGGGCGCGCACAACGGCGCTCGTGCGGAGGTGGTGTTGAAGTGGGAGGGCGGGTGGCTTTGGGGGAGCACCGAGTACAGTACGAGCCGCCGGAGAAGCGTGCCTTCGGTTGGTGTATCCCTGCAGGTCCTGCAGGTTGCCTCGCCAGAGTGACAACGCAATGACAGCAACGAAAGACAAGCTTGCAACATTGCAGTCTAGAGATGCCATGGACCCGGGAAGGGAGGCACGAGGCGAGCAGCTCGTGAATATGAAGCCTGGAACGGTGGATGCCAAGGCGCCGGGTCCCGATGTGGCCTGGTCTAGTCGGGCGAGGTCCTGCGCTGGCGGGCTAGGGGACAAGCTTGGAATGAGACCAAGCCAAGTGCACCCGCGCATGAGCACGGCAGTTGCCCCGCCCCGCCGTTGCGAGCCCGCCTGCCTCACCTGCTTGTCTGACGTCAACCTCTCACCACGTCAACCTCTCACCACTAGACTGGGAACAGGCTGGCTCGGGCACCAACCAATCCACCCCGAGACCGACCAACCCCTTCGCCATGACGAGCAGACAACTGGCAGCACACCCCGGTTCAAAGAAGTGATTGTCTGCCTCCGAAAGCAGGCCGGCCCCCTCAATCAGGCCCGCGGTGGCCGGTTTGGCGGCGCCTTAATTGGCTGCGGCGCTCCGGAGAGGCCACCCCGGCTGGCGCCCCGGAGTGGTTGTGTGGGCTCGAGGTCGGGGCCAGCCATCCCTGAGATCTCGATCCCACATTCTCTTGCCACAAGGCATGGCATTTCAACATCTGATTCTTACAGCCGTCCCCAAGTGCCCACCATTAGCGCATTCCCCCCCACTCGCGTTGTCGTCATAAGCAGGTAATGGCCGGCGTTGCTTTATCTGTCGAGCGGCGCTTTCGTTGCTACAACAGGGAGCCGGCGCCACTTCTGGGGAGCGATCCAGAAAGACCCACGCACTCACAAGCCGTACCTTATCATCTCACCTCGATGCCCATTTCTTCCGCGGCCACAACAACAAGAACAACGATCAAGGACGACAGAGGTAGTACAAATTTCTCGCTCAAGCTAGCAAGACTCAGGCGACCACACATAACTGCCACCATGGCTGCTGCCTTCACAGACCACACGCAACACCACCATTCCACGCATACAGTACTTGACTGGCCCGGGGGTACCTTTGGCCTCAAGTCTGGCGACATGTCCTGGATGGTCCTTCATAGCGATTCCGGTCATGTAGAAGCTCCTTCATCCACCACAGACGGCGGCTTTACCATGAATCTTGGGTCCGATACGTCCAACATGCCCTTGCAGCCATACGACACAATGCTTTTTGACACTCTCATCCCCTTACGGGCCTCCACCACGGCTCTCAAGGACGCTACATCTAGCACATACTCTCGGCCATTGTCTCCAAAAAGCGATCCTACTACATTTCCTGATACTAGTAGCGTGTCGGACCACACCAGCCCTAGGGAAATCACGCCTGAGCCTTCGTCGTCAACGCTTAGCCGGCATAGTTACAACCAACTTCTTCGAAAACATAGCGAGAACTTACAAATCGCCGGCACAAAACGAAGGCATAGCGAGATTTACGGACGCAGTACAGGGTCACCAGAAACAACGGCAAGTTCCACGTCACAGTCTCTGACGTTAGATACAACGGCCCTTCCAGGCAGCAACAAGAAGATGACGATACGGGAGAAGAACCGAACCGCTGCGGCCAAGTGTCGCAACAAGAAGAAGTGTGAAATTGCAGAGCTCCAGGAGACAGCAAAACAGCTCTCGGAGAAGAACAGTACCCAAAGCGCCTATGTCAAGTATTTACGCGATGAGATACTCGCTCTCAACATGGAGATCCTGCGACATGGCACTTGCGAGAGCCATCTCATCCAGGACTACATCATGGAGAGGGTTGGTAAGTTGGGTCTGGATCAGGGAAGAGCCATTTCACAAGACACTTTTGCACCATAAAAGGCCAGAAAAGAAAACTCCAAAGCATGATCTCTCTATCTTGTTCCTCCCACTACGTGATCAGGCTGGTTCTACGTCTCCCATATGGACTGAAATGTCAGTCGAGCTTTCGATGACAGCCAGGCACGAGCTCCACTGACCCCCGAGGATAATAGTCTCACTCAAATGTAGAGACCGTAGAGTGGAATGCGATTACGCTATTCCGATAAGATAAGCTTTAGAAACATGTACTCTACGGAATCGAAGGGGTTTCAGATTAAGAAGCATAACATCTTGCCCGTATGGTATCGGTAATGACCTTGGGGATAACGTAATCCACAAGTGACCCGGCCACTTTCCGTCATTTCCGTATGGGCTACCTTATTTCCCCTTTTTCTCCACCAGTAATTATGGAACGACAATCAATTGAATGCGACCTTATTCTAGCGCTTCAGGCGCTCCAGTCAGACCCAAAATTAAGTGTACGAAAGGCTGCACAGATCTATAATGTACCTCGTACGACACTCCAAGACCGACGAAGAGGCGCGCAGCGTAAACGAGAAACCCGACCACCCTGCTAGAAATTGACCTCGTACGAAGAGGACAGTATCGTACAATACATACTCGACCTAGATTCGCGATCGTTTCCGCCGCGGTTAAGTGGTGTTCGAGAAATGGCGGATCGACTCCTCCGTGAACGCGACGCGCCACGCGTCGGAACGAACTGGGCCTCAAACTTCGTACGACGACGACCTGAGCTCCGTACGCGTTTTAATCGAAGAATCGACTACCAGAGAGTCCTCTGCGAGGATCCGGACGCGTATCGCGCGTGGTTTACGCTCGTACGAAACATAGTCGCGAAATACGGGATCCATAATGACGATATCTACAACTTCGACGAAACGGGCTTCGCGATGGGCAAGATCTCCGCCGAAACTGTCGTTACAACCTCCGATCGACGCGGGAGGCCAAGAGCCGTACAACAAGGCAATCAGGAATGGGTTACAGTAATCCAGGGCATCGCGTCGTACGGCTATTCCATCCCACCATATATCATCTTCGCGGGGAAGGTCCACCTCGACTCCTGGACCGCGAATAGCCCTCTACCGGCCGACTGGGTAATCGCGCTTTCAGACAATGGCTGGACGACGAACGAGAGAGGTCTAGAATGGGTAAAACACTTCGATTTCCATACGAAGAGTCGTACGAAGGGTACCCACCGCCTCCTTATCCTCGACGGCCACGAGAGCCACCATTCCGTCGATTTCGAGCTCTACTGCAAGGAACAGAACATTGTAACGCTCTGTATGCCTGCTCACTCATCACATAAGCTCCAGCCTCTCGATGTTGGGTGCTTTAGCCCTCTAAAACGGGCGTACGGTAAAGAAATCGAGGGTCTTATACGGGCGCATATTACCCATATCTCAAAGGAGGACTTCCTCTCAGCCTTTTATAAGGCGTACGACGCTGCGATGACAAAGTCAAATATCCAGGCAGGCTTTAGAGCAACTGGCCTAGTACCGTACGACCCGGATTATATGATTTCGCAGCTGGATGTAAAGTTTCACACGCCAACACCGCCAGGTTCCTCTGCTGGACTGCCACCCCCTTGGGTTTCAAAGACGCCGAATAACCCAATTGAGGCCGAATCGCAGACGGAGTATATTAGAAATCGCATCGTACGACACCAGAATAGCTCTCCGTCGTCCATTATTGAGAGCCTGCGGCAGCTAAACAAAGGAATCACAATGATGGTGCACGAGCAGACCCTTATGCGCCATGACCTCGCCGAACTTCGAGATGCAAACGACCGCCTTAGCCGCCGTCGTCGTACGAAAAGAAAACAGCTACAGAAAGGAGGGTCCCTCACGATTGATCAGGCAAAGGATTTGAAGGCTCAAATCGATGCGACGCAGCAGTTAAGGGCGGAAACGAGTCAGAATAGTAGTCGTACGAGGAGGCCAGAAACGCGCGCGCGACGATGTGGCGTCTGCGGCGAGCCCGGCCATAATGCTCGTACGTGTCAGAAAGTTGTATCTGCCTCTGAAGAAGAGGATTCTGAATAGTTTCAATTGATTTAAGGCGTTATGGTTGAATTCTCTTATACATTATCGTACGGGTGCCCGAAGACTGATTCACTAGCTTGTATGATTCACTTGCTTGTGGATTACGTTATAGTTTTTAATTCATGTAATGTGATGGGCCGATAGACAATCGTAGCCGTAGCCAGTATTCCATTTAAGAGGTCAGAATCGTTTGATTGAGAGATTTGGCCGATCATACGATAGTAAAAGGGTTCGAGCCCAGGTGGAAAGTCTCTCAGCTTCGAAAGAGGACATACCGATCGCGACATCCTTTCCGAGTTCTTGACAAACCAAGGCCACCCAGAGAAAGGTATTGTCTGAGTTAGATTGCAAGTATTCTCCGATGGCACCCAGGGTTGACTGATCATAGCTCTTTTGCCGCGCTAATTTCCCTACCATATGTTGGATGTATATGCTGACAGCCCTAGAGATAGACGTTGTATTCAGCTCGAGACGAAGAGTCATCTTAGACTGTGTCATACCTAGGCGTTCCTCGATGTCTGGCCAATTGCGACTAGATACAATCCACTTGGCTCGAGATGTAGACGATGTTTCGATAACAAGTTGGAGAAGTTCTGAGTAGTTCCTGCATTCATCGAGGGCATCGACTACGAAGCAGGAAGGGCCTAGAATTGGGTCTTGGAGAATGCCCTGAAAGGTATCGGCCAGAGTCCACCAGGCATTATGGTCTTCGAAGAGGGCGCGCCCGTCGTCGTTGTATTTATCTCGTAGGTGGGAAATGAGAATCGGTTGCTGTTTGACCACCTGGTAAAAGGCCCCGTAGTACGGCAGTCGCATTATTGATAGCAAGATTGGCAGCCTGGCAGAAGAAGTACGAGAGCAGAGTATTGGCATCTTTGTTCTTCAGTTTTGTTGCGGGTGATAACTCGTCGATAATGCCACATAGTAGCATCGTCTTGCCTTTGCCAGGATCGCCTTTGATCCATAGTAGAGAGGCTTCGCCGTCGCGCCATCGGAGGAAGTCATCGTTGGTAAAGATCCAGCTTGAGACGCTGTGTAGTAGGCCGCCCTGCGTATCCTCGATCCGCTTCTTATCGATGCGAGGGTCGGTCGTACGCAAGTCTGCGAGACATCGGTCCGCTGTGGGGTGGACGTTGATTGTGTTGCCCACGTGGACATCGGCGTTATTGGCGTGCACATCTCTGACCGTGTTCGGCATCGCTAGTGAAATCATTCTGCTCTGATATTCTTGAGGGGCACAAGTATACTGGTAGCACGGCCATCTACCTCACTTAACCACATTACTTTGACTCTGGATGAGACCCCGAAGAGGGCGGGGTAGGGAAAGCATTGGGTTTTGCAGCCTGGTGGAAGAAGCTGCTAGGCGTCATGCAAGATGGGAGCCAATAGCCTGGCATACCTGCTATGTATCGCGCCTGACTGCAATAAATACGGCGCATACCGAAACACCAAATGGCAGGATTGTTATTGCTGAGCATGAAGCGGGCAAGCACTTGCTTGCTACGTTATGTGCAAAGAACGCGACGTGCACGCGTCAGAATGCCGCCTGCAAGCACCATGGCCAGAATAGAGCATTGTCGGGCAAGACGTGTCTGCTTGCAACCCATAATGTACCGACTAAGGCATAGATGTAGACACTACGCGAGTACTGTGGTAGTTCTCGCTGACATGTTTAGGTTGAAGTAGAAAGCGACTCTCGACTTTCGGCAGAAGCAGTCTAAAATAGTGGGCCGATGGCCAAGCACACGTCCAGGTCGGAAATAATGTGTCGATCGGCGCTCGTAACCAAGCAGATATGTCTGGTGTTGGGGTTCAACAAACCGGTTCCGGCACCATTCAAGCTGGTAGAGACTTGAATATCATCTATCAGAGTATATAACCGTACTTCAAGTTGCACATAGGTGATCGCGCATGACGTCCTGACAAACCCCAGGTTTGCGCGATGCACCAGAACTCGATGATGTCCCCGAAGCCGCTTTCAATTCGAAAACAAACCAGAAGCTACCGTTCTGCCTCGAAAACACAGGACAAGATATCCTTAGACAGATCAAGGAATGGACCGATGGCAACTCTGATAAGCACATATTTTGGCTCAAGGGCGTGGCGGGCACCGGTAAAACCACGATTGCTCGTACCATCGCCCAACACTATCATGAATTAGAACGTCTTGGCGCAAGCTTTTTCTTCTCCAGGAACACTGGTGGCGATCTCGTGTCTACCAACAAATTTGCCTCAGCGATCGCAGCTCAGCTTGCCGACCACATCCCCGCGTTAAAACCATCTGTTACAAGAGCAAACACTTCTAGCCGTCTTCGTCACTTAGGTCTGTTTGAACAATGGAAGAAGCTCGTCCTCGAGCCGCTAGCAACGCTAGATGTTACACTCAAATCTTCGATAGTTTTTATGGTGGACGCATTAGACGAATGTGCAGATGAAGAGGAGATCCGCCTGCTGATCCACTGTCTTGCTGGTGCTGTAACGGTTCAAGGGGTTCGGCTTCGTGTGTTTGTCACAAGCCGCCCGGATCAGCCGGTGAATGTCGGCTTCAGCACAGCTCGACAGAATACTTACCACGGCTTTGTGCTCCACGATATTGAACAATCTATTGTGGATCAGGATCTCATACTATTCTATAAGCATAACGTACTCCACAAGGGAGTGGGACAAACAAGGGAGTGGGACACTTCCGTCCTACCTACGCGACAATATATAAGAGAAATCAACCACAACGCCTCAAATTAATTCAAACTATTCAGAATCCTCTTCTTCAGAGGTGGACTCAACTTTCTGACACGTACGCGCATTATGGCCGGGCTCCCCGCAGACGCCACAGCGTCGCGCGCGCGTCTCTGTCCTCCTCGTACGGCCACTATGCTGACTCGTTTCTGCCCTTAACTGCTCCGTCGCGTCAATCTGGGACTTTAAATCCTTTGCCTGATCAATCGTAAGGGACCCTCCTTTCTGTAATTGCTTTCTCTTCGTACGGCGACGGCGGCTAAGGCGGTCATTTGCATCTCGAAGTTCGGCGAGTTCGTGGCGTACAAGGGTCTGCTCGTGCACCATCATCGCGATTCCTTTATTTAGCTGCCGTAGGCTTGCAATTATTGATGTTGGAGAGCTGCCCTGATGTTGTACGATGCGATTCTTGATGTATTCGGTCTGTGATTCCGCCTCAATTGGGTTATTCGGCGTCTTCGAGACCCAAGGTGGCGGAAGGCCTGCAGATGAACTTGGCGGAGTTGGCGTATGAGGCTTTACATCTAGCTGCGAAATAACATATTCCGGGTCGTACGGTACTAGGCCAGTCGCTCTAAAGCCTGCCTGTATATTTGACTTCGAAATTGCAGCGTCGTACGCCTTGTAAAAGGCTGGGAGGAAGACTTCCTTCGCGATGTGGGTAATGTGCGCCCGCATAAGACCTTCGATTTCGTTTCCGTACGCCCGTTTTAGAGGTCCGAAGCACCCGACATCGAGAGGCTGGAGCTTATGCGACGAATGAGCAGGCATACAGAGCGTGATTATATTCTGGTCCTTGCAGTAGAGCTCGAAATCGACCGAGTGGTGGCTCTCGTGGCCGTCGAGGATAAGGAGGCGGTGGGTACCCTTCGTACGACTCTTCGTATGGAAATCGAAGTGTTTTACCCATTCTAGACCTCTCTCGTTCGTCGTCCAGCCATTGTCTGAAAGCGCGATTACCCAGTCGGCCGGTAGAGGGCTATTCGCGGTCCAGGAGTCGAGGTGGACCTTCCCCGCGAAGATAATATATGGTGGGATCGAATAGCCGTACGACGCGATACCCTGGATTACTGTAACCCATTCCTGATTACCTTGTTGTACGGCTCTTGGCCTCCCGCGTCGATCGGAGGTTGTAACAACAGTTTCGGCGGAGATCTTGCCCATCGCGAAGCCCGTTTCGTCGAAGTTGTAGATATCGTCATTATGGATCCCGTATTTCGCGACTATGTTTCGTACGAGCGTAAACCACGCGCGATACGCGTCCGGATCCTCGCAGAGGACTCTCTGGTAGTCGATTCTTCGATTAAAACGCGTTCGGAGCTCAGGTCGTCGTCATACGAAGTTTGTAGCCCAGTTCGTTCCGACGCGCGGCGCGTCGCGTGCGCGGAGGAGTCGATCCGCCATTTCTCGAACACTACTAAGGCGCGGTGGAAATGATCGCGAATCTAGGTCGATTACGTATCGTACAATGCTGTCCTCTTCGTATGAGGTCAATTTCTGGGTTTGTGGTCGTGAATCGCGCTTTGCAGGTTGACCATGGTATCGTCTGTGGAGTGTTGATTTCGACACGTTGTATATCGATGCAGCTTTACGAATTGTCAATTGTGGGTTTGTTTTAAGCGCATTAAGCGCTAGAATCAAATCGCCTTCAGTTGATTGTCGTGGCATAATTATTGGTGGAGAAAAATAAGAAGAAAGAGAGTGTCTTTCAGAAAGCGGGAAAGTGACCCACTCCCTTGTTTGTCCCACTCCCTTGTGGAGTACGTTATTCCAAGATTCTTTGTAGCTTCCATAGAATCGGTAATTGTCCTTGGAATTTCGTTCATCGGCAGATCACCAGTTTCGTCTATGACGACGGAATTTTGATCTCCCCACACATAGCTGAGGGCTAAATACTTCGTACGATGTCTCTTCCTTTCGTCATAATGAATCAGTTCATTTGACAGAACATCAATAAGATAAATATCCAACAACTCTGGTTGATAGCTGTTCTGACAGTCTGATCCATGTTCCCTTTGGCAATGATTTAGCCAAGCTTTAACCGCGTCATAATTCGGATAGTCCCCAACACGACGGACAAAATTTCGTGCACGGGGGGTCGCAGCTCCGAATACTTCCAATTCGTACATTGTATCTTCAATTTTGATAGATCGGCAAAGCTCTTGTGGCCTTCCTCCAGGATACATTCCAAAGATTGAGGCACTCAAGCGTTTAGCAGCCTCATCCTCAGAGAGATCATCTCTTAAACAACCGACGAGGTCGAATGACTTCAGCAGAGGAGCCTTGAGCCAACTTATATAGCTCTGTGCACAGGTCACATGTTTCATAGTCCGGAGGGTAGAATAAGAATCGCTGCACGACGATGGCAGCGAAATCGGACGAGCTGAGTGCCTCTTCTTCCAAGGCTAGGATATCCGAAATCTTCAGCTCACGGCATGGGCTACACACATGCCTCATGCCATGCGATACCCCCAAACCGACTGCAGGTGTGGACTGAATGCCAGTACCGCCCTTGTCAACATTTAGGGTTTTGTGTAGAAGCTTTACTCCAGGCTTAATATAATCAAATGGACGCATTTCCCGTGTAGCCATTGGTATGGTATGGATGGTATGGATGGTATGGATTGGGAAGATGTCTATGTCGAAATATTTGTTTTGGCCGGAAATCAGTGATTCTTGATTGACCAAGAATGATCTTTGCTGCTAAACTACAGACTTCTCCAATAGATTGGGCAGCAACATAAAGCAGGTTGACTACAAGTATATAAATACCCTACCTAGCGCACTCCGTCCTTGATTGGGGAGTCTGGAGGTGCAAGTGCCACCAAAGTGACCCACGTCTGCTTACAGCATGTTGCTGACTCACGGTTTGGCGACTTGCTATTGTTTCGTTTCTTGCATGGAAGTTCGTTCTTAGGATGAAGATGAATGAAAATTGATTCAAGAATGACGTTAGCTCTTAAGCAGTATTGACTGTGTTTGAGGAGTCAGAAAATATGTAAGATCCGGGGATTCGTACATTGCGGTGTTGCTCAGTTATGTGGAGGTGGAAAGCGTTGTGGAAAATAACCAAGGTGGGGTCACGAGAGGAGATACCCGAGAATTTTTGACTTAATGATGGGTCGATGTGCATGAAATGTAAGATTCGTGCACGGGGCCGGGACTGTTCCGCTCCGGGGCTGCATATTTTCCTTTCCCGTCCCTGATAGAAGGGTCTCGCGCATGCGTCAATAATCTGGACCGTTCTTGTTGTACGTGGGATATTGATTAAAGAAAGCTCGCTGTTTCAATCAGTACCTAATTTGTTCGCTAGTCTAAATAGTGAGAATTGTGGGCTCGCCCCCAGCCGCACGCCTTCCGACAGTTGTAAGCCCAGTCGATTGTCTTTGGTTCGCAAGTTTGATAGTGAGCGACATGTCACACAAGCAACTCAATCCGAAGCCAAGGTGGTCTCATCGCATAGCTCTATAATTAAAACTCGGTCTCTGGAGGCTGAGATGTGCACTACCCTAAAAGATGTCCGGCCAAACGCTGGTGCAATGGTGACACATCATGCGCCGTAATGAAGCCAGTGGTTGAGTGGATTTGGAGGGGAGCTGGATGCTGGAACTACACTTACCCCACATATGGCCCGCCACCGTACATCTTTCCTGGCTGACATCGTGCCCCACGATGTCATGTCTGGGTTCCGGTTCGTGGATCCTCATATTCACCCGATCTCTCAAATTTTCAATGAGAGCAACACCAAATCCCTCAAGTAGGTGGCGCATCGAAGAACCATGAGCGAAGCTGCCATGGGCGACTTGCCGAAGGAGTCGCTGAGCCGCAAGTCTCAGGCATGCAACGAGTGCAAACGCCGCAAAGTGCGATGCTCTGGAGGTGCCAAATGCTCCAACTGTATTCGAGACAAAAAAGAGTGCAGATACAGCACAGCCTTACAAACGCTTACAGCACTGCAGAGGCAGGTTTGCCCGAACTAACTGCATCCATCAAGGGTGTCATCTTACTGACCGCCAAGTCGGACCAGGCGTCTGAATCACGCAGAGAAACTGGTAACATCTATGGAAAAGGCATGGGCGATTCACCTGCCCGATGTTGATCTTCAGATGCGCTCCGTCACCTTGAATTAAGTGCTGAGGGACTGATTCGCCGCGCAAGCCCTGTAGCCTCCACTGAAACTCCAGAGACGCGATATGGACCGGCAGGCAATGAGCAGTCCAACGATCCTAGTCCGGCTGAATGCAGCAACGCTGAGGACTACGAATTTGATGAATCACAGGATTTTGATAATACAACTGATGGCATGGGATCTCTCGTTACTGAACCTGGAAAGGTCGGGTATACAGGTCCTCAATCTGGCGTTGCTGCGTTGAAGTTCTTACAAACTCTACATCTGTACACACCCTCTGATCACCCAAGACCAATCCCACTAGACGAACCTGATACGCGTAGTACATCACAGGCTTCATCAGCTGATATATCACACTATGTAAACGATTATTTCAACATTTATCATACGTCTTATCCCATCCTTCATGAGGGCACTTTCCGTGCTCGTCTCTCCGGTAAACCTTTTGACGACACCGATGGACGGTATTTGCTAACAGGTTCATACTAGGTGCATTGGCCAAACCGCGGGATGGCTCATGGCCACTTTTGTATAATATCGTCGTCGCTATAGGGGCATTCGTCGGGGGCACTGATACTTCAAATAATGATGTCCCATTCTACAAAATTGCTCGCCAAAGCCTCACCATGGATATTTTGGAGAAAGGGTCCCTAAGCTACGTCCAAGGCTTGATCCTCAGGTCCAATTATCTGCAAAAGCGAAATAAACCCAATTCAGGCTTTGTGCTCATCGGAATTGGATGGAGCATGGCATTGGCAATTGGTCTCCATCGGGAATTCGGTTTACCAAGCTCGGGTCCCTTCACCATGGAAATTCGTCGAAGAGTGTGGTGGACATTATTTGTGTTTGTCCCTGGGGCGCAACTGACCCTTGGAAACTTGCGAAGATGAACCTTGGTACCCCCATTCTCATAATCAGTTGCCCATCCTAGGATTTTCTTGGCTTTCCTGTCATAAAGGTAGCAGGTGGGTATATAGCCTGCCGCTAGACCAGTTTCATCAAATCGTCCTGAAATTCCTATTGATTCAAAATGACCTGTTGGCAGTATGAGGACCACATAGTGAGAGTCTGTTTTGCCCCAAGGCGCGCAATATAACTCGCCATCCTCTGGGTTGGTGATATACTGGTCTTGGGTCCTTGGCGAATTGGGCGGCCACTGTTGGCCGCAATCTAGTCGCAGACGTCAGGCCGGGCCGAGCTCCCCGATTTGCCACAAGCCTGCCTGCCAACCTGCGCCTGGGTGCGTAGGCGGGGCTTGGCGGGCAAGCGGGGTCGACCCCCAAAACATGCGCCATGACGATGAGTTGGGCTAGCATGTGACGTCATAAAATTAAATATACTAGGCACCGACCGGAGTATCTGTTAGAAGTTGTAAAGTACGAATATTAACACTTCCGTTGATCCTCTACTTTGGCCGTGATTCTCCATCTCGTTACATTCAATCTAGAGGCAGCTGTCAGAACACTCTGTTGGACTGTCCGAACCCGCGAGCACACCATGCGAGCTATTGTCGCCCCTGCATCACCGCAGACGGGGAAGGCCGTCATTACCGCGCTGCTTCAGCATACACCAACGTGTGAGGTGGTGGGCGTCTACCGAAATCTTGGCAAGGTTCCAGCCGCGTTTGCCAATCACCCGAGCTTCACAGCCGTGCAAGGTGATGTTGCCGATGGGCGCAGCCTCGACTTTTCCGGCTGCGACGTTGTCGTAACCATCAGCCCTCCACAGTACAGCAGCACAACCGACCCAATTGCCACGGCTAAACAGATTGCAGAGAACGTCAAAGCCGCAGTTTTGAGGGCTAGCTCGGTGAAGCGGCTCGTGTATGTCTCGACGGTTGGAGGGGAACATGAGAGTGGAACTGTACGTTATTCCCGTTTGCGTCGTCTTAGTATACGGTGCCGTTGCTTATGCGTCGTGACAAGGGGGAGCTACTTACAAATCATGTGGCCGAGGAAACACTGAAGGATGCGACCTCTGAAGTCGTCCTCGTTCGGTGTGCATATTTTATGCAGAACTGGGCATCAGCTATCTCGACCGTAACATCCGACACACCGCGGTTTTCGTCCGTCATTACTCCGGAAGACTTCGAGATCCCTATGGCAAGTTCACCTGCCACATCTAGTCCGGCTCGGAAGAGAACCGAAAAGTACTAATTCCAGCGGTAGGTATCAGTTAAGGACATCGGTAAGGTCTGCGCAGCAGAAGCCACTGCAGTTGGCGCTCCGCTCGACGTGCATCCTTACGTCTTTGAGCTTCATGGTTCTCAGTGGTACTCGACCAACGACGTCAAGAAAGCTTTCGAGGAGGTGATACAGAAGCCTGTGCACGTGGACTTGGTCACGCAGGACGAGCTTCGTTCCCATTTTGGTGCTTTCATACCGCCCGTTGTTGCCGATTCGTTTGTTGAAATGACCCGAAGCTTTCTCCCTGGAGGATGTGCGATGCCGCGAAAGGAAGGGGACGGCGAAGTGAGACTAGGAACGGAGACGTTGGTCGACGCTTTCCGTGAGATGTTGCAAGACTGAGACTCCCGTTTCTGACGATGATCACATCTTCAGTAAGTTAGTTGATTATTCTATTGGATGCGGCTTGTCAACTTTGAGCGCTCCAGAGGCTCGTCCAGGCGTCCTTAGAGCTGTTCCTTGATGGCGTATGACCTCGAATAAGCAGACTCAGTCAATACCACTCGTTCTGAAGCTATGGGACATATTGATACATTGAACACGATTCGTGCTCTGAGGCTCAAATGAAGTGGCAATTAAGATCCAGTGCCTCTGAATGCCAGGGAAGTGATTTGGAATCTCAGAGTCCTGACCATCATTCACAGGCAGTTTCTGTCCAGTTGGCGCGTTTCTGCCATAGAACAGGGGTCGGGCGCTTGGGCCATTGGACTCATTTCTGAACCCCAGGTGCACCATATTAAGATTGGCACTTGGACCCAAACTTACAGTGGGCAGGGGATGCTAACCCCCAAGGGCCACCCGCCCCCAGCCATTCGGGCTACCCCAATTTCCCCATAGGGTTCAGGTAAGTGAAGGAGAGCGCTGCGGCTGCGGCTCACACGGAAGACCCCGGACGGGAAAAGGAATGGTGAGAGGCACGCGCCGACGCGTTGTCGCGTCTCAGGCACGGGGTAAAAAAGGGAGGGTTCATCATTAGGGCAGACAGGTAGATAGAATTAAGACATATGCCAATACTTACGACTATACTTCATTTACGTCATTCGAGCTCTACTGTACAGCGGTAACTGAGGCACTACTTACCAAACCGTCCAGACGCGAAACGCGACAGCGACTACAGCGAGACCAGGCACCGCAGCCGGGCAACGTCAGGAAGCCGACATGGAAGACCATCACGACGACGCCGGAGCGCCCCCATCGGAAATCGATGTGTATCTCCACGAGGAGTCGCGCGTACTGATATGTTCGGTGTGTAAGGGTGGCATCCAGCCCGGGCCCGGCATTGAGTCCCACTTCCGGCGGAGGCACGGCGCAAAGGGTGCTGTTCTACAGCGGGTCCGGGAGAAGGCTACGACAGCCGCCGCAACGGCAGGTGGGCTGGCGGACCCACAGACAGCGGAGACACCGGCAGATGGAACGTCGCCCGTCCCAGAGCTCCGGCTGCAGGCCGGGTTCAGCTGCATAGCATGCCGCTTCTTAACAACAACGAGATGGTGATCCGGCAGCACTGGACAGGGAGGAATTCGGAGGTGGACGACAGCCATGGTTGCTATGAGCGTTCAAAGAATAACTGGACGGCCGTAGCACTCCAGTCTTTCTCTCGAGCGAGGCGGCTTACGCGATACTGGATTGTCGACACTACCACTCCGCTACAACAAGTAACCACAGGAGAGGGAACTACGACTGGGAGCAAGGCAGGCTCGCGATCTGCCATACCGGATATAGGGTGGGAGCTGCAGCTTCGTAAGTACGAGGCGAAGGCTGCAGCAAAGGCAGAAGAGCGGCAACGTATGATCGATGAGGAAACGGGGGTCGATTTTAAGTCGCCGTGGGTCCGTAAGATGGGCTGGGCTGTGCACTTTAGAGGCAAAATGTGGCATTGCGGTTCGACATTCCCAGGCAATTACTTATCCTGAATCCTGTACCTGACTAGTTGCAAGGACTCAAGCGAAACATACAGCTGTCCAATGAACCTTGAGCATAACAAATTCTCGATCTATCATCTTGTACACTCTAGGTCCTATTTCCCAGAGCCACTACAGCGGCCACGGAGGAGAAAGTCGTCTATTGGTGCATGGAGATCTTTTGAGAAGGCGCGTGTCTCCTCCCTATAGAGTAATATGGGGCAATCATGGAAGGTTCGCACCACAGCAAGCCTCACACCTCGATCACCCTCGATAATAGAGGCATACACTTGCTGTGCCGACTCTAAAAGTTGGAAATTGCCCAGAGCCCCTTTGCTGCCGCCTTAGACATCGGGAGCTCAAGAGCCTTAAACGATGGATGGGCAAAACTCTACGCGAAGACATCAAGCGAACTCTTGCAGCTTGTCGATGGTTGTATAAGCAGCAAAGATGATCTTGGGAACGGGTCTACTAAGCCAATCCCGGACACTCTCATCCACAGTACTTACGGATAAAGCGCAGACGAGTGATTTTGTCATACAGAAGTAAGGGAAGCTTAGGAAAGGCCTCAATCAGAAATAGAATTTACTGGTAAATCTAGGGTCATATGAGTCTCCATAGAAAACTGTCTCGCCATCCTTGCTCCAGCGTAGGAAGTATGAAGGAGGATCTAATCGTGCCATCTCACGGCCATCGTCTTGATCTGGAGCCCGACTTCGACCTGGCCAAGGTGAAAGCTGACCTAACCTGTGCTCGAAACGGATTTTCCTTTATCCAGCATCCAGGGAGCAGGCTGTCACCAGAAACTGCGAGTTCTCTTGATGTGGTCACGGATGGCCTCTACAGTTAACGGTTGGTTCCCATTCCTCTATGAGTTAAAACATCTTTGTGGAGGCAGCGTCAAATGTAACTAGCCCCCGCAAAATGGAGTATTCTACAAGCCTGCCTTGAGAACATCATTGTGCAAAGTCGGCGTAATCGCCTTTAGCAAGAGCGATGGGTAAAAATGGTTCCAACACGTTACCTTGGAAGGATTGCGCGCAAGCCTGGTTTCTCACACATGGCGAGAAGTCAAATGTTGTATGACATTCAATATCAAACGCCAAAGTGAACATAAGGAACCCAGAGCGGCCGCCTCGGCTCCGACCCTTGTCTCAATTCAGCGTCCCTGTCCGCTCCCGATGACCGTGACTTTCCGCGTCCGGCATCCTCGACCTCCACCCACTGGTCTCGGAGCGTCCTCATCGCTCGGTGAAGCCCCCGGCTTACGGTTTCATCCCGGATACCCTCATCCCGCAGAAACTCGTACGTCATTCTCGCCATGTCCACACATAACCCGTCATTTACGCTCCAAAGCGTGCCCACTACATGACGGAACCCCGCAAGCTGGCAAGCATTGGCCAGATGGATGCTCTCGTCAACAGACCCCTCATCCAGGATCTGACCAGTCCCGCATGCCGAGAGGTACGCGAGGAATGGCGGCTTCGAGGTAAGGTTCGTCTCCAGGAGGCTCGCCACCGTGAATGGCTTCCGATCCCAATCATCCAGGAGCAGCTGGCTCTCCAGCGGTTCCGTGGGATGCGTGCTGCCGTGGCCAGCAAAGTGGAACATCTTGCAGGCCTCCAAGGCCGAGGCCACGTCGGCCTTGTACGGTCGAGGCCGGGCGTGCGGCAATCCCACCGACTCGCAAACAGCTACTACGGCATCAACCTCGTCGCTTGCATGCTTGAGCGGTTCCTGTTTTGGCGTGTTCTGCATGGCAACGACAACGGCATTTCGGGACTCCCCGGCTTCCGGCGCGTGCTGTGGCCGTCGCCGACTATGTATGATCGCCTTGACGGACGAGGCGTACGATGAGACGACTCTGTCGACCGCCGTCTCGCCGGTGCGCCTTAGATGGTGTCCCGCTGCATGGAGTGGAAACCGGGTCAGTGGGCCGGTGGGGACCCACCACACGTGCGGCCACTGACTGTCCGAAGGAGGTCCAGTAAAGCCTAGAGCATTAAGAATGGGACAGACGATGGCATCCCAGAGCCACCCAAGCGTGTCAAGAGTTCTAAGTTCCCGGACATGGTCGTTGAGCGCCTCTCGGGAGAGGTGTGGCAGCTCCAGCAATCGGATGCCGGACTGCTCAATGACCAAGGCATCGCAGCGATACGAGCTCACGTTCAGGACGACGATCGGGCCGTGCCGCGCAGCCTCCAGCATATCGGCTTCCGATGCGGAGAGGAGGAATCGCTCAAAACCGGACTTGGAACGGATCGTCTCGAGGAGAGCGGCAAGCTGGGGTCCAGCGTCGCGGCGCCGATCGCCTTCCGTCTCTGCGGCCAGAGTGGGGCGCTCGGCAGCGAGGGAACGAGCCGACGCCGGTGCGTCCAGTTGATCTCGCAGGTCGATAAAGGAACGTACCAGGTCGGGATGCTCGCGTTCGAGAGCGGCAAGGTCGGGTTGCTCGAAGAGGGCTCCCGCGATGACACCACGACCAGTCTCAAGCAGTTCGATAGCAGCAGCAGGGCCTCTGTTGGCATGCAGAGCAATGGCTGTCGCGTCCGACGAGAGTCCGACAGCCGCGGAGAGGAGGTGCCGCTTGTCTGAGTTCTGCAGAGAACGGGGCGTCAATAAGGGAATCAAGTCGATCGTCGTTTTGGCAATGGCGTATGCTTGTCGATCTTGAAGTATAGCTGGGGATGTCAGAAGATGACGGCCGGCTGCGACACGCATGCTCACAGCGGAGGGGGACTGACGCAAGGCAGCGACGAAGCGTTCCTTGCCTTCCTCAAGGTCTGCCATCGCGCCTGTGCGTGAGTGTCTGTCGCCTAGACGAACTCCGAGGTTGATTAAGAACATAGCCCGGTTCGGATGATCTACCGGGGTGGCATCGATGGCTTCTCGTCCAACTTGGATCGCTTCCTCGAGGTCTGCCATCGCTCCGTTCCGCGAGTATCTGTCACCTAGACGAATTCCGAGGTTGTTCAATAATGTAGCCCGGTCCGGATGATGTAGAGGGGTGGCATCGATGGCTTCTCGTCCTACTTGGATCGCTTCCTCGAGGTCTGCCATCGCTCCGTTCCGCGAGTATCTGTCGCCTAGACAATTTCCGAGGTTGTTCAGCCATCCAGCCCGGTTCGGATGATCTGACGGGGTGGCATCGATGGCTTCTCGTCCTACTTGGATCGCTTCCTCGAGGTCTGCCATCTCTGCAGTTCGTGAGTATCTACGGCCTAGATGATTTCCGAGGTTGATTAAGAACCCAGCCCGGTTCGGATGATATAGCGGGGTGGCATCGATAGCTTCCCGTATCATGTGAATGGCTTCCTCGAGGTCTGCCATCTCTGCAGTCCGTGAGTATCTGTCACCTAGATGATTTCCGAGGTGGTTCAATAATGTAGCCCGGTCCGGATGATGTAGAGGGGTGGCCTCAATGGCTTCCCGCGTCAGACGAATGGCCTCCTCGAGGTCTGCCATCGCGCCTATGCGTAAGTATCTGTCGCCTAGACGAATTCCGAGGTTGTTCAATAATGTAGCCCGGTCTGGATGATCTAGAGGGGCGGCATTGATGGCTTCTTGCCCTACTTGGATCGCTTCCTCGAGATCTGCCATCTCTGTAGTCCGTGAGTATCTGTTGGCTAGATGATTTCCAAGGCTGTTCAGCCATCGAGCCCGGCCCGGATGATGTAGAGGGGTGGCATCGATGGCTTCCCGCGTCAGATGAATAGCCTCCTCGAGGTCTGCTATCGCTCCGTTCCGTGAGAATCTGTCGCCTAGACGAACTCCGATGTTATGTAAGAACATAGCCCGGTCTGGATGATCTAGAGGGGCGGCATCGATGGCTTCTCGTCCAACTCGGATCGCTTCCTCGAGGTCTGCCATCGCTCCGGTCCATGAGTATCTGTCACCTAGACGAATTCCAAGGTTGTTCAATAATGTAGCCCGGTCCGGATGATGTAGAGGGGTGGCATCGATGGCTTCCCGTGTCACACGAATGGCTCCCTCGAGGTCTGCCATCGCTCCAGTCCGTGCGTATCTGTCGCCTAGACGATTCCCAACGTTGTTCAAGAACATAGCCGGCTCGGGATGATCTGACGGGGTGGCATCGATGGCTTCTCGTCCTATTCGGATGGCTTCCTCGAGGTCTGTAATCGCTTCAGTCCGTGAGTATCTGTGGCCTAGAGAACTGGTTGTCCTGGTAATTCGAAGCGGCTCGTTAGTAGTCCGAAGTCTTTGCCAGGGAGGAAACTTGTCACCCACCCTTCGAAGCTTTAAAATCTAGAATAGAATCGGCCCTGGTGTCGAAATTCGCGGGTGGCGAAGCAGCGCGAAATGCGCTCGGGGTGGGCACTTAGGGACGGGCTGTAGGAATCAGATGTTAAAATGCCATGCCTCGTGGCAGGCGAATGTGGGATCGAGATCTCAAGGATGACTGGCCCCGGCGTCGAGCTCACACAACCAATCCGGGCGCGAGCCGGGGCGCGGGTGGCTTCTCCGGACCGCGCAGCCAAATAAGGTGCCAAACCAGCCGAGTGGCGTTTCCGCTTGCCAGCGGTGGCCTGATTCGGGCTCGCCTGCTTCGTGTCAAGCGGGAGCAGCCGACACGAGCCTTCGCAATTGGGGGGCGAGGCGCCCCAACCTAAAACTGGCGCATTTCGAGGGAGCGGACCAACGTACAAATGCGCCATTTATAGCTTGGGGCACTTGGGGGGTATTGCCCTGACGAACCCCGTAGCGGAGCGGGCCCGCCGTAGCTTCTCACCGAGTCCAGCCACTTGCACCCCGCTCCTGCCGTTTGACCCCAGATCAACGCGCACGGAACTTGCCGTGGCTGCATTTTCAAGCAGGCAGTTCCTGTGCTTCCCTCACTCGCGCTGTCGTCATAAGCACGTCACGGCCGGCGTTGCTTATCTGTCCGGCTGCGCGTTGTTGCTACCAGAGAGCCGGCGCCATTCCTGGGGAGCGACCCACAGACCCACGCACTGACAAGCCGTACCTTGCCATCCCACCTCGACCCCCATTTTTTCCACGGCCACAACAACAAGAACAAAGATAAAGGACGACAGAGTTACTGTAAGGCTCGGTCATTGTACGTGGGACTGCCTCCCATTATGTCATTCAAGGATTAGGTAAGTTAATCAGAGCCGATAAAAGATAACGGAACCCGGCCAGAAAACAATAACTAACGGATCAGTTGTCGCGACTGATGGTCAAACAAGGACCAAGAGGCCACAAGACATCACTATGAATTTCTGATGCGGAGGAAGGCATATTTGCTCTCGAATATTCACGGGCTAGACATCCATTGCCTTTCAGCCTCAGCGATCAATCTAAGTATCATTTCCCTTTTGTCTCCACGCCCGGGCGTAAGTGTACAGGATGCTCCGGCTCCGAGCTGCATGCGGAGTGCTTTGAGGCAGCAATACCTATAGGAAATGTTTGCACTGGAACTCTTTCGACAATAATGGAGTACAGTATGACATGATAATTTGATCATCATGACATATGTATTTTTGCCATTGACCAGTAGTAGTTGATTTAATAGCCTTACGGATTAGACTTCAGCGAGCGAAAATTATCCATTTAGGTAGGTGTGGCTGGGGTTGCATGTTAATAACAAGCTTCTGGGAGCATCTATAGTATATCCCACAAATCAGGACCACTGGACGCTTGCCATCGCCTTGCCTGACAGTGTTGCCAGATGGGCAGCCCGTTGTCGCGTCTAAATTTCTTCCTCAGATTCATGAATCGTAGTTCGCGTGGCTCTGACGCTACACCATTTTCTACCAACGATTCAATCAGTCACTACCTCGAAGCAGAAGTCCTGCGAAAGCACTGTATGGCCGTGGCTTCGAGGGCACCCCGGTCTCGGCAGGCCCGCGACTGGTCCGGGGATGGGCACCACGGAGAATAGAGTTTACGACTGCAAAGCCCTATCGCTGGTCGGGCCAGTTGAGAAGTATGATGATATCGCCCGTGCCTCGTACTTAAGCGATACTGGGAATAGTTGCATTATTCCATATAACATGATCGTAATCGTGAAAACAAAGCTAGTTTATATGGAATGTTCTGGGAGATCTATGGGAGGTCTCGGGGAATCCGGCGGGCGATAAGTCTTTCATCGGCCACTGCTTTCATGGCATAGGCGGCACTGCGCAGCTATATCAGACCACAACCCTCATTGTCGGACCAAGTCTATTTATCGTACGGCAATTTTCGTAAACCGCTCAGCTTAATTACATGGTCAGCTTTCTGCGGGACCGTGGGACAAAGTACATCAGCTCTGCCCTGCGTATTGAGTGGCACTGCCATCCCGGCATATTTACCGACTATTCATGGTTGTACTCTCACAAGCACGTTTGATGAATGAAATTGACCGTGCTATTCAGGTCGCATCCCAGGATGAGGCAGCGACTTTGCGTTTCAACCTTACGCCTCGTGTATCGTCGTCAGCCTACTAGGTTGGCCAAATATGATCTAATGACATACCGGTCTCCGAGGAGAAACATGTGAGTTCGACCAGGCATATCAGCTGCATGCATTACAGTGCCCCAGGATCTCGGGTGCGGCGTCCCCCTCCATCTACATAGGTTATAATGCATTATCCTTCTTCCATTTGCAATTGCTACCTGAAATAGCACCGCTCTGCGTGGACATGAATGACCGAAGCATATCGTAAGCTTTCCGAGTTCCTGGATTTATGACTGAGTGCCGCGACCAAGGACTACAACCCAGCATACGATTGGAGCCCGGATAATACCAGAATTCAGTTTCCCAGCTTGAGTACAAAGACAACGACAATAGAGTGGTAATTGCTGACCAGATAATTATCGCTACAATTGAACGTGGTTCACCTCGGTCCAGCGAGCTCCGGCCGAAACTCGTTCTAATTTATCCTACACGCTCGTAGAGTTGTGAATCGCGCTCTATGAGGGGTGTCTTGCTAAGGAAAGGATGGAAGGTACCTTCTCCACGTCGAGTTCGTCAGCATGGATTGCCCATAGATCGATACTAGTGCGAAAGTGTGGTATATTTCTGATTCTGTGTCGTCCGACCGGTCCTTTACACCTGGGACACCCTACCAGAACATCGCTATCTGTACCTGTGCCAATTATCTCTGCCTTTGTCACGTTTGTAGAGTGCATCAGAGGCCTCTGAAGTTATCATCAATCACAACTTCACGCTCTAATCTAAGAGGTTCAGACTCTCATCTGTGCTTATAATCTGTGTTGTGACTACTCCGTCATCGATGACCTCCAGGTAGGATGGTGTTGTCGAGATGGTCCTCCGTGATGTTGATATTGATAGCCGAGCGAATGAAATCGAGGAGTGGATCGACACCCTTGGAGCCTCCAGCACTGATTAGCGCCGTAGGGGCCTTGCAGTTCTGCTCGAGGAGGCCTTTTTGGAAACAGATCCGGCGAACAATCTCCAGCATCCAGTAGCCACAACTCCAGTTGTCATCCTGCTTCCCAATTTTGCAGAGTGCCCATGAGTTTATCTCGCCCAACCCGGTCGTGTTCCAGACAGGCATGAATTGCGTAGCCCACCCGACCGCACATTTCTCGCTATTACTTCGAGGAAGCGTGTCAATTATGAAAAGACTCTTCCCGTTCAGGTGAATCCCATCCAAGTGAATCAGGAAAAGAACCCAGTGATGTCCAGCGTTCCAGGGGAGGAGTATACACCTTGGCTTTTCCTGCTGGACCTGCGACAGGAATTTGTCGTCGAATAACTGTAACGGCTTCCCTTCAATAGCTGGAATGACAGCCTCATCTGGGGCCATGATGCACTGCTTTGGCACAGTCTCGAGAAGAAGCTGCAGACACGTGAAGACTTCACTCTCACAGAGCCACCCGTCTTTGCCTCCAAGATGGCGCTTTCTGAGAATCTCCACCAGCCGGGGTCCGTGCTGTTTCTGGAAATTGGTAAATGAGGCTTCGTCCAACCTGTTTGTAAAATGAACATGAGCCTCCTGGTTTGTCTTGCGATAAAGGGACTGGAAGTCGCTAAATCTTTCCGTGCCTATTGTGACAGGCTTGCTGTTCCTTGATTTATAGGGAAGCAACTCATAGGGCACTCCGTGAAAAATATCGTGGATAAGAGTGCCGAGCACATCTCCTAGGGCTGTCGGGATGACCGAATGACGCTTCGGCTTGAAGCGGCCGTCGTCAAGGACTGAGTCGAGCCATTTCTGGCCTGGGGTCATATTTCTCTGCCGGAAGGTCTTTTGTCTGACCCACAGTCGTCTCTGCTGTTCGAGCTCGGATCTCGGTGGCGCCATATAGCAATGAATTCGCAGCATGGAGCCGGAGAAGTCGATGCTTTTGTACCTTGTGAGGGCTGCTCAACCGACATCCATCGTAATGACATAACGACGCTGTCAGGCCAGCAGCAAAAAGGTAAGCAGGACAGCACACGAGGAGCCTTCATTGTACTTATTATCTCGTGCACCAGAATCATAAACTGCTGGCAGTTGTAAGCAGATGGTGATCGCGGCTCGTCATGATGACTGCAGTTGGGATTACCACTGCGCCGTCATCTTTCGAGGAGTAGTCGCCGAGCTAGTTACGAGGGGCGGAGCGGATCCCTGATTCTGGTGTTTCCATATGCTATCAGCATAAGAGAGCGTATCTATATGTGCTAGTTTCAAGGCCCTTTCCTTATGACATCGACTACGATAGTGGCGATCCGCGACATTGCCTGTTTCAATCTATTCTCGTAATCCATACGTTCAATCATATCTGGCTTTCAAAAGGCATAACCGATAAACACCTCTCGTAGTACGTATATACTATTTATACGCGGAGTCTGTGTTGTAAGCCCCCTAGGAAAGGTTACGGATTTTCGGCGAGTTTTCTTCATTTGCCGCTGAGTGGCTTCGACCTTCCAAATATCTTCCAGGTAATCTTCTTCGGGGAACTTTAGGTTACCGAGTAACCTCTCGGTTGCATATAACCCCTTGTAGGCATCGGCACCTATGTACCAGTTGCAATGCATTCCACTCCTGACCCCGGTCGCCTCCGCCACTTCTGCAATCTGTTCTACCTTGTCTTTGCCCCTTCTAATTTAGGCAATTGCTACACCGGCGTGAACGAATGGCTACACCGGCGTCACTCTTACACAGGCGTCACTTCCATGGCCTCTGATTCGCTCTTTTTTCCTTCGACCCACAGGTACATCGGCGCAAAGGCGGTGAAGCCAGCTCCCTTAACAAGTCCCTCAGCTTCGGTAAAGAACCAATAGGGTCAACCCAGGTCTAAATCGAGCTCATAACAAGATCTGCAGAACAAGACCAATTCAAGTATGCTCTAGATGCCAGCTCTCCATATCGCTATCCTCTCACTACTATCGAGGGAAGTACCTCCTCGTCGCTGTCAAGCAGCTCCCACTGACTCCTTCGCCTACGAATGCTAGGCTGCGTCTGCCGCCCGCTGGCACGTACTCCTGTAGTTCTTCCAGCTCCAAGAACAACTGACCGGCTGCGCGTTTGGCGCTGGGATGGGGTACTGGCCTGGTTACTAGCCTGGCTGCTGGTCTGTTGGCTCACTTCCAGTGGAAGCCTAGCTAGCGTTGACTTGTTGAGACTTCCCGGTGGTCGACCACGTCTGCGCCGTGGTGACTTGCTTGCTGGTTTGTTGGCTGGCTGGCTACTGGGCTGGCTGCTTGCCCCGATGGCTAGCCGCGCTGGAACAACCTGCGTGGTGTTCTTAGGTCTGCCCCGGAGAGCAGTGGCGATCTTAGGGTCGAGGATTCGTCGGTATGGATCTCGAGAGGATGGCTCTCGTAGGCGCCACCGAGGATGGACCTCCCATTTGGTGAAAGGCGTGCCACTTCCCAGCTTTGAGTAGATTGTGTGACAGCAGGGGATTCCAAGTTCGGTCGAAACCGAGCATTCCTCGCCGCAATCCCCGAGAGGGTCAGGAAACGGATTCTTTCCTGTCGGCATTGCTTTCCTTGCCAGCCGATATTGTTTCGTGATCAGTCCGAGACCCTTCGAAGAGAGCGCTATTCGGAGTTCGCCAAGATACTCCGAGCTGGACCCCATATACTCTCGTGCGGTAAGTACCTCGTCCGCTGCGCAGGCATCGTTGAAATCCCGCTCTTGGTCCTTCATCATGTCCTGCATAGCCTCAAAAAGGCGATAAAGATTGCTCATACCATTCAGAAGATAGCTCTTGATGTTGTTGCTTGCTTCTGTACCAGAGGTGACACGGAGCCCGAAATTGCGATACTTCCGGATGAAACAGCGGGCCCATTGGGCCCTGACGGGCATGTAGGTTCCATGGAGATACCGCAGGATAGCTCGCTGGTCATCAAACTCCTTACAGAGGTTTGCCCATGCCTCCTCGTGGGCCTCCTCCGTCTCAGCAAATAAGACGAGCTTCCACATGATGAGAACTCCTCGATAGTTATGAGGGATAGCCTCGGTTGTTGGCGTGTGAACCAACTCTCGGTCTTGAGGGGTTAGTTGAGCTTGTGGCTGCGGGGTAGTTGCCTCTCCGTCGCTGGTACCAGGGCTACTTCTGCTGCTGCTGCGGGCGTTAACCCACCTCTGCTTTGACTTAAGCAGGATGTTCGAATTGATGTGGTGGATGCACAGCTGCTGTTGTACATCGGGGAACTGGTCGTTCAATGCGGCTTTCATCTGGTCGTCGAAATCGGTGACGATCACATCCGGTCGCCGGATGGAGTGCTGCTCTGCTAGCTGTCGAATGCTCTCGGAGAGGAATTGGAACCCTTCTCTCCTCTCGTTATCTATCAGACCGAAGGCAGCGTTATAGACAGAGCCAAGGCATGTCTGTCCCGTTGCTTGGAATAAGGGAAGCTTGAAGCGGTTCGTGTTATATGTGTTGTCGAAGCTGATCACCTCGGGGAACCGCTTCCACATCTGGAGGCAGTAAGGAAATGTCCAGACAAGGCCAACAAGACGGTTTGGCTCATCGTCTCCCCAGTTAACGAGATAGGGAACCTTCATCTCGTCAAGCAGCTTGATCAGTGCTGCAGTAGGAGTATGGCCATCCAGCTTGTCTCGGTTGATACGAGATCTGGCGTTATAGATGTCTTTCCGTGTAAAGGATGATTCGGGATGCTGCTCCTGGACGATAGCACGTACGTCACGGGCCCGAATTCCGACCCGACGGCTTGTCGATTCGACCGTTGTCCTGATAGCCTCGGTGAGTCTCCGATGGGAGGGATGAGCAGATGGCCCGATGCTGCGGCCGTGGTTATGCTGGCTGTGTTCGGGCTTCGAGTGTTGTCGTAAGAGCCACTTCCCCTCTTCTAACGCCTCGGCAACAACCATCCATTTACATCCACACTTTCGAGACTTCCGTCGTCGAAGTCCTGCGCCTTGACTAGGGGCTGGTTCTCCGAATCGATCGCATTGAAAAGTGTACCGGATCCTCCGACCCTTATATGAATGTGCATTTCGTCGAACAATACCGAAGCCATTAGCCTTCGCGAAAGTATTCACCCACTCGAACAGGACTTCGGCTGACGGCGCTGGGTCGCCTGGGATAGCTGGGTTCGGGATCCCGTCAGGGACAGGCGATGACGAGAGGTCGGGCAAGGGCGGTGAAGCTATAGTCGGAGAGTGCCTGTCTCGGGGAGGCGAGTAGGGCGGAGGTGATTCGAGTGCATCTGAACTAAGCGGCGAGTAACCCCATCTCTCACGCCATTGGCGGACTTGTTCGTATGACCGGACGAGCTCGAGGGTTAGTCTCCGGTGTGTCCCAATCACCTCGCGTACTAGCTTGAGAACAGAATGAAACTCGGCCTTGGTGGGAGAGGGATGCTCTTGTACTGATTGCGGTGGAGAGGAGCGAGGTAGTTGGTCCGTTTCTGGGCCTGGTATAGGGATTCTAACTCGTTGGGACCGTCTTCCTTGGGATGGGAAATCGTTCGAAAGGTGAATCTCTTGATCGAATCGTAGCCCCCATGGTGGCTCGTTCAGCCCGCGCGATCCACGGGGCCGTGGCGCGGTCGTCAACGTCTCTGGATATGAGGCGAAAAGATTATAGAGTGCTTCATCGTCGCCGACGCCGTAGTGTCGGCCAATGCTCGTGCCTGTGCTATTAGAGGAAGGTGGTCTTGAACTATCAGATTGGTCCTGCCGCTGTCGTTTTCGAGGCCGGAATTGATAGCTTCGTCGTCGTTGGTTGCTTAGGGAGCTAGATGGAGACTCGGGCTGGGACATGACGGCCTCGATCGCGATAGGGAGTGTCGCACGCACGGTGAGAAGATGAGTAAAAGAGTACTTGATTCGACTATGAAAGAAGGAAAGAAGGGTCTCATTTCGGGCAGAAAGTAAAGACCTGCTTTGCGATGCCGATTCTAGATGAGGCTGTTGGCGTGATCTGATACAGCCTGTGTTCGAGTTTTGGTCTCAGCAGGGGTCCAACACACCTCACTCCAGCCCTGTGACCTTAACAAATACCGTATCTTTCGCGAAAATCATTCTAAGTAGGCTCGACATGCGGCAAAGAGGTAATTAGTGTAGTAGCTAGCTGGTGAAGAGCTTCCATAAGGCGCGTCGATCGTTGCGGTGGAGAGGTAAGCCCGAGGTACAACGGGCGCTGTTGGCAGAATCTAAATGCACTAACAAAAAGGGATGGACCAATCAAAGGCCGTAAAAGCGACGCCTGTATAAGAGAATTGACGCCGGTGTAGCCATTCGTTCACGCCGGTGTAGCAATTGCCTACCTTTAACCCTACTTGCCGCTACCTGTACATACGCGTTCTGCTAATACCTCCTGAGGGAATACGGAATACGCGATATTGGAGGAAATAGCTATATAGGTAATTCCTCGTGCCTAGTACCTCTCTACTGTCGTATACCTGCTATCCTAGAGCATATACCTGCTATCCTAGAGCATATACCTGCTATCCTAGAGCATACACTTGCGTCCGTCTTTTGCGCGTACTCGATGATCGCTCATTTTTGCAATTCGTTTATCAGTTCTCTTTTTTTTCCTTTTTTTTTTCTTTTTTTTGAGACTTCGAGGGCTCTTGAGAGTTGTCTCTTTGACCTTCAAGCTATACAGCGTTCACTGATGTCGCAACCTGAGCCTATAACACTCAACCAGCAGCATCCGTCCAAGCCGAGCCATCATTTATTTCACATGGGACTGTCCCTGCTTCACGAGCATTTATCGCTCGGGTCTCCTCGCACAGCAGCAACCATGGAGTACTGGTCCCCAGCCCTAGCCCAGACGATCGTGCGGTCCTGTATCGCGGTGTTCTCGATACGCTCGGGCTCTTGTATATCTTTGTCGGTGCCAAGACCAGTCTGATAGTTGGTGGAGAAACCCTACGAGAAGACATAGCCCTGCTTGCCAATGGCGAAACTCGTGTCTGTGCTAACGGCGATAAAGGTCGTGGCGATGTCTAATTCCCGAGAGGGATCTGTCAGCTCTGGGCGACGCATGGATGGCGATGGTATGTTATGGTGTTGGCTGTGGATACAATTGCAGCGACTGAATGTATACAGACCTTTGATTATGGTAGGCCTGAAAAGAATCTGCGGCTGCGCGCGCTTGTTGTAGATCGTGTTCTCCTTGTTTAACGCTGCTCCGGATATACCGACTTGGTGGCCGTCGACTCGGCCCTAGGACAGCAGCTCGTGCTTGTTCGTGCAGGCAATGGTGTGATGTTTACTACCCGCGATGTGCCTTACGCGGTAGTCCGCGAGTGTCTCGACTCTCGTGGGGACCGGGATCGTCGCGTGGTCGCTGCCGTTGCCAAAGTGGCCTGTCTGGGCGTAGTTGTTTAGACCCTAGCCGAACACGCCGCTATGGTTGTCGATGAAGAAGCTGTGATACGAGCCTGTAGCTATGTCGACGGCATGCTGGCCCCGTGGGAAACGGTAGCAAGACTCGGGCTGCAGGCCAGCCTTGACGCCATCTGTGCGACGGGCGGGCATCCGCCGGCCGAGCTGAGACTGCCCGCCGGCGCCCTAGGTCCACACCTTGCCAGCCTCGTCGAGAGCGAGGACGTGATTCGCACTGCAGGACAGCTTCTTGATGCGTCTGACGGGGATGAGAGCAGGTGTCGGCTGCGTGTCGACCGAGGGACTGAACCCGATCACGCCATCGGCGCCGCGGAACGTGCCCCAGCCGTATACGTCGCCTTCGTCGGTGACCGCGAAGGAGGCAGAATCCGTGGCGTCTACCTGCGTGAAGATTGAGTCCTTGGGAATTACGCTGTAATCGATCTCCCCCGGCGTGCTCTCCCTGGGGTTGATGTTCTTATAGTCCTCGCTACCGCCTGCCTCGTCGTCCTCCTCGTCGATATTGCCCGTGCCTCTAGACCAGGTCGTGTCCCGCGCGAGGGCCTTGTTGTCGTTGATTCCCTACGTCAAGATCTTGTTGTCGTGCGTGAGAGCAACGACGTGTATCCTACTGCACGCGACTTGCGTTACACCTGCCTCTCGCAAGGTGCGGTTGATGCGCGGCCGCCTGACGCTGGTGGGCTTGAGCTTGCCGTCGTACTTGGCGCTGCCGAGGCCCAGCTCGCCGAAGGACGCCCTCCCCGAAGACGAAGACGTCGAGCTTGGTGTGTGGTGCCTCGTTGATGATGGGCCTGCGACCTGCGCGGCGGGATGAGGAGGAGGTCGTGGCCGGGATGTCCCTCGTGGTTTTGGTTAGTCGCGCCCCCTTGGCCGTTCTGCCGGCGGATTCCTGGCTCGCGACAGCTTCGTCTAGATATTTGTCGTCGTCGTTCTCGTCGTCCTCGCCCCCTACCCGGGAGCTGCTCTCCTGCCTGCATTCGAGCGCCTTTGCGATGGCCTCGAGAGCTCCCCACTGCTGGGCGTTGAACTGTACTCGGTGCTACTTCCTTGCCTCTGTACGGCCGAGCCAGTACGCCCGTACGCAGGAGCATAGATAGCGCCGCCAGTAGCTGTGGTACTTCTCTGTCGTCTTGATCTCCTGCTTCATTCTGAACGGTTCTGCTGCTGGCCGGTTCGCGTCGCGGCTTCCAAGCCAGGAGAGCGTTTCGACGGGTACCTGGCCTATCCGCCGGCTGCAGCGCGCGATCTCACGGTCGAAGCTCTGCACCGGTCGATCTCCCGGTCGAAGCTCTGGCCTAGCCGTACCAGCGCCGATTCCGAAGCCTCTCTCTCCTTCCGTACCGCCTGGCTTAGCTTAGCTAGCTCCTTCGTCGATAAACCTGGCTGGGCGGCGCGCCGTAGTTCCGCCATGTCCTTGCCGGCCAGATGCGCGGCCCAGCCCATCTGGCGGACCCATGGCGACTCAAAGTCGACGCCGGGCTCGTAGTCGACCTTCCGGGCCCGCTCGGCGTCCTCGGTAGCGATCTGAGCCTCGTACGCTACTAGATCGGCCTCTATATCGGCCTCCCATTTCGGACCTGGGCCTGGCTCTACTGCGGGTACCGGCTTGGGCGCCTTCTCGAGCCTGTCTTGGTGCGGTATCGGAGCGTCGACCACCCAGTATCGTGTAAGCTGTCTGGCTGACGAGAACGACTGAAGTGCTACGTCCTCCCAGCTACTGGGACCGTCGTGCCCCTGCTGTCCAGCTTGCTCTGTAGACCAGTGCTGCGGCCCGGCGTTCATGATTTTCTGGCCAGGTAATGTGAATATTTGCTGATTTCCGATCCCGAATATCTATCAAGCTCCGGTTACTAGCCAGTTCGACAAGCTCGCCGAGTTCTGGGACCTCGACAGCGGCAACTGGTGGGTTAGCGGCACCCCGCCGGCGGTCCCATACGGCGGTGACTGCCCAGCTCGCGAACGCCTTCCGCAAGCGCCCGCCATGCTAGGCCGCTTCGACCAGTTCGAGTTCAAGGTCAGGACTATGATTGTCGAGGGAGACCGGGTGGTGGTCGAGGGGAACCCGAAGGGCGATGGGCCGCGGGGGCTGAGGTATCGCAATGATGTGGTTATGGTGATTACGCTCAAGGATGGCAAGATTGTGGAAAAGCGGGAATATCTGGACCATGAGAATGTGAGGCTTTCATTCGTGGAGAGGGAATAAGGAGGGGCAGACTGGGATGAAGAGGCATGATATGGTATGTTTCGAGGATGACTGGCCATGGGAATGAGCCTGACGACAAGTTTTGGCAAATGAAAGCTAGTAGGCACCGCTGTGCGATTTTGCCGGCGTAACCTCGAGTTTCTCATGCTGACTTACAACGGCGTGTGAATATACCCCACGAAGACATGGGGTCCCAGCAGCGCGGAATCAAGCCGAAGCAACATTTATCATCCATCAGGTTCCATCCCATAGGCCGACAGATAATAACATCGCGTATCAACAGTGAACATGAATGTATGTGGAATGGCGGTGCTGAGGCAGTGGATGTACTCCTCGATGAGCTTTCTGTTATCAGGGGTGCTTGTAGCCATGTTGAATTTCTGGCCAAAGGCGTCGTTGTTGATGGTTGTAGTGCTAATTGCGAAATATTATCCCCATTGTAAATGAAAGCACTCTTATGCTCAGTCATGAGTATAGAAAGAAATCCCGCAAGTGTGACTCATTCTGGCTTATCCGTGCCAAGAAAGGTGGGCAGCTCGGTCAGCTTACATATTTCGGGGACTGGATGGATCACCCCGAGGCAAGCATAATGGCGGTGAAGCTCATAACGCCTTGACAGTACACGCCATCACTGAACTGCCTCCGACGCTGGTCGTTCATTACGAGAGTTGGCTTGCGGGCCTTGCGCGAAAGTAACGGCTGCTCGGCATCCAGTACATGGCATAGTGTCTACACCCAGCGTTGACGCTGAGTCTAGGGCTACCGAGTCTTGTCAAGACGACTCGTACATGATTCGATGCTCGCTGGAATCGTCGCCTCCATAAGCAATGCCTATCGCGCCAACATTGGCAGATTTGTCGACCACCACGGTGTCGAAAGGCAGCTTCCCATCCCCTCGCCGACCCTCGAGCGAGCCCGTCTCGGGCCGCGGCGCCTCCGCCTTGTCGATGCTATGCAGGATGTAGCTGTCGGTACGCCCGCGGCTGCTCCAGTGGCGTGTCGTCCTGCCCGCACCGCTGCCAGCCGCCGCCGCCGCCGTCGCTATCGCCCTGCCGTGCTGGTCTGAACCGTCGCTGGCGTCGCGCCACTGTTCTTCGAGCCGCCGAACAGCCGGCGCGCGAGTCCCGGCATGTGGTGCCGCACAAAGGGCTTCAGCATCGCCAGCGAGTTGCAGATGACGCCCACGTTGATCTCCAGGATGGTCCATGTCGCCATAGTACACTGGCTCCAGGTGACGTCGGGGTCGTCGACGAAAGCCTGGATGTAGGCGGTGCGGATGAGCGGGAACACGACGCAGCTGTGCAAGATGGACCCGGATGTTAGCGGGACATGGCTCTTCAGTAGCGGTCGGGGAAGAAACAGGGGCGCAAGAGCCGTTATACAAGTAGACTTACGCAGAACTCAAAGTTAGCAGCGCGCCTACGGTTAGCTTCTTCCTCGTGGGCATGTTGAGCCGCATCGTCATGTATATGGGCATCGCGATGATGAAGAGATCGGTCATGATGCTGGTCCCCGTCTGCGCAAAGCCGATATTGTTGACGCACGTGATGTCGCCCTTGAGCGGGTTGCACCGGTCGATGAAGAGGCCCGTGTACACGAGCGTGGGAACGACGGTGAAGACGGCCACACACAGGCAGAACCGAAAGACCATTTCGGGGTCGACCTGGTGATAGAGGATGAGCACCGAGAGCTTGACGCAAGTGAGCGGCCTGGTTTTATACAAAGTGTAGTATGTGGCCGTTGCACTGGGGGACTAGTGTTTGGATAGACGGCGTACCACATGTATATGATTGCGAGCGGCGTGATCGAGTCGAGATAGCTCGCTAGCTGCTGGTAGTTGACGTCCCATATGTGTCTGCCAAAGCCTGCGGGAAATGCTAAATGCCCAGAACCCACGGATGAGCAACTTCTCGCATCGCAGCAGGTAATTCCAGACGAATGATTGGTGCACACCTTGAGCAATTAACAAGAAGAAGACGCCAGCCAAAGCCCATGACGAGACGAGAAACACTACGAGGTGTCAGCAAAATGGTCACCGGCTGAATACCACAAAGTGCGGCTGCAGTCAACTCACAAGCGTCCCAGTATAGTTTCTTGACCACGAAGATGCTGGTATATAACCTCAGGCACATGAGAAGCGTGACAATGGTGTATGTGACGCCGAGAATGATAGACAGGTGGAGCTGACGAGACGAGATGCTGTAGAAGTCCGGCGTGACCCCGGGCCGGGCCGGGGCGATTGGAGCAAGAGGATCCATTGATGCCCGTGCCGGTGCTTGTTCCTGTGCCTGCTCAGGGCAAGAGAAGCAGGACCAACCGCAGAGGCGTCCGTGGCGGCGAGGGCTTTGCGGTGTGCTGACCTCCTCCTGGAGGTTGAACCAGAAGCAGAAACGGGCCTGCCAGAGTCCAGGGCAGAGGTTCTATAAACGCAGACATGAGTCGAGGCAGGAGACAGAGCCACACTAGACGATCCTGATTGAGGCTGTCTCCGTCCCGTGTTGACCACTACAATATGTCGATCAAGGGTCTGTGCGAGCCAGCCGCATACGCCGCGCGTCGATACCTACCTTGATCGCGGATGGCATTGGATGATTTGACCCGTTTCCAGCCGCACTCCGGGGACAGACGGATAAGTTCCACGGCCGGGGTTTGTATGCATGCGCTCGGGACGCCACACTTGGTTATGCTGGCGGTGCCGTCTCATGGCAGAAAAGGGCCAAAGTCATGATCGCCAGCGCCTGTTCCGTGAAACGAATATAGGATCCTGCAAGCCCGAAGTCGAGTTGCTGTCGTTAGTCTGCTCCCGCGCCTCTAGCTTCAGAAAGTATACTCGTACAGCTGACTAGTCTCTTTCCCCGGCAAGGCCGCAGCCATCTAGGCCCTCTCCAGACACCAGCATCGCTCGCCTGTAAGCACTCTGTGGCGGCGGTCGTGCGCGCTTTGTCCGCAAATAGTCCGCTCTCTACGATTAGGTTCGAAGGGCAGACGGCAAGCAACTTTGAGAAGCGGAACCAGAGCAGATGCTCGTGCCAATGGCGATACGCTCGACGCTATCTCGGCTGTGTCTGAGGACTGAAGCCGTCGGATGCTGTCACGGGGCCTCCTTACCTGATTTGTGCTTGTGTGTGCTCCTGCCGAGGTTTCTCGTTTCCTGGGCCCCAAACTTTGTGCCTGTCAGGTACAGCAGAAACACTGGGGCATGATGGCAGCACTTCTCGGCCGAGCCGGGTCTTGTCTCTCTGATGGTAACGGCAGACACGGCATGGTCGACAATGCCGGCTGACGCGAAGCCCTAACGCTCCGTCTTCTGTCCCGCCGTATGTCAAGACCCCTGGATTTGCAGGGATCCTGCCGTCATCTCAAGCTTGCCAGCCCTCGCGTCCGCGGAGCGCAACCCGCGGAGCTTGTTGGAGCACTTACCTCTAAGGTGTGCCGGGCTCCCCCATTGTGCTAGCCTGCACCTGACGGCGATAACCGCAGTGATTGGAAGCCCTTCCTCCTCTGGGGTGTTCAAGGTACGGACTGTTACGAATGCGAGCATGCTGATTATTCGACATGGACCCCCTGCCCGCTGAGAACGTTAAACTCTCGCATCCGAGTCGGGACCGGTAGCCGGGCAGGGAGCTGAACCAAGTCGAACAAGATGACACTACCACATCCTGGCAGGAAGCATAGCACAGTCAGAACCAATCTACGGGTAGGAAACCTGAGAGCTTGGCCCAACGAACATCGATGGATGGCTCATGTCACTGCCCCGCGGGCTTGTCCCGCCGTTGCACAGACCTCTTCCCCCTGCCTCGGCTCTCGCCCAGTGTACGTCCATTGGAGTGGTCGCTCGTGGTAAAAGGTGAGGACCCATGGCCATGGGTCTCATGGCGACAGATGTCCGGGACGGGCCGGATCCCCGGCCCTCCAACTCTGACATTTCATCTACTGATTGGATTATCAGCTCGACCCTCGCGACAACCAAGACCCGCGCGAGTCAGGTCATCGCAGCCATTGGGCTGCACGGAGCATGCTCTTGCCCGGGTTCAGACTGAAAAGGACGAAGTATTGCCGGAGTTCAACTCGATACAAGGTCCGTGTACATCTATCATTCTACCCGGGAGATGTCGAGAACATGCACCCACTCTCCGAGGACATGTTCGGGACAAAACGTGACCCTAACTTTCGATGACCCCAGCTCAATCAGAGGCGGCGTGATATTGGACTGCCACGCGCCATTCCCATCCAGGTAGAATCCGACCTGCAGATCGTCGCCCGTGGTAGTCAGCCGTGCGTCGTCAATCGCTGTGCTCGTCGAGCCAGGGGGCACCACGACCGATGATGCCTTGATGCCAACATGATACCGGGGGAGCTTGATCAGATTGTGGGATTGAAGGTCGAGGACAATCACAAGCAGTCTGTGCCCGCTGAGCGTGTCAAGCACAGCCCGACTATCGTTGAAGACCAATATGCGGCGCTGTCGCTTGCTCCGGTCATTGATCAGGGGCTCAAACACCTGCTGGTGTGGTCTCCATGCTTCCTCGGGGTCAGCACCGGCGATCAGAAGCTCTGACGGGTGGGATCGTAGCCATATTCGTGGCAGCTTCTGCATTGTGCTCATGCCGCGTCCCTTACCGGATGACAACTGGATATCGTCCAGCAGATGGAACTTCTGCTTGAGAGGGCCCTGCAGTGCCTCGAGTAATACATCTCGACCAAGGGTAAGGTAGCGGAGAAGAGTCCGTTGATAAACAGGAATGGCCCGGGATGACTGCGAGATGTGCAGCAAGTGGCCGTCGTGAGTCCGGGCAGGCCTCATGCCAATGCCCAGGAGACCTTGAAAGTCTCCTGACCTGCGACTCGACAGCACAGCGGTTACCGTAGACGAGCCGTGGACTTGGTGGATCACGGGGGCCTCGACCAGCAAGCCCAGGGGCGTGATGACCGTGTTGTCGAGCTCGAATGCCCAGGACGACAGGAAGTGGACAACGTCCCGCGCGTCGCGGAAACAGGCAGGTGAGTGTGCCAGCGCCGACAGGCCATGGTGAAGTGCGTACGTAGACTGCGACCACGATTTGGCGTCGTGGGGCGCTGGGCTCCAGGCCAGGATGGAGTCGTCTGCGTGGCGCCGTATGATCTCTTCTTGCAGCCGGCGGAACGCACTAGCACCTCCTTCGCCGTATAGAGGCGCCATGTTGATGTCGAATATGCCAAAGAGAGAGTAGGATATATCCTCTTCGCGCGTCGCCTCCCTGTTTGCTGCCCATGACATCTTCTGCGCCACGCTGGCATTCTTGTAACCCTCGGAATACTGGAGTACTTCGACGGGAATACCAGTCAGCTCGTTCAGTGCATACGTCCATGTCGGGTCGTTCTTGCGGCCGAGCCACGTCCATTCGCGCGAGTAGAAGTGTACGGAGATTGCGGCGATGAGCTCCTGAAGCGTCCAACTTCTCAGGAACCATCGGCTGCGATTGAGCTGATGGCGAATATCTTGTAAGTGGATAGGCGAATGGTCTGCGGGCCCGTCAGAGCCACTTGGGTGGCGCTCAAATGTTGACACGTCGCTTAGATAGACGTAGCAGATGCTCGCCTTGCGATACCACGTAAACATGGAGTTGATTGCCTCGGAGAGCTCCGCGCTGGACGACTTGTCGATGCAGCAGCTGTCTATCCAGATGTACCTGTGGCATTCATCCCTTGCAAGCTTGACTGCGCCCCGGAACTTGGCGTAGCCTTTCCTTTCATGCGCGCGGCCTTTTTCAAAGTCCTGGAAGAGGACCTCGTCCTCCTCCCATGTGTGCGACAGGATCGCGTAGCGACTTGGAGGGCTCACGAGCTGGATGAGTTGCTCTGTGGCTGTGTCAACGAGGCGCATCTTCGTTGCAAGAGGTACTGCAAGTCCTTTCGTGTGGCTGTCGAGGTCCTTGGTCCCCTCAGAGGCAGGCAGTGGAAGAGGTGCAACGAGATCTCCCTCTCCCGCCATTCAGGCTGTGCTGCCGGCATGATGCATAAGCAGGGGCTAGCTGACACAATCCAGTTTCGTGCCTAACCAACATTTGCTGACCCCTCTTTTTGCTACGCGCGAGCGTTTCTTTCGCTCCTTTTTATAGGGAATGCTCAGTGAGCAGCTCAACTCGACATCTACCAGCAGTGTGTTGCAGATTCATTAGACGCAAAATGGCGGACAGAGCTGGTCTCGCCCTGGGCGCCATATCGCCCGGCGTCGACGTCTTCAAGGGCCTCATCACCTATCTGGATGCACTCAGAAGCCACACGGACGAATTGCAAGCGCTGTCAAGACGCACTCAGACCCTGCTCATCACCCTCAAGCTTCTCGGCAGGACTGTTCGATCCTAAGTGCCACAGCTTTAGATGCCAGCTCCACCAGGAACGTTTCTTTGTTGTTGTTGACGATCGCAAAAAGCATAAAGTTCTGCAATGAAGACTTCAACGTCGCACAAGTTATAATGGAGAAGCACGCTATTAACGCAGTCTCGGGCCCTGGATTTCACGAACGCTGTCGCGGTGGCTACAAGGCGCTGACGCACGGCTTCCAAAGCGGTCAAGGAGCTGAAATAGAGCAGCGTATCGTCAACGTCAACTCGATCCTTCTCTTGACGTTGCAGAACATTGAAATCAAGGAATCCCTCGTGCTCGACTTGTTCCTGAGTCCGGAATTGGCTTGGTACATGGCGAAAAGTTCATGGGTATGCTCATGCCGTGCTTTGGGCGAAGATGTCGAGCACCGACCAGACGTTGTCCAGCAACGGCTCAGACAATGCAGAGATCTGGGCTACACTGCACTCGCTGCGAGCAGCCATGATGGCAACTGAGAACTAGAGCCCTTGGGGGAGGGGGTCGGGTCTTAATGCACTAGTAGGAGGTGGAGGATATAATGTCCTAATTGATTACGCACTGCGAGTGGAGTGAGTCGGTGTGGTCTGCTTACTCGGAGCCAGCGTCGCTGGTGGGGGTCGCGGCGGCACAGAGTTCAGTGACCAGGTCCGAGACGACGACGACCTAAGGCAGCGAGCACGCGCGATATCGCGGCGAGTCCGAATGTACAGAGCGGGGAGTCGCCCGCCGGCCAGATATGTCGTGTTCCACCGCCGAAATGGACTTGAGCTCGTCTGCCAGCCAGGCATACTCACGGCACGCGCTTGCGTTACGGCGCCGGAAGATCATGGTCTGACGTTGTGAATCAGCCATCCTTTTCGACGTCTAGTATGGTTTGGCGGCAGGTGTTAGCGCAAGATGAGACGGTTATCGATAAGAAGCAACCTCTGGTCATGATGATGGTCACCTCGCGCGCTACACACCCGAGTTGCATTTGTATTATATCAGGGAGGCCTTAGTGCTCCGCCAACTGCCTGTAAAAGTGGAGGCCTTGTGAGCTATGTGGCAGCCTCGAAGGTTAGCCATACCGCCCCACAAGTGGGGAGCTTGACGGTTACCATGGCAACGCCCACAATTGCACTTTACTTAGTACATCGTAATCGATTCTCACTGGAAAGCTCTCAAACAACAGAACAGACACACCTGTCCACGCGCATGAGTATGACTGACTCTCAAGGTCTGCCCTCGTCCGCCTTGGTTCAGGAATGGCTCAAGACGACATTCGACATGCCCGCCCACGACCCAACCCAAAACACGGCGCTGGACCTGCGCCCGCACCGCCGAACTCCCAGCCCGACGAAGCGGAAGCGCATCGAGACCGACGGCACCAGCGAGAATGAACATAGAGAGGATGACATGGTCGGCCAGCGTTACGGCGAGACTCCACGAGGCTCTGTGCCGACCGCTTTCGTGGCAGCGGCCGCCAGCAGCAGTAGGACTACAAGGGAAAGTGACGACGTCTTCAGCACCATCTCGTCGAACTCAATTCTATCGGGCAGCTCAGCAACCAGCACCACATCATCGCGCGCATCATCACCGATCAAGCGTGAACGAGGGATGCGTTACGCTGATGACCTCCCTCTGCTTCGAAGGTCGCTAAAGGATCCACGATTGCCTGCACGCCTCGGGCCGCTTTTGAAGGATGTACGAGCCGTATCGACGAAGAAACATATCATGCCATTGGCCTTAAAAGAGGAGATCGAGGCTCTTTACTCGCCATTCGAAGCTATCAGCGACGACATGTTCTTTGGTGGTGAGGACGACGAGGACGAAAGCGAGGATGGCCACAACCAATCCAAGGTTGTCAAAGTTAATGACGATCATGTCAAGCGTCATCGAGATCGGTTATGGCAATTGGGGCGTATCTGCGACGGTACAGAGGAGTGCAGCGATCCGAGCCGGCAGACGTTCGAGGTCGAGTGGAACGACGTGGTGCACTCGCCTATGCTCCGGCTCGCCTGCCGCCAACAATCGTCACTGCGCTGTCGGAACCTGACGTCGGTGCAAGTTGACGGCCGCTACGGCGATGCCGCGAGAACGGTTAGAAGGGGCGGTGGCGGAGCAGCGACAGCAACTCTATGCGACTGTCGCATTGACTTCGGGATCTTCCTCGCGCCACCCGAGAACTCAGACCTGCAGTATCGTATCTTCGATCTGATGTCGCGCGATGTCGATCAGGTTCGGCAGCTCAACCACCTCAATGCCTTCGAGCCGGACTGGCCCCTTGCCGTTAGTGTCGAGACTAAGCGTCTCGCTCCTGGTGTTGAAAAGGCTTCAGGTCAATTGGCTAGCTATGGTCGGGCCCAGCTACGCTTGATGCAGCAGTTTCCAGATCCGCAGGTAGAAGAAACGAGGGAGAAAGAGCCTGCTGAGAGAGGGATTAGGGGAGGCTCAGAAACGATTCTGCCGCAGCTCAAAGTCGTCAGCGCGCAGTGGGAGTTGAGTTTCATCGTCCGTGAAGGTCCCAATGCAGTAGCATATGGTCCCTTTGACTTGGGAAACACGGCCTCACTTTCGGGGTGTTATCAGGTCTTCAAATCCCTGTGCATCTTATTTAGGTGGGCGGAGCGCGAGTGCTACGATTGGTGGTTGAGACATATCTCGGTTACATGATTGAATAATGCTATTTGGATCCTCGCACGTACAATGAACGACTTGTGATTTTGCCAACAGGGAGATTTATGCTCTTCGTGATCACCATATTGGCCTAACAGAATGGCGGTTCTTCTTCCAATTTGCAACGCGAGCAAGGACTCTGAAGGTTTTACAAGCTTATTCGGCACCTCGCTCAATATTAGCACCGAACTTCAGCCTTAGCCCAAGCACACGGCGCCGCACCATGCGAGCCGTAGGAATCTTCACACGCCATGTTCATAAGATCCCGTGGCCGCGCAATAGCCCATAACGCTGAGTTCTTCCGTTGTTCGACAAAGAGCTAACTCGCAATCAGATAATATCGACGGCGTCTCGGAGCAAATCTAAAGGATAGGCTTCAGAGAGCTAGCCCTCGTCGATGATTTAAGAACCGTGCGGAGTTGTTTAACATTTTGGAACGGTTGCGCGAGCACAACGGCGGTAGTGCCATCTCGAACAACTACGCGTACGTGATCGGAACGGTTGATACTAGGATCATAGACATTAGCTGCTTGAGACGAGAATTTAACGCGATGCCCGACCACGTGTCAGTCACCATAGCAGCCCGCTTTACCAAGATGGACGTTTGGTAATCACCCCCTGGGCCAACAAGAGTAGGTTGAGAACAGATCCTAGCAACTTCTTGCAGTGTCGTACCTTTTGTCCTGTATCGCTCACGGAAATGCAAGATAGTGTGACAGAGCAGGGTAGATTGGCACATGAACAAGGCATTCCGCATAACGTAATCCACGGGTAAGCGGGTCACACGGGTGAACGGGTCACCTTCCAGTAACTCGTACGACAATATATAAGACAATTTAACCACAACGCCTTAAATCAATTCAAACTATTCAGAATCCTCTTCTTCAGAGGCAGATACAACTTTCTGACACGTACGAGCATTATGACCGGGCTCGCCGCAGACGCCACATCGTCGCGCGCGCGTTTCGGGCCTCCTCGTACGACCACTATTCTGACTCGTTTCCGCTATTAACTGCTGCGTCGCATCGATTTGAGCCTTCAAATCCTTTGCCTGATCAATCGTGAGGGACCCTCCTTTCTGTAGCTGCTTTCTTTTCGTACGACGACGGCGGCTGAGGCGGTCATTTGCATCTCGAAGTTCGGCGAGCTCTTGGCGCATAAGGTCCTGCTCGTGTACCATCATTATAACTCCTTTTCTCAGCTGCCGTAGGCTCTCAACAATGGACGACGGTGAGCTATTCTGGTGTCGTACGATGCGATTTTCAATATACTTCGTCTGCGATTCGGTCTCAATTAGGTTGTTCGGCGTCTTTGAAACCCATGGGGGTGGTAGTCCAGCAGAGGAACCTGGTGGTGTCGGCGTATGAAACTTCATATCTAGCTGCGAAATCACATAATTCGGGTCGTACGGTACTAGGCCTGTCGCTCTGAAGCCTGCCTGGATGTTTGATTTGGTCATTGCAGCGTCGTACGCCTTATAAAAGGCTGGGAGGAAGTCCTCCTTTGAAACGTGGGTTACGTGCGCCCGCATTAGACCTTCGATTTCTTTACCGTACGCCCGTTTCAGAGGTCCAAAACACCCAACATCGAGAGGCTGGAGCTTATGCGACGAATGAGCAGGCATACAGAGCGTGACAATATTCTGTTCCTTGCAGTAGAGCTCGAAATCGACGGAATGGTGGCTCTCGTGGCCGTCGAGGATAAGGAGGCGGTGGGTACCCTTCGTACGACTCTTTGTATGGAAATCAAAGTGTTTTACCCATTCTAGGCCTCTCTCGTTCGTCGTCCAACCGTTTTCTGAAAGCGCGATTACCCAGTCGGCCGGTAGAGGGCTATTCGCGGTCCAGGAGTCGAGGTGGACCTTCCCGGCGAAGATAATGTATGGCGGGATTGAATAGCCGTACGACGCGATACCCTGGATTACTGTAACCCATTCCTGATTGCCTTGTTGTACGGCTCTTGGCCTCCCGCGTCGATCGGAGGTCGTAACGACAGTTTCGGCGGAGATCTTGCCCATCGCGAAGCCCGTTTCGTCGAAGTTGTAGATATCGTCATCGTGGATCCCGTATTTCGCGATTATGTTTCGTACGAGCTCAAACCACGCGCGATACGCGTCCGGATCCTCGCAAAGGACCCTCTGGTAATCGATTCTTCGATTAAAACGCGTACGGAGCTCAGGTCGTCGTCGTACGAAGGTTGAGGCCCAGTTCGTTCCAACGCGTGGCGCGTCGCGTACGCGGAGGAGTCGATCCGCCATTTCTCGAACACCACTTAACCGCGGTGGAAATGAACGCGAATCTAGGTCGAGTACGTATCGTACGATACTCTCCTCTTCGTATGAGGTTAATTTCTGGCAGGGTGGTCGGGTGTCGTGTTTCGCAGCTCGGCCGTGGTATCGTTGCTGGAGTGTCGTACGAGATACATTATAGATCTGCGCAGCCTTTCGTACGCTTAATTTTGGGTCGGATTGGAGCGCATTTAACGCTAGAACCAAATCACTTTCAATTGATTGTCGTCCCATGATTGGAGGTGGAGAAAAAGGAGAAGGAAGTGAACCTCAATTAAATTGCAGTAAAGTGACCCGTTCACCCGTGTGACCCGCTCACCCGTGGATTACGTTATTGCTTTTCATGTATTTATAGCGTAGCCTCTTTTTCACTTTCGCACATCGCATCAAGCCGACTGAACCACCACCACAATACAACATTATCTTCACCCATTTTTGTCACTCAATTCTGTGCTCGTTCGATTCGCAATGCAGTAATCAGGCGATTTCTCATAAGCAGAGGGCAATTGCACATAACACGGTGGAGTACAGTCCAGCTGCTCAGTGATGACAAGCGTGGACCCTCACTTAACTCTGCGGGCGAAGTCCGCAGAGTTACCGTCGGAGATCCCGCCGGAACCGGAGCTTAGAGGGCCTTTTGGTTGTGGTTCGGTTTGCTTTGCCACGATCAGAAAATCTCTTCTCCCCAGCACAGTAGTGTCACAATCCAGCCTTCGGGGCCAGCCAAAGACTGAGCGTTGGGGTTCCTGTCCTGTAAGCTAGGTAAAGCCTTAGCTTAGCACTGACTCTCAATTGTCATTCTCTCTCGAGGATTGGTTGTCGTGTAGATCTGCCCCTACAGGATTACGTAAGCTTGAAGAGTAGTGATCGCTTATATGCTCTGCAGGTCCGAAGCGATCGGCTAGAGGAAACGCTGTGCTTGTTCTAGAGTCGGTTGTCTTGCTACTGTGGGTATTGTGGATTTGTTGATAGATCGCATTTATTGGAAATTCTGGGAAAAAGACAGTAGCCCTGGGGTGACAAGTTAGACGTAAATCTACGGAGGAAAGGGGCTGGAACGAGACGGGGCTGCTACAGTACTGGCCTGGCGGTCTTTGTCCTCGATCACTCGTAATCCTGATTAGAACCTCATTCAATGCAGAAAGGTTAATAACGACCTTGATAGACAGCAAATATTGTTGGCTAATTGAGACAGAGATACTCCGGGCCCGCCCGGTTGTCGTATTAGAAAACGCTTATGTGAACCGTGAGGCAGGGTTTTTGGTTTATAGAAATGTTTATTCTAGGCAATCGAAATCATATATAACGCAGAAGCTTGACTAAAGTCTGGCTTCTTAACGACTACGTCAAGCTTCCCGCCCTTTCGGCAAATTTCTTTTACGCCACACTGACATCCATATACTGCCTCTCGCAGCTATGACCTGCTGGGAAAGCACGAATCCGTCATACCTCTTTGTCATACTACAGTCAGCTCGAACGTGGACGGATAGCTGTGTTCGCCCCTTTAACAGGCCACCATAGCGAACACTATATTGCTCCACTGGTAGAAAAATTGTCCAGTCCACTGTTCTGTCCTCGCCACCACATTTGGCACCACGATAGATCAAGATGTTGTTACACAAAATCTATCTGCTCTTTTCTACCGCCGCCTCTATCCTCCACAAGCGTGAAAGAACATTTGACGATGTTCGCTGCGGTTGTGGCATCAAACTTCGCAAGTCTTCCATCGACACTATCAAGGATTCGTTCGCAAAGGTCATTGATGACTATCCCGAGTTCGGCAAGATTGGAGTAGGGGAAAACTACACTTTCGTTGACCCAAGTTGGCTGGTGGAAGCTTTCGTCATCAACTACACTGAGGAGCCATTCACTTTCACGGGCGCAGACCTCAGGTCCGCATGGAAGAGGATCGGTGATGCTTGTGGCGGGGAAGATGTTCCGGGCACTGCAGGGGTTTTCGACAAAAAGCCAGGCGTCACATCTGGATTTGCTTTTGGCTACATGGAGAAGGATAGGTACGATTTTCGAGATTGGGATGGGAGCATATGGGCATCGAGCTTGAAAACATGCCCCTCAAGCACGATGATGGTTCCGATGTAGTTGCTATTTTCAGGACTATAAAGATATGACGACCCGACCAACAGGTCATAGGGCTAGGCTAGGGACAAGGGGAGGTTACGCACGCAGGACAAACACCCTAAAGTTCTTATGTGATTACCTGCTTATATCAGCACGATAGGCTATAAGGATCACTGACTACCCCGGCGATCCCGTGAGTCCTTAGGGGCACCAGTTATCGGGCTTGTGGATGCCGGTTATCTCAAGACATGACTTCAAGAATCCCACGGAGCAGCGCCAATGCGGTCGCTAATCATGATGAAGGTCAAAGGACATATAAATGGAAGATTTCATCGCCAAACAATCATTACCTTTGTGCTTCAGCGATTAATATGAGCATCATTCTCACTTATAACCTCACCTAGTGACTCAGACAACCGGAAAATCATGTTTCTTTGAAGAGACATAACAAAAACCCAGAGAATGGTAATTGAGACTCAGTATTATTGCTAAGGCTTCGCCTATCTTGCAGAATAGCAGTCCAGCTGCCCTGTCTTTGGCTGATCCTAAAGACGGGATTATGACAAGCGTGTAATAGAGTGCATTCTTGCGTGCTGTGAAACTCTACTGAACAGGGCTGGGAATGTTCGCAATATGGGGGCTCTGCCACTCATGTATCTCATCACAGCTTAGATTTACTGTACAATACAAACAGTCACCGATGCAATATATACTTTGGCGGAACATTGCTTCTTGGCCGCTAAAACAAATCATAGTAAAGAGCACAGACCCGCATGGCGGATGTAGTACGTGGCAGAAAACCTGTCTCAGCATTGAAACCCGCGTGGCCGAAATACGAAACCCTGTTCAACTAGTAGCGGAACTGCTTATAATGCCACGGCCTTACCGTCTCACTCCAGCCCGGTTTTCAGTCAATGTCACCGACCTTCGCTCCCCACGTGTTGGACGTCTACGGTGCACTCTGCCAAGTCTCGTCATTCTCTGCATGGACATATCAGATGCTTGAGCGGCTCCAGAGCACCACAGCCGAGGACGATGTTGCGGTGGTCAGGACTCTGAAATGCAAGGTTGCCAAGATCTAGCATAACATGCTCCACAAGTCGTGGCGCAGCTTTCGAAATGGTTTCGATAAGCTTTAGGACCGTGCCAGCTTTGGTGAGGGTCGGACCTGATGTTGCTTGTTGATCGAAGCTCCGATCGCCCCGATTCGAACTTGAATGCTGGGTGAGTCCCAGTGCTGAATGAGACGAAGAATCATGTCTTCGTTGTCAAAGAAGGTATCTGCCTTTGAGAAAAGGAAATCCTCGACCATTTTCGCCCCAGCAAACTGTCGCTCGGCGTCATTGGAGCCGAAATTTGTCGCTACATTAAACTTCACTTTCCGGGGCGCGCCGCATTTAGTGCAATCCCCAGCCCCCGGCACGAGCGGACGATCCGCGTTGGAATCACCACTGAATCAGGCCGGTCATGCGCCAAACCCATCGATAGCAGGCAACCACAACGGGCATGCCGTTGCTTCCATGCAATCCACACTACCCCAGACGATATTTCAGGAGTCGCGTCTGCCAGGCCTTTCATTCCTTGACCGAGACTACCACATCCCAATTGACGAGAACCCAAGTGACCAATATGACGACAACTGCTTAGTCAGTACGCTGCATCAGGCACATTTTTGCAGCCCAAGGCGGCTCCTGGTTCAACCAGAGCAAACGAGCGCGTACCATTATCAGTCGCTCAGGGACATATGCTCTGAAATCCGTGTCAATCACACCCGAAGCCGCTATTGAAATGCAAGTCTCACCCAAGCGACAAGTACCGTGGTCGCTTGACATATGTTGAAACGGCGGAGGACAGCCTGCCCCATACCCAGAGACGTAGTAGTGCTTTCTCGCGCGTTCGGGTACCCTGTTGCTATGTTGTGGGCGACCAGGTTCCTGGTATGTCTGACAGCGAATGGTTCATGAAGCACGTCACCTGGCCCGACCACATTTTCCTGGAAGCCAACGGCGTTAGACTGTCCGTACGCCGCAAGGCACACAACGCCAAGGATCTGCCGATCGATAGCGCGCGAAGCGCACTATCGGAGGAGAACCATCTGCATATATAGGTGCCGGAGACTAACAGTCGTCCAGAAGATGTGCTGAAGGACAGCCAGCCGCTTCTGGCGGTCGAGCTCGTGGAAACGTTGAGTCATTCCGCCATACTTGATTGGGTGAAGATCCACGGCATCCAGCCATATGCAAGGACGGTTGAGTTGATCGAGGAAAGACCAGCGCGCACAAAAGACAGCGATGACGACGATATCGTCATGGTCACTCATGAGATAGCCATTGACCTAGCAGATCCGTCCACCTTAGGGGTTGTCCAAATTGCGGTCCATGAGTGCTTTGATCTTGAAACATGGCTGAACTCGCGACTTGGCAAAGAAAAGACGTGCGTGTGCGGTACGTGGTCGTCGTCCTGCACAACATGTCCCAGCGAGCCATCCTTCGGGGGTCACTGGAAGTGTCCACTGTGTTCAACTGGTGCTCGACCTTACAGCTTGCGCATTGACGAATGGCTTGCTGGAGTCCGTAGCAAGCTTGAAGCATACCAAAACCTCAAGGCCAAGTTCATCCTTGTATGTGCAGACGGTACGTGGAAGATCAAAGAACTGCATTGAACTAGGAGGAGAACAGAAGCGGCGACGAAGACGGCAAGGCTGTGAATTTTGACACTGCCGCTGAGCGTACGTCCGGCAAGCCTCCTAACAGGGTACTAGCAGCAGTGATTAATGTATCAGCGTGACAGCACGCGCAGTATTAGCAGATCTAAGACTCAGAACAGTCCAAATCCTCGACTAGCGCCAAGACCTTCATTCTGTCACACTCATATATTCCTCCAGAGAGACGCTGCAAAAGATTCGGCCCAAGCACAGACCTTTCAGGGTCGCCTCTACGCATGTGGAATACTTCGACACAGAAGGTCGTCTCTCCTGATAGTATCCTGACCGAAGATATTGGCTGCGAAGGTATGTGTCGTTACAACAACGCTCCCAGACCTGCGCAGGACTCTCAATCGTCTCCTAATCGATTAGATGCGCACAGCAGCCCCTTGAATATATCTGGTTAAGCATCTTCCAGTTATGTCTCTAGCCTAGCCTCTGCATCTTGTACAACTAACGCCTGCGAATGGCGGTCCTGCCATGCTACACGGAACTCAAGAAGGCTCGAGAGCGAAGGCCGAATGTCGTACTTAGGGTCTTTTTCATCAGCTAGAGCGGACAGTCAGTTCAGCGATTTAAAGGACTCAGTTCAAAGCATCACGTAAAGTCGTACCTTCTACTTTAGTGATGTCCTTGTGGATGGCACAGTATTCCTCGAACTCCTCCAGCGTAAGGCGTGCCACAATGCATGCCTCCGGTATCCAACCCTGTACCAACCAGTGGGATGGAGTGGTATAGTGAACTCCATTGGGATTTTCCTTGCAATACGGTTTCTCACCGATTTGCTCCACAAGTTGAGTTGAACGTGCAAAGGAGATTTGGAGCTTGCGAAGATTTGCAGGAGCGATGACTACCACATGACCGCCGTGATAGACACGTTTCCGGTCTTTTCGTATGATGTTATGAATCCGCCACGGGCTGTCAGAAACGGATATGAACGGCGATCCGGCGCGCGTGTATTCGATGTGATTTATGACCTGCTTGCTGGTGTACACATCTTCTGTTTCGCGCATGGACTTCAAACCAGAGCAGAAAAGGCCGGCACCAGGCCTGAACTTAGTCTTCAACTGTCGTGTCTCATATCGGTAGAATGGTAAATATTCTTCGTACGTGTCGGTAGACGCTGAAAGGATGCGAAAGATATGTAGCTGCAGTGTATTCCTGAGTGAGAGGTTTTGGCGCTGTGTGATGTCGAGCATCGACCTCAAGAGTTGTCTTTCCTGATTGAGGTCTTCAATGCTATCCTGATTCCCATCGCGGCCTACGAACCGGGGAAGTTCTGGAGGACTCGCGGCTCTATTCGCCTCCCCTGCCGAGAGGTTTGAAAACCGACCGAGCTCTGAACTGAGAAAGTCTCCAAATCTTAACTCATCTCGGATTTCCTCAGTCAGTCCGCACACTCTGCTAAACGCGACATTCCAGCGGTGCCGATCAGCGCGAGCCTCAATGGTCTGCTCGCCGTCCTCGGCAAAACACAAGCGCTCGATATGCGATGTGTCTTGTCGTAGACCATTTCCATCGCGACGGAGGTTGCCACCTTTCATCGAAGAACGTCTCATGAGCCTGGCGTTAGTGTTTAGAAGTCGAGGTCGATTGATGTGAAAGCTGCATCTAAGGACTTGGAGTCATATTCGTGTGGTCGTGGTATGGGAAGGGAGGCGCCGGAAAAGAATCGCTAGCTATATGACTAGCATTCAATGGTTGTGCCAGGACAAGGTTACGCGGAACTCGATCTTGAGTTCACACTAACGAACTTTAAATGACACTACATTCTAACGAATTACGTCATGGAACGTAGTAGCAATAACTCTGATCAAAACTTGCGGTCGGGAGACGCAAACAGTGCTGATCTTCCGCACCTCGAAGTACTGTACCCAAGGGTTCTTTCAACGCCGTTCTATATCGCGATATGCGGCTCCCCGACCCAGTCCATCGAGATCTCTCGGGGCACATTCCCTGCCGGTGCCACCCCATGCACGACGATCCCGCCGTGGGAGACTCGCCGCGAGCACCATTTCCTGTTTTACGCCCTCCTCGTGCTGTTCCCAGGGACCAATGAACAACAACGCCGCTTGCAAGAGATGATCAACCCTCTACAACCACGCACTTGGGAGAGATCCTGCCACAGGCAGAAGCATGGTCCCCGCCTACTGTGGACAACCACTTGGTTGGTGGTGACACTCATTGGTGCCCAGCCGGACCCCCCGTTTGCAGTCGCTGGCTGGCTCTACGCGTAAACCACTCTTGCCAATGTTGCCGCCTTGCCGCCACACCGTTCGCCAACATTGCCTTAGGGGCTGTCAACGAGGTGTGGCGTGGCTTCAGAATCAGATTTGAGAGGGGACCCCCAGGCTCCGCGAGAGTTTCATGCAGCCGTGCCGATCAAGCGACCCTTGCTCTCTTTGCCTGTCTGTGCAGCTCCGGTTCCCTTCGTCGATACGCCACACGCTGCGTTTCCACGAAACAGAGCATGTATCGCCCGCATGTGTGAATGACCGTCTGAACTAATCGATAGCATGATGACGTGCCTACCCCCTGGACCAAACTCTAGCACGTGGAGCTGTTCACGGACTTGTTGCACACGCCAGGCGGTGGAACGCCATGACGTCGAGTGAGTGTGCGTACAGGGCGGCGGCGGCGGCGGCTGGAGTCGCTCACACGCAGCACACTTCCACACGCCTCGTGTGGCTCGACTTGACTTACATGGGCTTTGTGACGTCGATCGATTTCGTCGGGCCCGGACGTAATTGCCCTGACAATGATGGAATTGATGCTCGTGGCTGGTTCTGGCAACCCTAGGACGGCTGCGTGAGATGTGTGCCTCATAAATATCTGGATATGCCTGGGTTGCATTGCTCAGATTTTGACCTGGAAGACATTCAGCTCGAGTTATTGGGCAGCCCGTTTATGTATATTACCAGAAGCACAACACAAAACACCCAGCACCCAATCAGAGTCACCATCTCCCCATTATCAAGACGTAGTAACCACCACTACCTATCACATCCCCAAGAATGAGAACCCTGTCGCCGTTCTCCATCCCGCAGCTATGTCGGGACTCGTAGACACGGCCAAGAGCGCCACAAATGGCGCCACAGAACAAGTCCAGAACATAGGAGAGTCTGCGCAGGAGCAGAAGCAGCAGGCCGGCTCGGACGCGGGCGTGCCGCGATCCATCCCAGACACATCAGAAGACCAGTCCGAGTATGGTGCCGGCCACCACGGCTCCGGCGACGGCGAAGGGGAGATGGTCCCCGCCGCTGGCCGCATCAACGAGAAAGGGGAGGTCGTCGACGACGATGGCAACCCCATCGGCAAGGTGACGAGCGGCGAGGCCAAGGAGTTTGTAGGCTTCGTCGTCACACAAGAAGGCGATGTCCTGAACGAGGACGGCGGTGTCGTCGGCAAGGCCGAGCCCCTCGAGGACGTTGCCTCGGAACTCAACTACACCACAAAATCAGCCAAGGACGGCGTCCAGAGCTCGCGGGGCGGCGGCGGCGGCGGCCTCGGCAGTGTCGTGGGCGGGGTTACCGACGCGGCACAGTCAGTGGTCGGCGGCGCCGGTGATGCAGTGAGCAAGACCGGCAAGACCGCGACAGATACGGTCGGAGACGCCGCCAAGGGCACCACCGACACAGTTGGTGAAGCCACGGGCACCAAGGACACTACTGGTGCCGTTCGTGACGCCGCGAAAGGCACGACAGATGCCGCCGGCGAGACGGTCGAGGGTGCCACTGGCACGGTAGACGATGCTGCCAAGGGTGCTACTGATGCCGTTGAGGGCGCTGCCGACGGTGAGAAGACCGCGGACCCGCAGGATCTCGGCGACAAGGTCAACGACACGGCCGATGGCGCCAAGGAGACCGCAGAGGACGCCGCCGGCGATGTCCAGGAGACTGCGGAGGGTGCCGCCGGTGAAGTCCAAGAAACTGCGGAAGGCGGTGCCCCTATCGCACTTAGGGACGGCGAGGTGCCCAAGCTCGGCACCGAAGCCGCCGAGAACCTCCCTGAGGAGGTCCCTGCTCCCCAGACCATTGGCGATATCGAGGTGCCTTCTCTTGCTCCCTCCGTCGCCAACAAGGTCGTCGGCCTCTTTGAGGGTCCATTCACTGTCTCTGACGGCGGCAAGGTGACTGACAAGGAGGGCAAGATCCTTGGCAAGGTGGCTGAGGGTCAAGACATCCAAGACCTCATCGGCAAGGAAATCCACGGCATTGACGCCGAGGGCAACCTGCTCGGCGAGAACGACACTGTCCTGGGCAAGGTCGACATTGCCCCCGAGGGCACTGTTGCCGAGCAAGTAAAGAAGGAGATCCCCGAGGCTGCTGAGCGGCTCGAGGCTCTCGAGAAGGTCGAGGAGCAGGCCAACCAGGCCAACGAGATCAAGATCCCCTCCTTTGCGCCCTCTGTTGCCGGCAAGGTCCTCGAGATGTTTGAGAGCCCCTTCAACGTCGCCGACGACGGCCAGGTCAAGGACGCCAAGGGCAAGATCCTCGGCAAGCTCGCCGAGGGCCAGGAGGTTGGCGACCTCGTGGGCAAGGACATCAAGGGCATCGACGCCCAGGGTAATCTCCTGGGCGATAACGAGACCGTGCTCGGCAAGGTCGACATTGTGCCCGAGGGCACCATTGTCGAGCGTATCAAGGAGGACGTCCCCGAGGCCGCTGAGCGCCTGGACGCCCTCGAGGAGGCCAAGCTCCCCGACCTGTCCATCCTTGAGGGTCTCAAGATCAACAAGGGTGGCAACGTTGTCGATAGCAACGGCAACCCGCTCGGCAAGGTCTCGAGCGGCGACTTGAAGAAGCTGGCCGGCCGGACTGTCGGCAAGGACGGTAAGGTCTGGGACGACAGCGGCAACGTCCTGGGCGAGGTCGAGGTCCTGCCCGAGGCGGTCAAGAACGAGTCGTCGCCCTTTGAGGACTTCCCCGACGCCACCGTCGACAAGAACGGCAAGGTCATCTTTGACGGCCGCCAGGTCGGCGTTGTCGACGGCGACGACTTCAAGAACCTCATTGGCAAGAAGGTCGACGCTGATGGCGATATTCTGGACAAGAACGGCAACGTCATTGGCCATGCCACCCGTGCTGAGGCCGAGGAACCCGTCGAGCCAGAGGCCGAGCCCGAGGAGCAGATCGACTACTCTGTCCTGCGCGACAAGAAGGTCAACAAGGCCGGCAATGTTGTCGACGACAAGGGCACCGTCTGGGGCCGCGTCGTTGAGGGCATCCTGCAGCACCTCGTCGGCAAGAAGGTCGGTGACAACGGCGAGATCTACAACGACGCCGGAAAGGTCATTGGCAAGGCCGAGCCCATCCCCGAGAACGAGCGCGAGGACAACAAGGAGCCCTCCCCCTTTGAAGACTTCCCCGGTGCCACCGTCGCCAACGAGGGCAAGGTCCTCTTCAACGGCGAGCAGGTCGGCGTCGTCGTCGACGGCGACGCCAAGAAGCTCAAGGGTAAGACTGTCGATGCTGACGGCGACATCTTGGACAAGGCTGGCAATGTGCTTGGCCGCGCCGAGCGCTGGGAGGCGCCCGAGCCCGAGCCCGAGCCCGAGGTCGACAACTCGATCCTGGCTGGCAAGCGCATCAACAAGGCTGGCAACGCCGTCGACAAGCACGGCGACATCTATGGCCGTGTCATCGAGGGTGCCCTCCCGCGCCTGATTGGCAAGATGTGCGACAAGCAGGGCTTCATCCGCAACGAAGGCGGCGACGTCATTGGCAAGTGCGAGCTCATCCCCGAGGCGGAGCGCGAGGGTATGAAGGAAGGCCCCTTCTCCGAGCTGCCCAACTGCACCGTCAACAAGGAGGGCGAGATTGTCACGCCCGGCGGCGACGTAGTCGGCCGCCTTGTCCAGGGCGACGCCAAGGTCCTCTTTGGCCGCGCGGTCGACGACGACGGCGACATCCTCGATAAGAACGGCAACGTCCTCGGCAAGGCGGAGCGCTGGGAGAAGCCCGAGGAGCCCAAGGACGTGAACCCCATGTCTGGCCGCAAGGTCAACCGCGAGGGCAACGTGGTGGACGAGAACGGCGATGTCATTGGCAAGCTGACCAGCGGCGACCTGAGCAAGTGCGCCGGCAAGAAGATTGACGACGACGGCGACGTTATCGACCAGAAGGGTTCCATCCTGGGTCACGTCACCCTGCTCGAGGACATCCCGCCTGAGGAGCCCAAGGAGGAGGAGTCCGAGGAGGACAAGCAGAAGCGCCTGCAGCTCGAGCAGGACCGCCAGATCGCTGCTCGCATTGCCGACTGCCTCAACCACTCGCTTGACCGCATCAAGCCCATCCTCAAGATGATCACCTCTGTAAGTTTTCCCTTGCAAACTGGTCTTAGATAACCGCCGTGGAACAACTACTAACCACTACAAAAACAGAGAATCGAGGCAGAGGAGGCCAAGCCCGAAGATGAGCGCGACGAGGAGGGCCTGGTCAAAGAGGTCCGCCCCTTGATCGAGGAGGGCGGCAAGATCCTGACCGAGGCGAATGGCGTGATCCGCGGCCTCGACCCTGACAGACGCATCGCGGCCAACGCGCAGCACAAGACGGCCTCGCGCGAGGCCACTCCCGAGGAGTACCGCCTCGCGGACGTCCTCAAGGAGCTCACGGGCCACGTCACCGAGACCATCGAAAATGCCAAGAAGAAGCTCGAGGGCATGCCCCGGGCCAAGAAGGAGATCAACCCGCTCTGGGGCCTCCTCGCGGAGCCGCTGTTCCAGATCATCGCCGGCGTCGGCCTTCTGCTCAGCGGCGTCCTGGGCCTGGTGGGCAAGCTGCTCAACGGCCTCGGTCTTGGCGGCCTCGTGTACAACCTCCTTGGTGGCCTTGGTCTGACTAAGGTGCTCAGCAGTCTTGGTCTCGGCGATATCGTCGACACGGTCACCGGCCAGGACAAGAAGGGCGGCAAGAAGAAAGGCGGTCTGCTTGGACTGTTCTAAGCGGGTTGTTCACCTGGCTTTGATCCCGTCTGCGTTTCTTTGTCTGACATGCTCCCGTTTTTCAATCCTGTACAAGTTAAGCGTTTGCTTTGATGATTTGCTGTTTTATCACGAAGTCACGAACGTTCCAAAATTTCATGCATTTCAAAATTATTCATGTACACTCATCCCACGATGAGCAGATTGTAATCTCTAGTAGTAGGATTCTAGCACCAAAAAAGCCATTTGTTCGTTACATCTTCTCTGGGTCTGTTGATGTGCCTGAGGGATTGGTTTATGTGCACACTCTCAGATTGACTGAACCAAGTCAAAAACTCCACCGAGTTTTGTCTTTAGCCCGCAAATAATGCGACTTTTCCAGCAAAATGCTTATCCAACGGGCATCTGCGCTTCACCAGAGCATGGATTTCGTGTTTTCGTCATGGTGTCGTGGATCACACCTTTGCATGTCGCAAGACCACACAATACTAACGCCTCCAGAAGCTCGAGACCACGAGCATATTGCTTTTTAGGTCATGCATTTTGGCACGTTCAAACACCGTTTATTCCTGAATCTTTCGCAGTCTGCATCCTGTAGGCGCAACAAAGGATGATCCACTGCTGCTGCTCCGTTCTCCGAGAATTCCGCCTGGCTGGACAGCAAGTATAACCTGCCTGCCATCATCTACGCCCCAGCACGTGTGTGTGGTCGATCCATTGCAAGCGTGCTCCTACATCCTAGTGGTTCTCTGGGCTTTGTAGTGGTCGTGGTGCCGGCTGCTGCGCCACGTCATATGGCGGGGCGAGGGACAGTGACGTCAGGGTGGTGGTTGTGCACGTGCGGTGCGGGCGCGCGCGGGATGGATGGATGGATGGATTGATAGATCGGGTGTAAGTGCGCGTTTTGCCATGGCAGCCACTCGCCACCCGGGCGTGGGCGCGCCAGCATTGGCTCTGGGCACATGCCAGACTGGACCAAACAAGCCGTCATACTTTCTGCGTGTGTGTGTGCGCTTACTGGAGAAGGTGTGACTTGTAACTTTTCAATGGCCGGGGAAAATGGGCAGCTGAACAGCTACAAAGTTTGGGCAGATGCCACAATTTGGAACTAGGTTCAGCCATAAACAGGTTTATGAACATTTGTCCTCTAATAATAATGCCCCGCCTTTTGTCTCCCTAATTAAGCTAGCTCAGTTGAGATCCGAGCATGTGACGCTCTATTCAGTCCTGGTTGTGTCGGCGAGATTCTGTTCGGTGCTTTCTAGCTCGGCTCCGCCCGTGCCGCTGAAGTTCAGTCGCACTTTAAATGGCTGCCACATCTGCCTTACCCGATAAAGAACTAGCGCTTATTTTTTCCTAAGGCGACAGTTGTGGATGTATTCAGGCGCAATGCGAAACCCATCCCAAGATGCCGGTATCTGCGGCCGTTGTTGCCAATGAGGTATTCTCGGTTGCGCCATGGGGGATTGTTGCGATTATCGGAAATTGAAGAAATAGACCACCTTGAACTGTCCGCTGCGGCAGACAGTCGCCCATGGCGTTGGATATGAACCCACGCGAGGTTAACTTGACGGTCGTGGTTGTCGTTGCCCATCGCCAGTGGTCTTGACCTCGGCTAAGGTGGAAGCACGTACTCAGAGCCTCTGGACATTTCTTGAAGCTATGATCCTCAAGCTACTCGCCATTCGGCCACCGAGTGGCTTACAAGCATGAAAGACCTGTTTCGTACCACCTCAAGCCAATGCACAGTCGGCATCGGGATGACTGACAACTCGACTATTCAGTGCGGGTGGCACATCTGGACGACCAAGTCGGCGCACGATCTAGCCTTGAGTTTCGCCGCCATGTGCGGTGCCGCCACGCTAAGCCTCATCCTCGACGTCAATCTCGTTCTCCTTGATGCTATTGACCTCGCAGAATGGGAGATATGCCCGCAGCTTTTAGAATTGTGTGATCGGGTCGCGGCCGCACGTAATGATACAGGTGCTTCGGAAGCCCTACGAAGCAAAACGAGACCTCTTGAGGATGCTTCAGTCCACAAAAAGTTAGCATTGGTTGTCTCATCTGACTGGAAGAATAGTAATGAAACGTAATGCTACTATACTATGAAGATCCCTGTATCACTAAAACCTTGTAAATAACTTTACTGTGTTGGAAGTCTGGGGCCGGATGCGGTTTGGCTTTGAACCACTACACATGTCGAATGTTAAGCCACAACCAGGATTGCTGCATTCGTGCTATGCTGTCTCTATCTCCAGAATAAAAAGGACGATGAAGCCCATACTGCTCCAGGTTTCGACAACCTTTCTAACGGTCGGCCATTACCGAAAACCATCACATCAACAACAGACTCGGGATATCCACACGAACTCACGTCTCTAATGTCGCGTGGGAACGTCCGCCGCGATGACTATGGTCTCCGAAAAGATCTACGCCAGCGCTTAGGCTTTGCCGAGGACATTGACGAGACTCCGGAGGCTTTCACGGAGCGGAACAATTTGATTCGGGCTTTAGCTCAAGTGAGGTCATTGACTAAGAACCTCCGATATGAGTTGGATCTGAATGGCTTTCTCCAGTCAGAGCTCGATCGACTGGTAAGCCTCCTGGAAGGTCAGACATCTTCAGCTACCGCTCCTCTGGGCGGTCTCCAATTCCAGGTACTCGATGGGGACCAGAATAGCATTCAAGCTCTCAATCAGGAGTGCACAGTATTGAGATCAATGCTCGAAACCACACAGCGCCAAACCTAAACCCTCAGTACTTTACTGCAGACGCACATCTTGAGCATCCTATCGGCTTCGGAAAACGCTCACGAAGGGGATTCACCATTCTATAGATATCAGACATCACGGTCGAAGACTAAGCTCATACGTGGCACCGGCCTCTTATGTTCTGGCTTGGATTCATTGCGCAACACAGAAGATGTGCACGCCAGCAAGCAGATCATAGATCACAGGAGCTATACTAGCACCCCATCGCCGTTCATATCCGTTTCTGACAGCCCAGGACGCATTCATAATATCATACGGAAAGACCCGAATCGTTTTGGTGACGACGGCCATGTGGTGGTCATCGCTCCTGCGGATCTTGGCATCTCATTTGCACGTTCCACCCAGCTTGTGGAGCAGGCTGGTGAACAACCGTACTGCAGGGAAAATCCCAATGGTGTTCACTACGCTACTCCATCCCACTGGCTGGTACGGGGATGGATACCCAAGGCTTGCATCGTGGCACGCCTTACGCTGGAAGAGTTTGAGAAATACTGTGTCGACAACAAGGTCATCACTAAAGAGGAAGGTGTGGCGTCCTTTGATCCTTTGTCGAGGTTGCAGCTGTCTGAACTGACTCTGTCCCCTAGCCGAAAGGAGCAGTGCAATGTGCGAGATTCGGCCTTCGTTATCGAGCCTTCTTAAGTTCTGCGAAGCACGCAACGACGGGCAATCGCAAAGCTTGGTTCTACAAATGCAAACCTTGCGACTGAGCCATATGTGAGGGTGCATGCCCAGCTATGTTCAAGTTATGGTCTGTAAGACTGCTTCAAACATTGGCCGGGCGAGTGAGAATGATCCCTGTACGACATTCACAAACAGGGCCAGCAGGGTACGAGAGGTGTTGAGATGGCACATCGGGAAGACCACCAACGGCGATGGATGAAATCTTCATCGTAGAAAAGCTCTGAATTCTGGTCAAGCGGTGACGGACTGGGAGTTTGCAACTAGAGAGTTAGGCAGCCAGAGGGGGCTGGTGTACAGCATTCCTCGCCCAAGTGCGCCGTCGCTTCCTTTACCGTGTGTATCTGACCGACCAAAGCGTAGGGCTGATGGAAATGCCTGCACGTCGTGCTAGGGTCTTGAGAGAGCGCGAGACCTGGACCACTGGTTGCGATTGTCGCGCACACTGCTCAGGCGATGCAGCAACTGCGGAAGTAGCTGCGCCATCAAGAATCGCTGCAGTGGTGCTCTCAGTACGAATTAACCAATGGTTCGGGCAGTCGGTTGCTTCCCACAGGGTCAGAGAGGCAGTGGCTGAACGCATGGCCCTACTATTGATTCTGATCAAAATCAACCAGGCAGTTTTGGCGATCTGACTGCGTTTCAGGACGTCTTAATGGATCGCGTCAACACGGGCCAAGAACTGTCTCGTGAAAGTGCAGCGCAGCCTGTGCCTTGCGGCAGACTCGGAGCTCAGACCCGAGCCAGCAACACAGTGCAGGTCACAGGCTGCCACGCAACGCGCCTCCAATTAGTCTGTACCTGGAGAAGTCCACAGTGCCCCGTACGGCGAACACACAGGGTTATTGCCAATGGACGACCATTGTGCTTTGCTGTGCGCAACTCGTGAGAATAGACCTTCGCTTTATGACGCCGCGCATTGACTGCCACAAGGCATCAGACATCGCTGTACGGCTGAACGACTGTGCGTTGCTTTACGACGTGTCTGATATAATGCCACAGTCAGTTCATGCCTCCGCATCCTGCGTCCTCAGATCTGCAAGTCCGCACGGGCAGGGATCGTCTCCTTAGTTGTGCCGGAAACATCGTGACTACCACAAGATTCCATCACCTCCTTTCACCACAGTAGCACCTGATACGGATTCACTTCTACCGGGCCACTCACCCTCTTGTACTGGCAGGTCAAGACAACAGACGCGCCCGACCTCTCGCCTCTCTTATGCGTTTGCTGCCCAAAGGCCCACAGGATGTTGTGGAGTCCGTTCATCCGTGACGGGCGGTCTCCACAAGTGTACAGAGGTCAGCCAAGCACCCCGAGGGCCTGCAGCGACAGAGAACCTTAGGCAAAGGGAACTGGGTTCGCAGTCCAACCCTTGTCTTACTCCAGCTCTGATCCGGCAAACCTTCGGGATCCAACTAAGGCTCGGCATCCGAAGAAGCAGCGCCCACTCGGCCTCCTCCAGCTCTTGCGTGATCCCTCGATTTCTTGGCCATCATATACTTCTGCAGAACTCACTCCTTGAAATCCTCCTCTGCTGGCGCAGTGCCATGATCCTGCTGCTCATCGCCTGTTCCTTATGTTAGCGTTTGTCGCATGACATGCCCTTGTCCCTGGCCCGATCGTGCGACCTTCCTGTTTGTGCTGCCTGCAGCCCAAACACTCGACCCTGTCCTGTTGGTCGTCACACATCCATACTCAGAGCTGTCCAGCCGCTAATGTTTTGTCCCGCGACGACTAACGCCAATCCTTCTCTGGCGCCGTGTCGAATAGTAACCTAGGGTATTATTAGTACAGCGTGATATGGTCTTTGGGGTGACATTCTGTAACTTACTTCCTGTTAACGAAGCATGTGTAAGTGATACTATCTTGAAGGCGTGGTTTCCCTCTGCTCCGGTGTCGCCTCACTACTTCAAGCTAACACAAAACTTCCAATGTCCAGATACCTGGTTCCGCATCTTTATCAAGATGTTGCGCAAAGTCGACGGTGGCGGCACACGAGCAGCCGACCCGGAGTATGTCAAGGACATAGCTAAAGACTACGTCTGGCACGAGATGGGCTTCTTCACCAGCTGGAAGAACGGGCGTGACAGCACAGGGAACGATGACAGCACGCTCCGCATCTTGTGCGTCGACACGCCCGACGAGATGCCGAAGCGTATCAAAGAGCTGCTGGAGGAGCGGCAGCAAGACCGGCCGGGAGAAGCGGCTAGATTTGCGGATCCGCTGGCGCTGCACGGGGTCCTGCTGGACAAAACCATCATGCTCTCGGACATTGCTGTGTGGCGGGTCAGGGACCGGGTCCGCGAGATCGAGCAGGTCAGTTCTTGCACGACCCATCGGCATTGAACCGGCCGAGGAGGAACCACCGTTCTACTTCTCATTGATCAACGATGTAGATCAACGCTAATCCGCAAACACTGCACTAGTAGAGGGGTCATATCAGCGTCAGGAAGCGCTTCGAGGTCATGCACGAGGTCGGGCGGCACGGGATACACGTCTCGAAGTGTTCGAGGTCACCACAAACACCATCAACTCGCTGCTCGAATACCAGTCGTCGCTGCACCAGAACTTTGGGTTGAATCTCGATCCCGAGTACACCATGCAGGCGCAGGAGTATGGGCGCTTCCAGCTAGAGACGGTCAAGTCGATGAAGTTGCGCTCCGTGTCCAACGACAAGAGACTCGACAAGGAGATCACGCTTGTGAGTCTGACAAGATCTGCCTCCGCATTCAACCGCCAGTCTTGATACTTGTCCAAAAGCTGACCTTGATCACTCCAGGCTTTCAACCAAATCGCGCAGTCCGACAACACCGTAGTCAAGTCCATCGCCGTCTTGTCCATGTTCTTTCTGCCGTCAACCTTTGTCTCGGTAGGCCTCGATTCGTCCTCCCCTTCCATTACTCGCTCCCTCTCTGACAGGAACCGCGCAGGCAATCTTCAGCACAAGCTTCTTCGAGTTCCAGGACTCCGGCTGGGCCATGTCCGACAAGTTCTGGATATACTGGGCCGTGGTGATACCAGCCACGCTCCTTGCACCTATATACACGATGTTCGCATTCAACAAGCCCAAGAAGCTGTGGATAAACATGCATGCGCGCATGGAGAAGTACAAGCGTGACAAGGAAGCGGCCAAGACGGCTGTGAATGGCACAGTCAGAAGATACTTGCGCGAGTTAGACATTTTTATCATACTGTTGCATTAAATCAGAGTTGTATGACTGTTTCTTGCTAAAATCAAAATGCCTCCCATACGTGATAGAGCCAGTAATGACCCAGATGCTCGTGCCTGAAACAATGACCAGCCATACTTTGTCGCTTCCATCAAAACCAACAACATCGAGCAATCATGGTTTGCTAGCAACGCCAGATTCCCTCCAGCAAAAAGGGCTCATGATATCTTTCCCGAACCCTTAAAAGCCGGGCTTATTCCTGGCGTGTTCGTACTCAAGGCAGAGGCAGAGAGTTAATCGCCTTCCGCAGCAGCTCGTACCGGGACTCGCCAGCCACGACCTCGTGCCAGTTGGCCTTGTCGACGCCCGGGAACCGCGCGGCGACGACTGTGCCGACAGTCACCCTGCCGTGGGTGCCCGCCGTGCCGTCGACGCCGTACTGCCTCGCGGCAGCGACGTACTCCGGGGCGACGGTGATGCCTGCGGTCAGGCAGCCCGAGTACGTCTTCTTTTTCAGGTTCGACAGGATGACGCCAAAGTCCGCAGGGCGGGCGATATCCTTGGTCTGGATGAAGTTCTCAATGGTCGCGATGTACACGTCGGTCGCGTTGCGGGACTCCCACAGGTCCCGGAGCTCCGGGCTAAACGCGACGTGACACATGGCGTTGCGCATGCGGTTCCAGGCGCCCCTAGGCCCGGCCTCGTCGTACGGCTGCTCGCCGACGCCAGAGATGGACGGGACGATCTCGAAGTGCACTGCCGACTTGACGGGCAGGCGTCTGTGGAAGTACTCCTTGACCAGAGCGACCTTGTTGGCGTTCTCGGTCGGGATGGCGACGATGATCACCGGGTGGATGGTGTTGGGATGCGCGCCCATCCGGATCTGGTCGGCGAACATCTCGGGCATACGCCCGAGGTTCGAGCCGTTCTTAGCGACCAGGTGCTCGGTGTTCTGGATCGATTGCAGACCAGGGTGTGCCTTGAAGAGAGCCATGGCGCTGTGTGTAGCCTTGAAGAGCTTTGTGACGCCCTCACGGGGTCCGAAGGCGAAGCCGATGTGAGCTGAAGTCTTGCTGTCAGCATATTACCTAGTCATGAGTATAGCTGTGTGTCTTGCTCACCTGGGAACCTGTCCCTAGCGCCCTTAACAGGACCGCACTTGACCTCGACACGGCGGATGACGCACTCGGAGTCGTTCGTGATCCAGCGGATATCCTCGCCGCACTCCTTGAACACGGTATTGACCGCACGGTGCAGGGGCGCATCCTGCGCGAGCAGGTCCGCATCGTACGCGATCATGATGTCGCGCGGCTGGAGGACGTCCGTGTCCGTCACCGTCAGTGTTTCGCCCTCCAGGACGGCGTGCTCCTCCGTGACGTCGTCCGCCTCCGTGCCGCCAAAGACGCTCGCGCTGTTGTGCATGTATTTGATTAGAAACTTTTTGGACCGCTTGCCGACGAGGTTGAACGAATAGACGTCCGCTGTGGCGTCGTGCAGTTGACCGTTGGCGGTGATCCACCAGAACGCGGAACCCGCGCCGGCCTTGCTGACGTCCATGACTTGGGTGTCGTCTGGTAGTAGAGGTTGCGAAGGTTGTCGTGTTGTCGTCAGTATTCTGGAGGGGTTGAAGATGACTCTCCAGTTCTGCTTGAGGGGTTCGACATTGTCGTTGGCTTTTATGCTGAATCTTGCGAGTATTTGGGCCAGAGAGAATTCTTCGGAGTATGCCTTGGACTTGTGAGGCCTAAATTCGCAACAACGATGATCACACGGCACTTCGTATATGATGTTGTTCTGGCCGGAAGAAACGAAGTGTAGCGTGTATGAAACTCTGGGAACGAAAGAATGTGCTGGGGAAATAAAGCTCAATCTTATGTGTCGCTGAATCTAGTATAATTGAACCACTGCTCTGGCTTTGTCATGGGCTCCCTGTTTGCTGAGCGAGCATAGAAAGTGGACAAAGAACTTGACATGAGGTCGAACGAAATTCCGGCGCAGGGGTTCTGACAAAGAGAATTGATTGCTCTGGAACTCGCCAATCACGCGCAGGCTGCCGTGTGACTCCTTGGGGCGTGGCCGTGCCAGCTTCGCGCCAGCAAGGCGCATCACGGGCAATTCATGTGTGCACCGCACAGGTCCCTCGTTCCACTCACACTCGACTGAAAGCCTGGTAGAAAGTTCACTGAAGTGGCTGATCTCATTTCATTCTGGGCATTCTCATAGCATCTAGATGCATGGGCTAACGATATTCCGAGATTATCGGCCATCTTTCAAGCACCAATACGCATCAAGTAGACATGGTCATACTGCGGCTTCCCACAAAGCAAACGGAACAATCTGAAGCAAAGGAAGGGTCTCTCACATCTCTCTACCGTGACGACTTTGCATCTTCAAACTCGAGGCAGCAATCCCCGATGCTGTGCAGCCTGTGCCGGTTGAGCATCACTTGCGTCTGCTGTAAATGTACAGGCTGCGAACGTGGCCAGCCAAGGGGCCAAGGTCTGCCGATATGGGGAATCGCTGGCAATCATAGTCCAGCCACATTCGTCGAGTTCGAGGTGATTCCGGGTTCGAAGATCGTGGAGTTCTGGGGCGCGTCGTGGATTAGCTCGGGCCAGTAAGAGATTGGGATGCGATATTACATACCTTGCATCGTCGTAAATTGACCCCTCGATCTGGTTGCAGATGATGATAGCAGGGCGCGAAAGGTCTGCCATGATCTGCTTTACTGGTGCATTGACAAATGGTGCAAACACGATGCAGTTGTCGTCCAGCTCTGCGAAACCACTTGCGCCGTACTTGCCCACAATATCGAAGTTGCCAATCTCTTTGAGCATCGTCTCCATCGCCGGTGTATAGGCGGGCTCTTGGGTCAGGAGCTTGATGTGACGACCGCGTTGCGCTCCGTGTTGTTTCTTCTGGATTGTTTCGACAACACTGGCCATCGTGAGAGCCATTGCGTGGTGTGTGCATAGGCCCTTGACCTCCAACTCGGGCGTTCTCTCGGGATAGTCCAGATCCTGCTCGATTTCTTCCATGTAGTCCATGTTCTCCTTGAGCCATTTCTCGGACGCCGTCGTGCTGAAGTCACCAAGACCAAAGCCCACAACCTTGGTGACGGGAATTGCTGTCGTACACAGAGGAGCCGAGGTCAAAAGTTTCGCCAGGCGTGACTTGAACATATGACAAGATCCGCTGCGATCCCAGATGGATCGGACGAGGGCGAAGAACTCATAGGCGTTCTTGACAGGCTGAGAGTCGGCTGACGAACCGGACTTATCCCACCATCCGACTACGGTTGGGCAGCCGTACATGTGAGGTGGACACTTTGGTTGACAATATACGTAATATAAAACGTCTTCCAGATATATAAATAGGACTCTCAAGCTAGTATGATATACCCTAAAAATATGTCCTTTGCTACGCTATTATATTTCTTCTTTGTTACTACTGCATTATCCTTCCTCACGCCAGAGCGGGTTTCGACTTCCTTACCTCGCGGTATAACCGCCATTGGGGTCCATCTTCCAAGCGAAGAGACTGATAGTGCCGCAACTGTCTTTTCTACGTCGGCTGCCCACACTCTGGGAAGGAGGGTCGCTTGGATTAATACTCGTTGTGGCTGTGATCGGAATCTCAACGAGGCAGCCGTGAAAACCGCCACCGACGACTTTAAAAAACTGCTTGTTACTTATGAATTGGGACTGGGAGATTCGGTGACTATCCCGAGCGGGGACATCATCGTCTTCATGGTGAACGAAGGCTTAGATAAGCTCATGCTTACAGAATCTGAAATTGATAAATCCTTCGATTTCATTCGGGAGGCATGCGGCGATAACAGAGCTGGAACAACAGGCGCACAGGGGAGCTTTGCTGTTGGCTATATGCAGGCGAGTGACGGGAAAGACCTTAGAGAAAGTATGTGGGGTTCGGAAGCGCAAAGGTGTAACTGATGCCCCGGTAGCTCACAGCTAGTAATTTTGCGTTTGTCACTAGCTCGCACATCTATCCATATTCATATCTTCTTCCGCCTCTACATTCTTCTTCATCCTGCTCGCTCGTCTTACTTGTGCGATCACAGTCTCTTTGGCCCCCGATTTCAGCCCGGAATATAGTACTGTCCGGTCACGCTCCCGACCTCCGGTGTCAGCCGTCTAGTCGGGCTTCGGGGTTGCTGTTCTGCGAAGTAGGTTAAGCTCGGACGATCCACTCAGTCTGGTGGTGTTGTGTCTCTAGGAGGAGATACCACTCTCTAATTTTCGGTGACTCAAGTATGAAGATAACATCTGTCTGTCAAGGGGAACTATCTGGGTCATGTACTCCTTTATCCTTTACGGAGTGCTGTTAGTTCCTTGTTGCGCTGTGTAGCACTCCTTGTGCACTGCTCAGCTGTCCTAGTCTTGGCGTTTGTGCCTGCCTACAGCCGAAAGATCTGGAACAACCAATCTCGTGGAAGCCTTTGCCCCGACTCCATAACTCCACGGTGTTACAGCGCTCACCCTATACTACTAAAGTACCAAGGCCGATGAAGAAGCGACCAACGTAGAGCAGCTCAGGACTGCGGAGCGAGGCGCCGCAGTAGAGGAAGTTGCCTAGGTTGACCCATATGCAGGCGCAGAACATGGTGTACGTGTGAGAGAAGACCTCGCCGGCAATGAGCGAGCCGGGGACACAGCCCAGCTGGCCATAACCCTAGCTCAGCTAGTACCTTTCTCGAAAGTCGTTTTTGATTCACCACTTTTAGACCTTATTCACAGGTTTAGCAGTGAGGTTTAGGGTTGATTTCAGTAAGGATCACGAGCCTGGCTGGCTCTCAACGGCAAACACCGATAGCAGCTCAAACATAATCTTTGGCAACTACTCTCTGGCATCTGAGCGATTCTCACGAGCCTTATTTTTCTTAAGCACCACCAAATTCCTCTTCCAATACGATTCCAACAGCTCGGGCGCAATGTCCCTCAGCTTGGCTTCGGTCTCCCAGCTCGTGTGGCCCTTGGAGGCGGGGTAGCCGACCCACTGGCACTCCAGCTTGAAGCCGCCGCGGGCCTTCCCCGTGTGTTTGAGGATCTTGAAAATGTGGTACTCTGCTTCCTCGTTCTTGAACAGGACTTGATCCCGGCCTCCGACCTTTTCCCAGTAGTCGAAGAGGAGCTCGCTGGCGCCTGGCTGAATCTCTGCCTCAGGCACCCAGGTTGCAACCTCTACGGATTCGCCCTCCCAGTGCACCAGAAGATCCACGCTCTTATTGCCCAGCAACTTGTGGTTCAATAATGCGTGGACTTCTCTGATTTCGCCTTCCTCCTCTTTCCTAATAGCTTCATCCTGAGCCTCCTCCGGTTCAGTTGGTGCCTCTACTTGCGTCTTGTTCTGCTGCGAGTGTGGATCGTTCGGGCTTGGTATCCCGCAATCCGGAAAGCGAGGTTCGAAAAGATCTGTAGTTACACAGCTACGGTTAGAACGAGCTTATTCGGGGCGAAAGACGGATGCAGGGCGTATTTACGGTCAACCTTATCCATATCGGCTAGGGGTACAGTTTTGGCTGAGCTTTGGTCGTGGTCCTTTTGCTCCGGGCTCGTAGTGTCTAATTCACCAATCTCGGTAGGGCGACATGTTAAGACCTGCCCAGAAGATGGTGGAAGTCGGTGCAGCTTGGCGGATTGTCGTGGTAGGTGCGCCGTGTCGTCGAGACCTGGCAGCTATGGTTAGAAGACAGTCGTCTTGAGAGCCGCTACGCGCGATCGGCTGACGGGCGACAGAGGTCAGAGTGTCACCCCGTGATCCGTACCTGAAGGGGCCTTCCGCTTACGCGTGCCCGTGTCCTGGGTCGCCTTCATCTGGGGAGCGGGGCCAGAGGCTCTCTGAGATTGGAGCCGATAGCGATGGGACCAAGTTTTGGCTGAAGGCGCCGCGAGGGAAGAGATATAGTACGGCCGGCTGAGGGAAGGGGCGCAGTCAGGCTGAAGGGTAGATGGTCGGTTTGGCTAGCGACCGCAGGACGAGGGAATCACTCCACAGCGATTGATGTGCAGGCCGTTAGCCTGTCTTGAAGGACTGCGGAGCGGGACGCGCATTAGGTGCCGCGCGCGCCACGGTCGCGTTCAAAACCTTGGCCCCGCAACTTCAACGGGATTGTCCGGGGTTAGTGCCTTTCTTGCCTCTGCCGCATAGGGTTCAACGCGTGTGCGCTTGAACCTCTAGACCTTCATGTCACGCATGATGTTCCATATTTCTTGAGTGAGCTCATTGTCCCTCTCATGCTTACGCCAGGACCTATCACCTGGGAAGGGAGAAGCTGCTTTACAAGGTTGACGACCAGAAACTGTTCGAGCAGATGGGTGGATGCCTCTTGAAGGGGCTCGCGCCCATTGAGCCTTCATTCACGGTGCTTATCTTACACCCTGTCTTCATGCTTGCCTCTCTGCACGTTCCTCGTCAGTTCGACCTTCAAGTCAGGAACTTGGCCTCTGTTCCTGTGTCCAGCCCTGTCGTAGTGGCCGCAAACTGGCCTAGCCTTATGGATGAGGTCCTAGAGGCGGAATGCGCTGCGCTTGAGGGAAGCAGAGGGCCGCACAGCTTGCGGCCAGAGACGAGCGGCTTCGGGTAGCGATATTCGAAGTATTGTCCTCCCAAAATTAGATGGATGGCGCTGATTCGTCATCTACGTGGTGTACTAGGGTTATCCCGCCTGAGTCCATTGACCACAACGCAGTATACACACATGTTACTAGCTGTGCTCGCGCCCATCATCCGGTGGAAGACGACTGGAGCTACAGACCTAAAATGGCTTTAGCTACTGCGAGAACGTCTTCTTCACGACTAGCTTCTATGGGCTCAACTATATAACTATCCTTGTCCCTTTCCGCTTGGCTTCCTCGCTTCAGGAAATTCTTAAGGTCCTCCAATGTCTGTTCTCCTGTATTAACCCATTTGACAACAGCAAATTCAATGTAAATGCCGTGCGGATATTATCCTGAGTGGTTATAATTCGTTCGATTGAGTGTTCTCGTGGCGAAGGGAGGTCGGTAGTATACAGCGTCGTCGATGACCGGCCTTCGCCTCTTAACTGTGATAAGTAGTACATATTGGGGCTAATGCACACGATACTGTTGCCGTACTATAGTGAGTGCATATGTAGGTCATCTGATGCGCTGTCGCATGGGATCAAATAGTCGTAGGTGAAGTGATGATGCATTCAGAAGGTTAGAGTAGTGGAGGGCGCAGGTGGCCAAGTGCATGCAGGCGACCTACAGTGCACGAACCAGTTGACGGCCGCATTATCGTCTGGCCAGACGGGCAGTTTTTCCTGGAAGACATGCAGTCCATTATCTAGTAAAAGCAGTTGCGTCTCTGGCAGCTATGAGATCACACAATGAAAAGCTTCAATGATCTAGTGTCCTGCTGGATTAAGTCTTTTTCATGTTCACTGTCAGGCTTGCTCTAACGTCAGGCAATGCTCGTGGTCTTGTCCATACGCCTTACGCAAGACCCCTCGTGATAGCTTATACAGATCACATCATTACAGTCGGTCGGTGTAAGTTATCCTTGAGAGGGGAGGCCACTACAGTACTGTACTTTGAAACTGTATAAATTATATTCTTTCAAGTTGCTCAGTATTGCGTGAATTCTCGTGACCTGATGGCATGATAGAGCATAAATTCATCCTCTCAGAACAAAGTATTAAAGTATGCACTCGTAGTCACAAAACATCCTATTTGCACGATGCGCGACGCTGCTAGTAACGCAATCGCAGAGTGGTGTAACCATGACTGGCCGCAAGATCATGCCGTATTACCTCGGCTGGGACCTATCACAATAGAGGCAAAGGCACTTAGCCATCCAGTGCTTCGGAAGCGCCTGAGAACCTTGGTAAACCACTGGAGGAAACTGGAGCTGGGCAAGGGCCCAGAGGACCGCGAAACGGACATACCATATAGTAGGATGGCTTCAACGTTCTTGCTTATCGTTAGGTACATGTTCTGCAATATCGAACACGTCGGAGACGAGAATCTGGTGACATGGTACACAATCTCCATGGCAATAGACAGATGGGTCATCCAGTCCCGGTGTCCTGATTATGCGAGAAAGAGGAATACGCAATGGAGTTGGCTGCAGCGGCGAAACCAGTGGGTAGCACGTGAAGCCAAAGTATCGAAATTCCAGCGATATTATGATGCCGTTGTGCAGAACAACTTTATTGAAGTAGAAGGCGATTTCGAGAAAGAACTTATACAGATAGAAAATCAGCAACAAAAAGATCGACATGCGGGAATACAAATTCTCACCACTAATATTACGAAACTTAGAAGGACCAGAATGTCCAAGGATCTACAAAGGCCAAAAAAGTCCGAAATTAAATGGTTTTGGAAACCGGGATTAGACTTGGCGAAAGCGGTCGATAGTTGGGACATGTCAAGACTACATGCTCAATTCATCGGCAAATACCAACGGGATGGATGGACATATCAGCTGTTTTTAGTCTGTCTTATCGCCTATATAAGCCAACAAGACTTCATGTCTTCAAGGGATCCCCTACTGTTTTCTCGGTGTCAAATGTGGATGAAAGTTATAGATCAATCCGCTACTAACAAAAGCTTCGATCCCGCCGACTATGTATACGACCTTTTTAAACATATCGATACCCGAGTAGTCTACAAACCCTCCAAGCTACTTGATATGCAGTGGACCTGGAGTAATGGGAATTACCCGTGGGACGCGAAGGTCTCCAACGATTATGGGACGTTTCTGGTCAGCCCGAATGCTGTTTTGTTCGAGAATGGAGCAAAAATATATGTAAATAAGCTCGATGGCGAGGGCAAAATTAACGGTGAAGCTGTTATTGAGCTTCCTCGCAAAGCAACGGTCTATGAAGTCTTTTGCCAGATCAACCTTTTCTATGCTACTAATAGAGAAAAGGTGTCAGGGCGACTGGACGAAGCAGATCGCTACTACAGTCGGTTTTGGTGTCGTTATAGTGTGAGAGTAGGGCGCTTTTGTAAATATAAGGGCAAATTACCCGTGGGGGAACATTGGAGATTGGAACACTATTAGAAGAATTCCATAGATCAACAATTGGTCAACGGGTAAAGAGAGCACTCTTTAAGCTGAGGTGAGATCTGTCGTAGCAACTCCCGAGGCTGCGTCACTTCGTCAATGCAGACCAAATACAAAAGTAATATTTGTAACGCATGCGTCGAAGCCGGAGATTCGATCACGCGAGCGTCTGCAACATCTGCTCTCCGCGTGCCTGATACGAGGACGGCCGTTCCTTCGCCTCTCAACGCCCGATAATGAATGATGATCCCCCTGTCTGTAGCATAGCTCCGCTCTCATCTGCTGAGTGCTCGCTGTCGATGAGAGTAATTTTGGCCGTGTGTAGATGAAGAGAAGACACACGATAGCGGACCTGTATGATGCAATTCCATTTTCCGATCGTACTACAAGCCAGAATTAGTGGGCTATAGCTTTCGAGAACGACTCTGGTTCAGCCTCGAAGCGGGACGTCGATTTAAGCTCACGGGGAAATGGCGTGCAGAAGTATCGTGACTCCACTGTGGGTCCGGTGAGGTGGGACGCCATCTCCTCATTAAGACCCGAACGAGATTCGATCACGAGGTCCAGCTCAAAATGGATAGCTATAGAAATCCAAACATGCAATCGATGTAAATAGCATCGTTCATACGAGCCGGGGAGCCCTTGACGGATTCTACAATGGACATCTCATGTTCGTCCCTTATGGAATGTTGATAACTATCTGTCGTAACCCCCATAATTTCTAATAGCACTGCGGAGAACATTCCGCCGCGTATATCCAGCCGGACACTGGATATACTGAGCAGTGCGCATGACTTCCATGTCTTGGGACTGGTGGCAGCATCTATCAGAACAATCGGCGCGCATGTCATCGCAACCTGCTTCGTATACGAAAGATGGGGGACCTGTCTAAACAAGACGGAGCCACGTCGAAACTCCCGAGTTTTTGTTTTTATGGTTCATGACTGTGACGGTCTAATAAAATTGGGCAATTACTACACGGGCATGAAGAATTGCTACCCGGGCATGACTCTTACACGGGCATGACCTTTTGCAGCCTCTGATTGGTCCATCCCTTTTTGTTAGTCAATCTAGATTCTGCCAACGCTCCCCTTGTACCTCGGGATTAGCTCTCCACCACGACGATCGACGAGACATATGGAAGCTATTCACTAGCTAGCTACTACACCAATTTACCTCTTGTCGCATGTCAAGCCTACTGATAATGATTGTTCGTGAAAGATACCATATTTGTCAAGGTCACAGGGCTCCAGGCGTGGTGTGTTAGGCCCCCTGCTGAGCCAACACTCAAACACAGGCTGTATCAGGAATATCCAACAGCCTCATCTTCCAAGGCATCTGCATCACAAAGCAGGTCATTCCTTTGTGCTGAAATTGGTCCCCTCTTTCCTTCTTTCATAGTCAAATCAACTGCCCCTTTAACCATGTTCTCATCCGTGCGTGCGACACTCTTCCTGTCGCGATCAAGGCCGTCATTATGTCCCAGCCCGACTCTCGATCTAGCTCAGCAAGCAACCAACGACTACGAAGCTATCAATTACGTCCCCGAAAACGACAGCGGCAGAACCAATCTGAGAGTTCAAGACCACCTTCGTCTAATAGCACAGGGACGAGCATTGGCCCACACTATGGCGTGGGAGACGACGAGGCACTCTATAATGCTTTCGCCTCGTACCCAGAGACCTTCACGACCGCTCCACGCCCCCATGGATCGCGTGGGCTGAACGAGCCACCATGGGAGCTGCGATTCGATCATGAGATTCACCTATCGAATGATTTCCCAACCCGAGGAAGACGGTCGCAACGAGTAAGAATGCCTATACCAGGCCCGGAAATCGACCAGCCACCTGCCTGCTCTCCACAACAATCAGCACAAGAACAATTCTCTCCAACAAGACCCCAGTTTCAGTCCGCCCTTAGGCTAGTGCGCGAGGTGCTTGGGACAGATCGAAGACTTACCATCGAGCTCGTCCGGTCATACGAACGAGTCCG